CAAAGAAATTTAAACATTACATTTATTCAACAAAATCTCTACACATCGCTTACATATTTCGCATAAAATATATCCATTACAAATCTGAAAAAGGTACTATTTGGTTTTTTAAATTATTACACATAACAAAATAAGTACAAAATATTTGTAAATATACATACAATAAAACAAAATATACAACAACTCTCAACATATAAAATTTTACACATAAAACACCAAATACTCCCGTTAACGTTTATTGTTATAATCACCTACGCAACAACGCATTTCGCCCCTGGATTACGAATAAAGACGTAGGAAGTTTTCAATTATGAACAGTTAAAATTATTCACTGATTAAACCTGATCTTCTGAGTTGGTTCAGATTAAACGCTATGACATTTATCTATACTAAAAACGCTCAAAAAAAAAACAAACCAGAAACCGCAGTTGCAGCAATAATTTATTGGTTTAAATAAACGAAGTCACATAATGACTTGCCCATATTATTGCACCGAGCTGTTACGTCTGAACTGTGTACACGTCTTTTTGAAGTGTCATTTATAATCTGTAGCAACTGTTGTTAAAAAAACTAAAAATCATAATAAAATTAGGTCAGAAATAATCGGATCGGCAATAAGTAATTCGTCTATCGATGTTTAATACTATATATTTGGCACAATGTCTAAGTTGCATAATTTGAATTTTACAAATATCGATCAGGAAATTAACCTGTACCAGCTCCGAAATCACGTATGATAAGAATAGAATTATTCCTATCTTATTAAGTATAGTAGTATATGACTCAATTTACCAACTAGTATTATGGCCAGAATACTCACGGCAAGGGGATCGACAAACAAAATCATGACAATCACGAAAACATCGTCGCCACTTACAAATAATAAAAAGTAAACTCTAAACCACGTGTAACAAATATCCGAGGATTGGTTCCGTATAACGCTATAGTAAATCTACCACATAGAATATTAAACGCTAAGTTTACACGGTAAAACAGATCTTGGTAATGAAACCTCTCAAGGGTCAGATACAAAATCTATAATATGAATATAAATATCACACTAAACTCGCCACCTCACCATTTGTCAACCCCAAAAGTCTTAAAGAAAATTTGCGTTATTTTGACGCCTAATATGCTAGAAAATCAGAAACGCCATTTTATTAATTATGAATATTATTCATAATATTCCACTTTATTAAAAATGTGGCAACGCATCTGCTACCCTACGGGTGTTGCAAATGTATGTTTTCTTTGTTTGGAATTAACTTTCTATCTTTTATTACTGCATATCGATTGCAAACACTCTTAAGATCTGTTTTACTAGTAAATCTCTACGGCAGATATACACACCTAGAATAAATGATGACTAGAGACAAAGCCTACCAACGAAAATTAACTATGTGGGTTTTTGAACTTAAATTACACAAATGCTTGGATGAATAACATTTAGGTACGTTTTACAGGCAAGGGGCCAAACTATTCCCATTAAAAAATATTGGTAAAACTTTTCATAATATTGTGAGAGCATTGCTTTCGTATCGTTACAGAATGAATCATAGAGTAATCATATATTCAGCAGGTACTCAGGTAATAGGAAGGTACTGAAGTAGGCTTATTAATTAAGGCCACTATGGTCAACGATCATATTGCTTATGCCATACGTGCTAAACGTTCAACATAAATATTTAAACATATTTACGCATTTCATTTTCAGGAATTTGATAAACTAAAACATTTACAACATCGACAAAGCTTCACTTACTAATCAAAAGGACGTTTTAGTTTCCCTGCTCAATACATAGACCAGCTCCGGTTCCTTTAGTGTGTTGCGTTTCCACTATAAAATTGCACATTATCATATTAACTCACTGCTAATTACACAGGATTGTATCGCGTTTAATATTGAAATTAATTTGACATCCAATTAAGCTCCTAACTTCGTTCAAATTAAACGCAGAAAAATCCGTAAACAAGTAAATTTTTATTAGCAAAAACAAAACCGAACCGAACAAACTATTTTATTTTGAGGAGTTCACCGACTTATCTCCGGGTTAGGAGGTTCAATTAAAATAATATTGTACCGCTTGGCAGATATATCGCACCCAATACAAAAAGAATTCTCCAAATCGGCTTAGGTGTCTTCAAGTAATCGGTGAACATACATAAAAAAAAAGATTCCGACGAATTGAGAAACTTCTTTTTTGAAGTCGGTCAAAATTGGTTTCACTTGACTGCACAACACCTATTTTACGGTAAGTGAAACATATCGAGTGTGGCAATAAACTATATCGAATAATGTTTAAGCACGTGTTTGCAGGCTTTATTAAAAATTACAAGTGTCAGGTAGTTGCCACTGTTACGCGAGGACGTTTTGATTATAAATGTAAATAAACCTACACTAAATATTCGCCTATATCGGGGTTAAATCGACTCAACTCCTTTCGTTGTACACTAAAACACCAAATATATACGAACGCTAGGAATATAGTGACGCGATGTAGGGTAATACTATCATTAAAATTTTAAGCTACTCGGTATCATGATTACGACAAACCGCAAAACACACCGACACACGACTTTAATAACTACTCTAAAATTTGTGCGTATCGATCTAATTTTATAAATAGTAGATTAGTACCGGAATTTTATTAATATCTTTGCTAGACTTAATTAGGGAGACATGTTTGAATGTACTTCGCAAAAGCAAAAATATTAACAGAATTCCAGCTTAATAAATAGGTACTCCTCTAACATGACAATACTCAATGTCACTTCATACTAAATAAATTAAAAATTATCATATAAATATATTTTCTTTTAATTTATACGCTTATTGCTATCTCTGTCACACAGATTAAATAATGAGCTCGATGGATCTCACTTTTAAACTTTGATAAAAATTGTACTAAAAGGTCGACAACACAACATTCATTATACGCGATCAACCTTACACAGTTAACGCTTTGGTTATGGCCGTACAACAAACAAATCACAACTCAACTCCCTTCTTCGGTAATAGGAATTTCATCATCGAGGTCCCAAAGACGAAGACTGAAAATCTTACCCATTAATCGGTGATTTCAGACTTCTGGCAACACGATAAGACACGACTAGGGGATTAACTCGTACAATCTAATCAAAAATCTATAGCATTTTATCGAGAGTTTTCCATTCTATAGGTCCTAATCGAAATACACTACCATTCGCAATTAATACGAGCTAAATATTAAATTACACTCCAAATTATTTAAATACATACGTCAATCGCTAAACAATATCTATAATTATTTATTGCTTTCTCTGGTTTCATCTTGCGGAAGACTTATGCAACTAGTGCTTTATAAGTACGATTGAGGCCAGATGACACTGCAACAAGGTGTCAAGAAAGAACCGTTGATACTAAATCGGCAACCTACACATAATCGATTAATCATAAAAAGATTAAGGAAGAAAGATCGATAAATTGGGTAATGATGGTGAATTCAACAAAAGTTAAAAAACAGCCATATATATATATATATATATATATATCTTCGCATAGACTAAAACTAATTCTTATATAACAAAATATAGAATATGTCTTTAAAACGTTTCACGCGTTAAACATACGATGAACTCCTTATAATGGAATTTGACCCAAAAAACTATACAATTAAACCATGTTAAGTACAAAAAAAATTCATAACACTAACAATAATTGTTATAAAAAGGCCTTTTTAGAGGAACAATCAGTTATTACTTATATAAAGCCACTTAAAATATTTGATAACGGGTAAAAGTAAGAAGACAGTTGTCCATATAATTTGTAAATAAAATTAAGTTAAACAGCTATAACAAATTTTAAAATAACCTTAGAATTAAGAATATAAATTTCTCTTCACTTAGATAATCGGGTAACAAGCTTTAAAAAAGCTTCATTATGAGGTAGTAAAAGGTAAGACATTCTTCGTGCAAACGTCATGTATAACTGAAGTAATAATCAATTCCGTTTCATGCATGTTTCATGGAAAAATCTGCGATACACGCAGAACATTCAAAAAGAATGTCCCATAAGAAAGATCATTTGATTGGTTACTAGAAGGAAAGGCAAATGTGACAGTTTGCTAAAAATGTACGTATCTGATGTCAGCGCAACAAGTGTAAATTTTTGTGCACTGATTTTAGCAACGGTACATGTTTTGGTAGGAATTATTTGCGTCTCTAGGGTCAGTTTTCATTTTGTTGCTTCGGTCAAATGAAATTACAAAGAGGGCTACAGGGAGTTAAAAATTAGAAAATTCCAATATGCCAGTGTCAAGTAACCCCGGGGCAGCTGGCGGGTTCAGGGGATGGAGTGAGTAAGCTCACAATGGGGTGGTGAACGTGTTGTCACAGTGGGGTCACCTGAAAGCATTTGTGTCAAATGACCTCAAGGCACAGATGGAGTTGCCAGTATGAAGTGATGCAGGAGCCACTAGAGGGTTTAGGGGATAAGGTGAGTAGGCTCACGATGGGATGGGGAACGTGATGTGACTATGGGGTCACTTGATACCATTTGTGTTAAGTGACCTCTAGGCACTGATGGAGTCGCCAGTATCAAGTGATGTCGGGGCACCTAGCGGGTTTAGGGGATAGGGTGAGTAGACTCACAATGGAGTGGGGAACGTGATGTCACTGTGGGGTCACTTGATACCATTTGTGTTAAGTGACCACTAGGCACTGATGGAGTCGCCAGTATCAAGTGATGTCGGGGCACCTAGCGGGTTTAGGGGATAGGGTGAGTAGACTCACAATGGAGTGGGGAACGTGATGTCACTGTGGGGTCACTTGATACCATTTGTGTTAAGTGACCACTAGGCACTGATGGAGTCGCCAGTATCAAGTGATGTCGGGGCAACTAGCGGGTGAGGGGATAGGGTGAGTAGACTCACGATGGGGTGGGGACGTGATGTCACTGGGGGGTCATTTGAGTCAAGTGACCTCTAGGCACCGATGGAGCCTCCAGTGTCAAGTGACCCTCAGGGCGAGGCGTGGTGTCTCCGGCGGCGGCGGAACACGAGCGCGAAGATGCTGCGAAGGCGCCTCCACCTCCGACGCCCGCCGCTCATGGAAATGCCCGTCCCCATCAACGAAGACTGTTGGATAACCAAACTTTTTAATATTATTTTTATGTTAGAAATTGGGGAGCGAGCAAGCGGTTCACCTAATGTTAATTAACGCTGCCTATTGATACCTAAAGCCCCGGACGGGTTGCAGAGGCATTGACAATTCATTCGCCTCTTTCCGTCTACGACTTAAACCGCGTGGACACGGCTGGAGATTTCTTGGACAATTTCGCCAAAGTAGTATTCTAAAACTTACTTTTAGCGGTTCACACGTCACAAATTCTATGGCATAACACAAGACTAGAAATTCAGAAAAATTCCAGTAATACAGTGACTCCACTATTGAAGGAAAATTCAGATGGTGCTGCGATCGATAAATGCATCATTTCATTCTTAAATCTTATAAAGTATAATGTATCGTAATTTGTAAGTTGTGAATAAATAACGTTGAATTTAATAAATATCAATAGACTATAGAATATTTCTGATACAGAATAAACGATGGCGGGGAGCTTTTACTCCGTAAAGACTGAACATATTTTTCGTTTATATCACATCGCAATACAATACAAAGTTGAGCATAGAGTTGCGAGTTTTAAGTTGAACATTTTTGTTGGTCTAAAGCTTGCTTGAAGACTTCACACTTGAGGTTAAGAGTAAATTTATGAGAATAAATAATTAAAGTCAAATAATATACCTGTCTCTGTCTTTCCAGGCGTCGTATCTCTCTCACCAGCGCATGGAACGCATCATCAACGAAGTGTCGTAATGCAGCAGATGTCTCGAAGAATGGACAACCAAGCTGTGTAGCTAAGGCTTTTCCTTCCTCAGTGGTGACCTGTGTGAGAAAATTTACGTCCTCGATTGATACAACAAACTTCGCGATAAATTAAAATTATTGCTTTAAAATGTAATCAATCACTGCCTCGGCTTGTTAAATTGGATGACACATTGGCACATACAGGCAAATTTATGTGCTTCTCTATTTCCCCATAATTCACGTCTAGACTCCGGAAAGCATAACACATTCGCTATCGCATTGTGGTACCTTAATAAAAGAGGCATGAATAACAAATAGAAAGGTCATACCAGACTTCAAGGCTGGATTGGTACGAGAAACCAGGCTCTCGAGAACAATAGATTAGCATTTGCGTTTTCCATTGATCTCTCGAACGCCTTTGATAAGGTTTCCAGCGTACAACATATGTTCTAGTGAAATCGATTGGGTGAAATATCTCTCCGAATCGTTGTCGATGGCTGTTCATTCGAGACATGATGGCTAACTCTTCTAGAACGATCTATAGATAAGCAGACTGTAGCACAATTAGGGAGAACTACCAACCGAAGTTTCGGGCCAATAGAGATTAAAATGCAATGATAGGGAGTTTGAAATATGTTGTATAGACACGACTTACTTGTCTAAACCTCGGCGCCAAGTCCAGCTTGTTGCCGACGAGCACAAGAGGCAGCCTCTCCGACGGCCTTGCTTGTGCCAACAGTCTTCTGTATTCAGAGGCCGCGCGAAACGATCGTCGATCTGTCACCGAGTAGCACAGCACGAAACCTTCTCCGCATCTCATATACTGTTCCCGCATGGCCGTGAATTCCACCTGCCGAAATTAACCGATGTAAAGCAATTTCTTTTGAACTTTATTTAAACAATATAAAGATTATTTAAATATGTATTATAAACAATAAAATAAATTATTGACTAGTTAGTTATTTATAAAGCTTTTATGCATTCGATGAGTGTGTATTATTTGATTCCAAAACAAAATTTTAGCATAAAACTCTCAAATGTTTTATATTATAATTGTTGAATTTACATCCTGAAATATGTATGCAAAAAGTATACTAACCTGTCCAGCTGTATCCAAAATATCTAACAAAGCTGGTTCACCATCTATTACGGCCTGTTGCTGATAAGAGTCCTCTGTAAAATTAATGAAACCAATTGTACCGAAAAGAAACCAAAAAGTTAGTTTTAAAATTAAATCATATTTGTAGGCCATGTAGGTATGGTATCAATATGCAATACTTTAGCACTAAATTATAAAATAGTACCTAAACTTTGCTTTATTTGTTACTTTCACCACCTCCAAAATATGGTTATAAAAGTAAGTAGTAATGTAAACCTAAGTGTATTACTTGTTTTTGTAATCCCTAATTAGCACACAAGTACTATAAAATGATTAGCACAACTTTGAAATCTGTAAAGCTGTTAGATTAGAGTACATACTTTACACATATAAGTGCATTGTTCCACTTCAATCGGCTTGTGCCAATCAATTAGTTTATTTGGGTGGATACATGATTCCATTTGGCAGTTTTTGATTCCCGAACATCATCTATATTTATTCAAATTTACTGCCTGGCCTTGCTAATTAATGCTGGGCAGCTTATCCTTACTGATTAATATATAAATGAATACAAAACATATAACAATAATCCTATAATTTCTAATACAGACATAGCCGTCATGATCTGTGCATGTGTGTATGCCGAAATGTCATTACGGACCAGTGACAGTCAAAAATTTATCAAATAACCTCTGGTAAATTTATCAAATAACCTCTGCTTGCTCATCATGCCAATATACAGTGATGATAAATATCAATTCATTCAAATTATATAATTCTAATATAAATTATCAATACTGCAATTATTTAGCAGCATTCAGCATACATAAAAGAAGTTTAATTTACTAATGTGTATTGTAATCATAAAGAACTCTACTTATATTTTAAAATTATTCAATGAAGTAGTGAGAAAGTAATATGATAATGACCACCATTGTCATTTACCTACTTATTGATAAATCTATGTGCTTTTGCATGGAATGTTAACCTTTTTAGTGACTATGACTTGAACTATTATATCGTTAATTTATGTGATATTTACAACTATTATGGTATAATTGAACAGATAACTCTTAGCCACAATGTCTGTCATAACCTGGATAAGTGATTAGTTGATAATTACCATAATTATTCAATAAAACTGAAAAGTTTTTATCATGAGTTTGGACAAAAAGTTCTTACCTATAGTCGGGTCATGGTAGTCCAGAAAACTATGGCTTACGAACTGTAATGTTACAGCGGACTTGCCAACACCGCCATCTCCAAGCACCACTATCTTGTAGACGCGGAGGCCGCGTGACGTGCCCGCAGCCTCGCCGGCCATGCCGCTGCATGCCTGGGGCTCCGAGCCGCGCCCGCCGCCACCGCCGTCTCCTCTCTCACTCCCCACACTCCCGATCCGCCATCGGCACAGACCTCCACCCAACTCTAAAACCACCTTGCCTACTTTACTCACACTGAATATCTTTAAGCACGGCACCGTTTATCATAATCCATTTTGTTTACATATAAAGTTAAAAAAGTAGATTTTTTATAAAAAAATCGACAGCTGATTGAGTAAAGATGATTGACATTTCGAATTCTCAATGTTTTTCCTGTTACGTTGGTAACCATGAACTCTACGAAAACGTTCCTATCGTAATCTAATTTAAACTTTGTACTTTTAAGTACATATTACTTTTATAAACCTTTTATACCAATATTACTAATATTAAATCTAACTAATAATGTACTAAAACTAGTCCACGCGGCATGTTACCAAAAGAAGACATGATGCTAGCTGATTTCCGAATGAATTAAGTTTTTGAACGAGAAAAGAGCCAGCCTACTTGTCACCAGCCACGGTGATAATTTGTGTCTATTTTAATTTCCAAATATATGGAAGATATATGATACATCTCTTACATAACATTTATTTCCTTATACATTTTTTATATTTAATGTAAAGACAAATGTTACGTTAAATATTTTTAATCTATACTTGGGATCGAGACATGTATGATCTATATATGTTTTATGTTGTTTTTTTTACCTCATTACCTGTCAAAATGTGCTTTGTAAATAAGAAATAAATATTATAAAATGGCCCATATTCAGTTTGTAGATGAATTGGTCCGTGAATACCTCCTGTTTCGTGGTTTTACATCCGCAGTAAAAGCGTTTGATAACGATTTAAAGGCTGATAAAGACAAAGGTTTTAGAGTGGACAAGATTGTGGAACAAATATTACATTATATAAATGTTTCTGATCTATCTGGTCTTAAAGAGTACTGGTCTCATTTGGACAGCTTAGTATTTTCAAAATTAGAAGTTCATGTTCAACCAGGTTGGTACTCAACTTTCTTATTTATTCTTTATTGCAATGACCTTAAAAAAGCAGCTTATAAACCCTTTATAGGGCAAACTTCATGCCTTTTCGCATTCTCTCCCAGTCAATCCGGGGCATGGTGCGAAATCTTGGTAGGTCCAATTAGTACCTTAAATTATGTTGGTGCATAATTATTTATTTTATTATAATTGCCAGTGCTAACGTCCCAAATAATTATTGTAGAATATACTTTGAGTCTAAACTGTAGATTTTGATTTGGCGATTAGCTAATTCAGATATTGTAATATGTAAAAGTTTTCTTTATATTACTTACACCAAGCACATATTTTATCCTTGTTTCAATACTATCATGTGACAATTACAGCTGTCCGGAAAATAGAATATAGTCTTTACAAATTATATCTAGTAACAGCATCTCAGAATACTGGAGGAGTAAAAAATGAAAAAGTATCAGAGTTTTTATCGAAAATGCTTCCAGAGTTACAAGGTCAAAATGAGTGGAAGGACTGGTTCAGTAAGTAATTTTGGCAAACTTATTTAATAAAACCTTTCAATGCAATACAAAAACACTTTGATGAGCAGTATAGATTGTATTATGTATTATCAGCTCAGTAAGTATTAAGAAGGCGGATTTATATGCATATAATAATAATTTTTAATCTCTAATGTTTGCAAATGTATTTTCCAAATCCATTTTTGCATTTTTAAATACAACTGCAGTTTGAAAAAATATCATGGATAGGTAAATGATTTAATACAATTACAGCATACAATTATAAGAAATTATTTGTGTTACATGTGTAACTGTACACTATAGAAAATGTCATTAAATGTGGTGCATACTTCAAATTTCAAATCCAATTCTCATCCAATTATCAAATTGCCACATAAGAGTTTCAACTTCCAAATATTGGAAATTATCTTTTATGTGATTTGAAGATTCTTCACATTCCTAGCCAAACTCCTCTTGACACTAATTAGTGAATAGAAAAACAATTTTTGTAAATGTACATTTACACTACATGTATTAAATTTTCAGTGTTACCATATATACAAAAACCAGAAGAGAATCCATCATTCAGTTTGTATTACACTCGTGCTTGGCAAGACAGTGTGCTAGTATCCCTTCATAATCTGTTGGCTACAGTGTTCCAATGCATGCCACAACCAACCCTCACAAGCTACGAAAGTGACACAGCTCTGGTGAAGAGATTGCAGGATGAAATCACCGTACTGAGAAGCAAGGTAAGGTAGGGGATACTGTTAGTAATATGGCAAATTCATCATAATTATATCACACTAAAATCTCTTTGTGTGTTTGTTTCCTATTTTTTTCCGTGGCATCTCTTATAAGCTTGATTAACACATTAGAAACTTTTATAATGTACTTATTTAACCATTTATATCTAAAAGAATACATTTAAAAACCACCATCTAAAAGTTGATTATGAGAGATTTTTTTTTTATGGGAAAAGAATGCAAACTAGCATGCGGGTTACCTGATGGTAAGCGATCACCGCCGCCCATGGACATTTGCAACATCTGTTAAGTCGCAATTGCGTTGCCGGCCTTTAAGATAATAGTAGGCTTTCTTCTTGAAGGTTCCTAAGTCGTATCGGTCCCAAAATGCCACTGGCGACAACTCGTTCAACAAAGTAGTTGTATGGGGTACAAAATTTCGTGAGAAACGCACAGTGGTGGACTACCAACCATCAAGGTGGTGTCGATGGTACTTGGCGGTTTGACGAGTTGTACGATGGTGAAATTCACCAGCAGGTATCAACCCAAACAATTCCTCAGAGCACTCCCCACGATATAAGCCGATAGAAAATGCATAGGGATGCACCAGCCCTTCGCAAGGCCAAAGAGTCGAGGCGATCGGACAGGATTTGGTCGTCGACGATTCGAACAGCTCTTTGTTGAATGCGGTCAAATAGAAGATAGTTGGTATTTCGGTGCCCCAGCCCAGAGGTGAGAACAGTATTCCATGTGCGGCCGAATCGGTGCTTTTTATAGCTGCAAACGATGTGCCGGTAGGAAATACTGTGCTCGGTTGAGGACACGGAGTTTTTTAGAAGCTAGCTCGGCTTTTCCTTCCAAATATAATAAATAAATATATATTCCTTTATTCTGAACAATACAAATTGTGTTGATTTATTGAATGACCGCGGAAATGAACGCTGCTCGATATATCGACCCCATGAATTCCGATCGAATCGGTAGCAACAAGGAGAGTGCCTTCAAAAGAGGGAAATACGACGTAGGGTTTCCTCTTTGCGATGAATGCGGAAACCTGTGTCTTCATGGGTTTAAAGTGGACTAAATTTAGTTGGCCCCAACCCGAGATTTTGCATAACAAAACTTCGACTTCAGACACAAGTTTTATCCGGCACTCTTCGACGTATTTCTGAGAAATATTTGCCCGGCCGGTATACATATAATGCGTCACCCGTAGTGTCATCCGCATAGCTATGAAAGTTGCATATATGCAACAGATCATTGATATGAAGAAGGAACAACGTAGGGACTGGACGCAGCCTCGTGGGACACCAGCGTTCACGAATTTAGCGTCAGTGCAAGCACCGACAACAACATCCTTGATGTTCTGACAATTAAGAAAACAAGTGATCCAGTTGCATAATTTCTCAGGAAGCCGGAAGATTATCATCAGCCCAATATATTGTCTTATAACCAAATAAAAATTCACTTTTTCAGACGCAGCAGTCTATTGAGAAGACTTCACCAATCGGCCATCAGTCTCGCTTAGCTCAATATTCCGAGCGTCTTAGTGGGCCACTGCCTTTGGTGGATGATTTCTGTGCAGTACCAACAGAACAACTTGATAGTGGACTCAGGGAAGCTAGAGGGCTCCGTGGGCTCCTCCGGCAGATGGGTGGGAGCCCTGTTATGGGAAGAAAAGCAGCAAGATCTCAAAGTCAAAACTGATGGGGCAATTTCTGCTTAAGCAACCTAGTGAAGTTTTGTGATTTAAGAAGACTATTCAAGAGTCACGATTAGTGTTCATAATCTCTAATGGATGCCTGATTCAGAACTGGTGTCATAACAATATACAATTTATAATATGATTAACATTATCTATTGAAATTTGTAAAATGTCAGTTATGTATAACTATTATTATTAGATATTGAAATCGAAATTTTATTGTTGTTAGCGTTTTTTTTAAGTCATATTTTTACTTATTAGTATAGTTTCATACTTTATACCGAACAACCGATTGGCCTAGTGGGTAGTTCACCTGCCTCTTACGCCAAATGGTGTGGGTTCGATACTGGAAAAATATTGTATGGTGTACATAGTGTTTTTCCAGTCTGGGTGTTTATATATTTATAATGTGTATTTATTTACGAAAGAAAGGTTTGTTTAAATATGTTTATCAGTTATTTAGTACCCATAGTACAAGTGTTGGTTATTTCGGGACTGGAGACTGTTGTGTAAAATTGTGTCCTGAAATATTTATTATTACAATACAGATATAAGGACATCGATTGTATCAACGGCAACATACGGCAATCAGTTGAAGGCTATGCTGTTATTGAACTGTTAATTTACAATTAAAAAAAGGCTCAAAATAATTTGAATGCAATGTTATAATTTGCCCTGGTATTTCTTGGTTTTTTGTAATTGGGTGTTCATTGTACTATTATATGATAGACTAATCAATTTGTATTAAAATTATTGTTAGCGTTTAATAACCATTGTAAATAAAATCGTACGTCCTAAAAACAAACGCCGTAGCATAATTTCCGGAAACCGTCCGTGTACGTACGACAAAATACATAAGTTGAAAACATGTAATAAAATAAAACTACCAATAAAACAAATTTCAACTTCTTTTAATAGTGTGTCAAGTGTCTCATTTTATTCTTAAGAATATGTATATGAAATGGATACCCACAATACTTAAGGACGCGTTTACGAATTCACGCGCTTCAATTTTAGGTACAGAGGCGTACTACTACACGTGCACGGCTCACGCACACAGCGACAAGCGCGAAGCAGCGAAACTTTATGTAACTGACGCAACTTGATACTTTTATTTAATTTGAAGTCATTTATTTTTTAAGCTTACGTTAAATTTGTTTTCAACATGTTTTTAAACTGAATATTTTTTTATATATTTAGGTATAATTTATTAAATTTCATTTAAAAGCTCGTAGCTGTTGATAATTTGCGTTTTAATTAATTATGTATATAATTTAATTTTATGTTTTAATTAATTTTTATGAAGTAAATAAAGCTTGTTTTATACATGTTTGATTATGCGTGCGGTAGGTAGATAGCTTGATAGGTAGGTAATGATAGGGTACGTAGGAAGGTAGCTATGTAGGCAGATAATTAGGTAAAACCCGCTAACGAATTGAGTAAAATACTTTGTATGGTATTCTGAATGCATTTTGCTGATTCAATAATATTCATGCTAAATGTTAAAAAAAATAATTTTCTGTAAATGAATTGGAAATAGCATGGCGTACGAAGCCGGGCTAGTATCTAGAAACTAAAAATGAAATAATAAAACGAAGGAAACAAACTAGTAAAAATTAAAAAAAACATTTTTATAAAAAAAAACCTGTCGCACTCGGCTCAGCTGGGGTAAAGCTATAGCATAGCATCTTTTATCAACTTATGCGATTATAATTATTTAATTATGCAGTATTTTTTTCTTTGATATTTATGTTAATAAATAATAATATTTTAATAATATAATAATTAATATATATTATAATTAATAATATATAATTAATTTATATTATTTACAAAAATGATAAGAACTACTAAGTCAGTCACTAAGCTCTGGATAGTTAAATTACAATATACTAATGAATGGAATGTCCGAATTTAATCGTTCAAAAAGTTATATAAAGATATTGAAACAGTCTTAAATATAAAGTAATTTATTTTTATAAGAATTAATACCAAGATACAAATAAAGAGCCTTTTCTAGCGGCGGCATTTCAATCAAAATTTTAAGGTAAAAGAATACTTATTGTGGCATAACTATAATAGTTAGACATATATTGTCGCAACACTTTTTATAAATAATGATGTGTTCTGCAAATTCGTAGTACATTATTTTATACAATTATCAATAGTTTTAGCAGCGCACGCGATGCAAACAATATTTTAGGTAATTTTTGTACACTTTGGTTTACATTATTCAAGTTTTAGTAAGGATTCCTAGTTTTTTGAAAATTTAATATATCCTATGTCATCCGGGGATAATGTAGCTTCGAGACAGTGAAAGAAATTTTCAAATCTGTTCAGTGGTTTAGGAGCCTATTCAATGCATAAAAACAATCAAATCTTTCCTCTTGCGTGGTAGGCGGAGTGGGTGGTGTTAGGTTTTATTTTCGTTACGGAATTTATTGATTCGTTCGCCGCGCTCAAAGCCCGCGATAAAAAGCTGTGCAATAGCTTAAAAAAATATTGTTTCATTTTTAATTTGACTCTTCCATGCTCTTCGCAGAACTGTCGCTATGTCGATCCTGGGTGGAGCCAGCCCGCGAGGCCAATTTATACCTCCGACACGAGGTTCTGGCTCCGCCTTTTGATGTTCACTCTAGGGATAGGGAAGACCACACGGAGTCGGGGTGCTCTGTGTCGGATCTTTGTGATTTTTCTTTATAGTTCTCTATCATTTCATTATTTTTGTTATCTATATCGAAGTAGTAGCCTGCTAAAATTTTATCGTTTTAGGTTTTGGCATCTGAAACAACAATTGAGTTATAAGAGGTATAAATGTTGTATGTGATAACTGTGCCATAAAAATAAGTCTTTGATAATTTAAGTTGAGACCCACTACATTTTATAACTATTTTTTTTTTCGTGTTTTGCCTATTTTAAAGACGTTCTTACTTATTTTAAATTAAGTATTATTTTAGGCAGAATCCATGATCATAAAAGTTGATCAGTGCGAAACACGAAAAAAAATAAACGATAAATGGGGTCATAAACGTGAAACAAAAAGTTTGCCACATAGCTGTCGTTCGAAACTTTTGAAGTACATGTTTATTACACCTACTCATTGAAACATACAAAAAAATGACCTTTTAGACATGCCTAATCTTACAATTTGCACGTGTGCAAATTTGTTTTGTATTACTTGTATTTTTAATTATCCATACAACTTTTCTACATGTGGTGTACTTTTGGCCAACATTTGGCTGCATGGAAATAAGAATTTATAATAAAATACCAGATAGTTTCATAGGCCTCCCGGAGTATTTAAATTTAAACGAAAATTCTAAAATCTGTACACTGTCAAATAAGACATTTAAAATATTTAATCATGTCTAAGTAATGTACAATGTTTATATTAAAAATTCATTACTTTGACTTGTGATTTACTTTGACTTATATTTATACTCTATTGACTCATAATTATAATCTAAATTTCAATTTTTTTTATGTTAACATGTTTCACAAATATTTATACACAGAATTGATGTAGAATAGTTCCATATTTTAAATAACTTTTTTACTGTATTCTTACACCTTCATGCCAATACATCAATTTCAAAGGTAAGGTCTCAAAAAAACTCACAAAACAAGCCCAAACTCGACACACATAGCTCATCTCGTCTGTTAGTTCCAGTAGCAGTTCTCGAAGTACACCTTCAGGTCACTCCATCTATTCAGAAGGCAAGATCTCACCATACCTAACAAAACAAGCCCAAACTCGACACACATAGCTCATCTCGTCTGTTAGTTCCAGTAGCAGTTCTCAAAGTACACCTTCAGGTCACTCCATCTAGTCAGAAGGCAAGGTCTCACCATACCTAACAAAACAAGCCCAAACTCGACACACATAGCTCATCTCGTCTTTTAGTTCCAGTAGCAGTTCTCGAAGTACACCTTCAGGTCACTCCAACAAATCAGAAGGCAAGGTCTCACCATACCTAATAAAACAAGCCCAAATTCGACACACATAGCTCATCTCGTCTGTTAGTTCCAGTAGCAGTTCTCAAAGTACACCTTCAGGTCACTCCATCTAGTCAGAAGGCAAGGTCTCACCATACCTAACAAAACAAGCCCAAACTCGACACACAGAGCTCATCTCGTCTGTTAGTTCCAGTAGCAGTTCTCGAAGTACACCTTCAGGTCACTCCAACAAATCAGAAGGCAAGGTCTCACCATACCTAATAAAACAAGCCCAAATTCGACACACATAGCTCATCTCGTCTGTTAGTTCCAGTAGCAGTTCTCAAAGTACACCTTCAGGTCACTCCATCTAGTCAGAAGGCAAGGTCTCACCATACCTAACAAAACAAGCCCAAATTCGACACACATAACTCATCTCGTCTGTTAGTTCCAGTAGCAGTTCTCGAAGTACACCTTCAGGTCACTCCATCAAGTCCGTAACGAAATATGAATTTTTAACCCGTACTAATTTCTAGTAAAAATATGACAAAGTGTGAATTATAGTTTACTTTTGTCGTTCGTAGTCCGAAGTCCGAACATGATGTGTAAAGTATCAACTTTGTTACGACAAATATTTTGTATTCGTACAGCGATCTTTTTCCTCACGAGCTGCTGTTTATAAGCGACATAGTGACCACTCATGACGGCAGCCGAGCGCCGACTAATATTACCTTAAATATTTTTGTGGAATAAATCAAAAAAGTGACCAGTAAAATAACCTTTATGTCAATCACTTAAGATTCACGCGTAAGATATAAATGTGAAAGAAATAGATTTTAATGTTTATTTTTTTCTGAAACTAATTTCAACAATTTTGATACGTAATGTAGCTACCTTTTTGAGTTGAACATGTGTGCTTACATAAAGTATTTTTAAATAAAAAAAATATGTTATTAAATAAGAGAAAAATGTTCCTAAACCCAACAGGATATCGTCCATTTTGAGTGAAGTGGTCACGAAAATTCTCATTTACAATATTATAAACCAAAATTTTCGATTAAAAACTATCTACCATTTGAAGATGAAGGAGGGATCTATATGTGATAATTATTACTTACATTATATTCGTTTCGTTTTGCCGCAAAATGTACCTGAAAACCCCCTATTTTTGCAGATTCCGCGAGATTTCGCAAACACGCCCTTAAATGTGTCATGTTGAGAAATAACAGGCACGTATTGCTCGACCGTTTCAACAGAAATACCACAGGACTTGCTGTAGTTTAAACAGCCACTTGGCCGGTGCCCGGCACAGTACATGTACTCGCCACTGTCCTTGACCAATTGAAATCGAGCTTTAGGGCCAAGCGGCAGCCTGCACGCAAGTCGCAACTGTTGCACGAATGATCATCGTCGGGGAACTATCGATTCAAAAAATTTTGTCGGTCTTGTTATTTCTGTAAGAATTTTTTTTTTGGAAGTGTAATAAACGTCATTAAATCTAAGCCAAATACAACAGGCAAATAAAAATTACATTTTTAATATGTTGGTTTACCTATATTGAATAACTAGACTGCATGATCATTCGTTGCAAAATAAAACAAATAGTTGATAATTTTAGTCATTACCTACCTTGCGTCAAAATTAACATGTCAACTTTCAAAATTATGAAGTGAATACTACCTACCTTTAAAATTATAATGAGTAGCGAGGCTTTTTATACCGATGCGTTAGGCAGAAGCGGGAGACGTAATAGAAACTGGTATAGTGAAAATCTGTTAAATGTTCTTGAAGCTGCCAAAGAGAAACAAGCTCGGGAAATAGACGCTTCAATAGCCCTAGCTAAAGATCTTTTACAGGTACGTATATTGGGTACCACTTCTGAACTTTGGCCTTATGGAAAAGTCGTAATAATAAAATATGATTACGATAAAATCAAATTAGGTGTGTTGAATTAATTGTAATAAGTATAAAGATGTATATTTAATTACGAATTTTAATTTACTGCTTTTGCATTGTGCACAGAGATTGTAACAAATTCCGTGACAATAAATCAGTAGGTACTAACTCTTGTGTTCATAGATATTAAATAGTCCTCGAAAGAAACCTGAGCTCGTGCCTCCGCACGATTTAGTTCCGTCGGAAGCTAATTGTCTTATGAAACCTATTGAACCAGAAGTTCTAGATTTGCTTTATGGAAGTACTGAGAAAGGGGCCACATTTAAATATCTAAATGCGAGAAATAAGAAATCTCCAGAGGAAAAGTGAGTGATTTTTAAGACTAAATACGATTTTCTAAAGTAGATACAGTCCGTAGGGGCATTAGCGTTGATAAGCATTTAAACAATTGGACGTTATCGTGATGAAAATGAAAATCATTTATTCATCGATAAAGTCACATACATTTCATTTATCGATAGTCATTTTTAAGCTACCACCATTTCGTAATGCGGATCGTAAAACGAAACTCGTACTTTTAGATTACACCTTTAATCATTTCATAGTAACGGGAAACAGTGTTCCCCAGTGGTGTTTGTATCCTAAATATCAAATAAGTTAAAAAAAATTACCACAATGCAAACGCATAATAGTATAAATACTTTAAAATATAAAACAATTTGACGGGAAAAAGTGAACTTATCCGCCTTTACTCGGTCATTAACGTTAGAACGAGATCATCACACATCTTTAAATTCATATCCAAAACTTTCAAAATCTGCTCTGGATCAACGGAACACCACAAAAACCCTGCTGCACCCTGTGGAAAACTTTTAGCATCGTATACCCGAAAAGTAGTTATTTTTATGTTTAAACACAGTATTAGCCCGTAGAAGTAATTTAAAGCTATGACATTATCATACGTTGAACAGATTCAACTATCGTGTAACCACAAACTTGGAGTACGGCTGGCAGCACAAGCAATCGCGTGTGCCGCCCCGCGATTTTAACAGAGGACGATGCGCCATTCTGCGCGACACTTTCTACCGTAAGAATAACCTAGCGCCCGACCCGCCGCACTACGCTCAACCGGCCGGCGGAGAGTTCTCAATATGCAGCGTGTATTCATGTAACTTTTAACTAACAATCGGCTCTTAACTCACAAAAGAAATGTTGCAATCATATAATAACGTAAACAATATAAGGCTCAAACACATTCATTTGTATTTTTGTTTATGTTTGAAAAAAGCCACGCGAACATTTTCTAACACTGTAGTCTGGCAGTTTGCACGGGATGTACACGACTGCAGTTGAAGTGTAGAAACTTTTTTTTATGTGAGAAAGTGGCAAACGACACGCGGTTCACCTGATGTTAAGTGATAACCGCCTGCCCATGGACATTTGCAACACCCGTAGGGTTGCAGATGCGTTGCCACCTTTTAATAATGTGGGCCCCGGCTACCTCACTCACCAGACGAAACGCAGAAGTGCAACACATCTACTTTACGTCGGTCTTCTGTGAGGTCGTGGTACTAACCCGGACGGACCTGCCCATTCGTGCAACAGCGAACACTGTTGCGTGGCCCTACCACCATAGGGAACCACCTTCCAGGAGCCACACATTACACTGTTGCCCGACTTAACTTCAGCCCACTAGCCTTTGATGGCTCTGAAAAGCCGAATGCCGGACAAGTTTCACTTGACGAAGGTGCCCCACATATTCTAAATTGGGGCTGTGCTACGATTGTACTTGTCCAACAAAAGGTCGACGTGCGCAGCGACTATGTTACTCGATAATTAAAAAAAAATCACAAGCCCTTGATGGAAACCGCAGCGAATTTACAACCAGACCAAAATGCGTTAATTCGTAAATTACATTACATGGCGCTACTACCGCGACCTTAAATAAACACACATGTAGAGGATAACTTTTTAAAATTGTAACTTTTTAAAACTTTTAGAACACCTTTACGTATAAAACTGTAACGTTAAGTTCATTTGTAAAGGTCACAATGCATATACTTTGGGATAACATTATCCTGTTACAACACAGGATAATGTTTGACGTTTTAAAAACATAAATTTCACGCGGACGAACACCCAGATGCCTAAAAACAACTATTCGTGGGACACAAATAGTTGTCCCCTGTGGGAATTAAACCCTCGACCCCCGACGCCGAAGCCAAATACATTGACAACTGCGGCAATGAGTCTTGAAATCATTGGCCGAATGAATTTAAAAGAGATAAAACATACTATCTAACAGGAGAGACTTGTGATAGGAATTTGTGGGACCGAATGAAAAAGTCTTAGAATGTGTGAATCAGTCAGTTGAAGATGTATATTTTTATTTTTTAATTATACATTTTTTATGATTATTGGCAAGTAGAATTAGAAGTGTGTTCATTAAAGGTCGCGGTTGAACACCATGCTGTATATTGGGATTCATTCGTTATAATTAAAGACATCCATATACCAAAAAACATATATTTTATAATTTTATTATTTACAATAATTCAACTTTTATTTACATATTAACAACAGCAAATATACCCCTTCGCATAAGGCCGCAACTCACTGTCTAATAGGGAATCATTTCAAAATAGAATATTGTGTACACATTTCAATTGTCGTGACAAATTGACGACGAGTGACGACTGTGACGAGCAACATCACACAGCCGGATGTTCGCGCGGAATATTCGCTGGACGGGACCGAGAATTGTAGAAAGGCGCCATTCCCAATTTGCATACAAAAATAATTAACATGAAATTTTAAAGTTTACGACATAATATCTTATGTTAAGGGCCAGTAGGGCTCCCCGTCCACGAAAACTGCACCGAAGTAACCAAGGCATATTCAACTAAAATTATTTAACCATACATATCATCAACAATTTCCGTTTATACCTAACGGGTTACTAAGTAAATTAATAATAATAATAATAAATATGAGACGTCTTTGTTCTTTCTCAATTTCATAATATATGACATGTGTTATGTATGTACAATAAAATCAGTCCAACAAGTGTACAGCATAACCACTTTTACATTTAGAAATTCTTATTAGGAAATATGTATCATTGACATATAGGGTGCGCAAAACTTAAATATGCCTCTGAAGCTTAGTCAAGGTATTATGCAATACCCAATTTATTGGAATTTGAAGGGCTACATGTATTATGTCTTGCTCTTACTGCACAGGATATATAGTTGTGATCATAATTTAATAAGACAAATATTCGATTTTGTGTACAGGCAAACTAAATATGAAATGATGTTAACTGATAACTCTAATTTCTGAATGCAACTGTACATGGAAATAACTCAAGGAGCCAACTACACTTAGGCACATTTAATTTTTGGGCTATCAATACTTAGTAAATTAAAATTAATGATTGAAGATTGCACACTGATCTACAATTGTTACATTTTGGTTCATAGTGCACTAATATTAACACATCAAGAAAACTATGCATATTGATTCTGTTTAAAAGGAATATGGCATGTGCAGTCTAATTTTCGTCAATTGTGTATTAATGTTTCAAACATACTGGGGAAGTGTTTAATTGAAATTATTCGATACCATGAAAAATTGCGAAAAAAATATCATGTTGAATTGTTCACAAACATTAACAAATTAACAGACTGATAATTAAAAGAGTCAATGACCATTGCTTTCACAATAGGGCTCCTTACCGTTTCAGTTACTGAGATTAACAATTGAACATCTACATAATTGCAGAAAATGCAGAATTATGGCTATTTCTCAATAAACTTTTGATATAGACATATATAAGCATATCTGTATATACTGTACATTGAATTATATATTCAACCAGTATAATACACGCTTCATTCATGTTAGGTAAAAATGTAATGTTTATTATGACATTGGTGTTAAATTAAACATGTTGAGATGTCATGAAAGCCATTGGCTCTTTACCATAGTAAGTTATAAGGCAAGGAAATTGTTTAATTTTATGATATGAAGCATTGATTACTAAAAATATTAACTACTAGGAATTGTAATGATATAAAAAATGGATTCATGAAGGAAATAATTTCTTTCTTCCAACTCATTTTAAATCTTAATGGGGTTATCTAAGAATGATTATGTATATTGTTGCTGTGATGCAGAAGCAATTCTGTAAGTAAAATAAATATCTAAGCAACCACAATATAATATGTTATTTTAGGTGTTAATTACAATATAATATTTGAAATAATTCAAAGGCCCACAATTGTACAAAATAATAAATACATGGTAAGCATTTCCCATTCCCAGGTTCAGCCTTTTAATTATGAAGGAGATATTTTATGGATACCCTATATATTTTATGGATAGCATCATAAAAGGCACAAGCGCCGCAATGCAATTACAAACTAAATGATTGTGTAACATTCCTTTAATTTTTTTTACTACAATGACTTAAATCATATGATATGATTTTTATTGCCAATGTTATTTTGAATTTAAATCATAATCAATTTAATAACATGTTAATGATTATTAAATAAAAAAAGTTTATGGATTTTTCACATTCAATTATGTTTTTAATAACTGACAGTAATGTCATTTAGATTCTGTAGTGTTTAAAATGTCGTGCAATTAATGGGAAATCTAAAGTTACTGTGGCACCTTTTAAACACTTGCTATTACAAATATATGTTGAAATTAGTGTTGAATAAGTGTTATTCAACTGCACATGCAACATGACAAATATTTGCTATCATTATATAAACATTATAAATCGTCTAATTCAAGTAACAGCACATATCAATACTAGACCAGCAGGTAGTATAAATATGGATAATTGTGTAAAGCCTTTTTCTTGTCTTTCAGATATCAATAGATACCAAATAATTTTGAATCATTATTTGCACTAAGAAAAATTCTAATCTTCATTACTAAGTTTTCACAAAACAACTTTGAATTTTGCAAAATCTTTCTTAATAGACCATGTGATCTGAAATAGTTGAAATTATTATAACACATACATACATATGTATAACACAGCAATCAGAGTTAGTATATAAAGGTCCCATTAGCTTAAAAGTCCATAGGCTTTTGTACATTTCAAAGTACCTCATTCAATCTTCTGTTATCCCGTAATTTTGACACTCCATATGTACTATAAAGGGTTTACAACTGGTCACACGCACGATATCCGAGTGGGTTTGTTTGTGGCATTACTGACACTCAGCACTAACATCACGGGTACACTAAAGAATCCTGTTTCTCGGTGCATCTACTTCACTCCTCTGTGTCACTGGGGAAGCCCACGCTCCCAGGACTGTTCAGTGGTCACTATGTAGGGTTGCTGACGTTCGATGGTGGTGGCAGGGCTGGAGGTGGCCCAGTCGTCCATTGCACCAGCGCATGTTGTGGCAACTGCGTGGCCTGGAAATGATCCTTCAGGAGGGCTTGCGAGTAATTACAGTGCATCTGATAAGCCTCGTTCTCGCGTTCCGTGTCGCCAGCCAGCCGATATAAATCTATCACAATGCAAAAAAAGCAACTGGTTACTTTAACATTTTGTATGGGGTAAAAGAACATAAAAAAGGCAATTATAATTGTTAATATTATTAAGTTATAACTGTGGCAGGGTCTCGCCACAGTTTCTGCTGTTGCACAAATGGGCAGGCTCATCCTGGGATGTAGAAAGAGCTCACCGGCGTGAAGTGGAAGTATTTTTTATTTTCTTGTTTCATCTAGTGAATGAGGTAACCTGGGCCCCTTTTTTTAAATGTTAGAAAAATAGTTGCAACTCATCAGAGGTTGTAGAAGGCAATGGGGCCGCTTGTTTACCAACTTTAAAATAAAATAACAGTGCATACCCTTGAGTATCGCGGACGCCCATAACTGTACATGTACATCTGGTATTTTGCTGGCGAGTTGCATGGCGGGCGTCACCATGTTCATACTCTCTCTTGAATTGTTGATTGACAAAAATATGTGGCCGAGCAACACCAGTGAGCAGGACGTCAGTCTGTTTAGATCCTCAGCATTTGCCATTTTCAAAGTTTCTCGGAGGTATCTCCTGAAAAAATTAAATATTACTTAATAACACCTCACCAATGGATATGATATATTAATGATGCTTTTTTTATTCATTTGAAATACTTTAATATAAATCTTCCAGGCGGGTCTTAGCAAAAATGAAAATATTATTTTAAAGTATGTATTTACTTTGCTTCGTTATATCGCGCCTGGAAAAATGCCTGGAGTCCAAGGACGTAGTAAGAAGCCGCTCGTAAGCCGTGAGCATAAGCAGGTAAAGCCTCTGGTCTCACCTATAAATTTTAATAAAATTCTCAACATGGCCACTATTTGCAATTAAAATAAAACGAAGAAAACTCTCTGAAAAATAAGTATCAAACCTGCTCCATTAGTTGTGCTAGGTCACTGTCTCTACGACCTCGAAGATAAACAATGGCTAGGTTGAGTTTAGCGAACATCCATAAATCTCTTTCTTGTGACATCTGCAGGTGAAATAAATTTTATTACAAGGCATATCTAATCGGTATCAAAACAGTGTTGTTTATTTTATATATATATATATATTTTAATTTAATTTACCTGTATGGCAGTGAGAAATTGTGACTCTGCTGCCTCCATACAGTTCATGGACATTGCATAGAGTCCCAGTAGGCAGTGTAGTTGCGGAGTGTGCGCCGCCGCGCTGCCAACTACAAGGTATTATTTATGTTATTTGGCATGTTAAAGAAATGTTCCTTTGCCAGAGGTGCACCAGAGTGTTCCACGGGATACCTCTGGTTACAGTGTGCCATTTTAAAAATTCAAACTACACATGGTTAAATACAACTATTCTACCCGATTTTATAATGTTTTATTTTGTTTTTGAATTCACGATGACTCAAACTCTTTGACCAGCTCAACTGTCAGTTTTTTATCATTTATTCATTTTAATCCAATCTATGCAAGCTGTGGTTACAGTATCCTGATGCCTTACAGAGCTGGTTCTTTTTAATGTACGGAGATGGCGAGCCTGCCGGTTCACCCGATGTTAAATCATATTGTTCTTGATATATATTAATGAATTTCCTTTAATTATTAACCATCTATGTGTAATGTTTGCTGACGATGCTACGATATTTATATCCAAAGACAATCTGAATGACTGAATTTATTAATGAAATTTATAACACTCTTAAAACTGTAGTTGACTGGTTGACATGTATTAATTTAAAAGTTAACTTAAGTAAGACAAAAATTATACAATTTACTAACTATAAACAACTACCGCAAGACGTAAACATTATTATTGACAATAACAGAATTGAGCAAGTCAATCAAATAAATTTTCTAGGTGTTAACATTGATAGGCACTTAAACTGGAAGTCTCACGTCGAAAAAAATAATAAAACGATAGATATTATGCTATCTCTGTTATGAGGAATGTAAGCTCTGCAGATGTTGCTAAAAATACTTATTATGGATATGTTTACCCACTATTGACATACGGTATTATATTTTGCGGAAACTCAGTAAATGTAAATTCCACATTCTTGTTACAAAAGAAATGTATAAGGGCAATATACAATGTAAGTGGTAAGGACTCTGTAAGGCATATATTTATCAATAATAAGATCTTAACCCTGACATGTATTTACATACTAGAAATCTGTTTATATATCAAAAATCATTCTGAATACTATATTAAGAAAAGAGACACAAAACAAAATCTTCGATCGCAATATAAATATGACATTTGTACTGTGCCTTGCTCGAGTTATATATATCAAAAAAGCTCCTACATTACTGGTATTAAGATTTATAATTATTTACCCGAATCAATAAGATCACTTCATGGTGTACAGTTTAAAAAAACTAAAAGAATGGCTGATATGTAATTGTTTTTATAATTTAAATGAATATTATTTTAGAACAGAATAATACTTTAATTATATTATTAACATTTCTCTTATTGTACGCCCGAAATGGGCAAACTGTTGACACAAAAAATAATGTAATATGTAACACCTATTGTACACAGTTAAGACAATAAATGATTAAATGATTAAAAAAACCGCCGTCCATGGACACCTGCAGCATCTGTAGGGTTGCAGTTGCGTTGCCACCTTTTATTTTGAAACAGGCCCACTAATACCTCCCTCATCAGACGAAACAGAAGTACTCTCCCCTTCACGGTAGGCTTTTGTGATGTCATGTCAAATTCTCAATTGCTATAGGTATATGTAAATAGCGATAGGTATGACATTAGCTCCATAATAGTTACGTCAAAATTCTATCTCCAGTAACCAGATCTTTCTGTAGATAGAATATTGAAACCACCCGTAAAGTGTCACGTACCTGTCGGCGCGACCGTGAGAAGGTGGGCGGCGCGCGCGATCTCGTGCAGCGCGTTCGCCTTGCCGCCGGTGACGAGCCGGCACAGCGCGGCGTGCTCCACCAACGCCATCCGCAGCCGCCACGCCAGCACCGCACCGCTCCTCGCGCCGCCGTTGTTCCTTACTTCCTCGCATCCGCTCGCTGCCGGATGCACAACACATTGTACCATCATCCTCCTGCCCATTTTTTTTTTGGTATCGGGGAGAGGGGGGGGGGGGCGGTTTCTTAGTCACTATCTTGCAGCGGCTCGAGACAACTGCTGCCAACCCGTGTCTTTTAGTCGCCTTTTACGACGCCTAGGTGAAGTCGGTACAACAATTAAATAATTTTGTAAACGGTTTTGGCTATGATTTTTAAGACTGGCCGCCTGACGTCAACCGCTGCTTGGGAAACAAAGACCCAGATTCGGAACAATTATCTGTTGGTCACACAAATACCCGGCACCACCGAATCGTGCACAACACACTGTATTTTTTCGCCATAAAACGAACGAAACACAAACACTATGCGACTATCTAAAAAAGGGTACTTTTTAAATTAAGGCCAAATCCAACTTGTGTAAACTTAACAAGAAATGTAGTTTGAATGCATAGATTAAATGCAATCAATCCAAGGCTAAGCTGGGCCATCTATGTTATAACCCCACACCAATGAATTTTCAGTTTCAATCAGTTTTTGTAAAACAATGCAAAAATCTCTGGTTCCTTTGCCAAGCGTGGGATGAAACAAGTCCAGTGGCACTATATGTTCACCACACCACATTATGGTTAAAATGTGAGAGCTTTCTCAGGCATGTACTACAAAGATGTGAAAGCGCGAAGTTGGTGTGAGCGGAATAATTTAGAATAATTTAAATTTCCAATGGTACAATTGCGTACAGAGCTGTTATTCGTTTTATGAACATTATTTTTAGCCGACTTCAAAAAAGGAGTTCTCAATTCGACCGTATATTTTTTTTTGTTTGTTCGTAGATAACTTCGTCGTTTATGAACCGATTTCGATGATTCTTTTTTTGTCGGAACGGAGATATCCCAAGGGTGGTACCATGATAAGGAAACCCGAATCGGATGATCCCAGAGAAATCGAGTGCCGTCATTGAATGTTATAGGTATTAACAATGTTTTTAATTTTCTGATCGAAGTCGGTTTTTTTTTTGTTAAAAATTATTTCCTCGCGACTGTACATGTGTCCAAGCCTCGTCACACTCACACGTGAGCTTGTCGATCTGCGCGAGCGCCTTCTCGGTGTACTTGTGCGCTTTGTCCATGTAACCAGCCTGGGCGGAGTGCATCACCGTGACGAGGTACACGAGCACGTACAGTTGCTGACGCGACATCCACACGAACGACTCGCCAGCCGCGCTGCCGCACACCGCTGCAACGGAGAACAGATCAATAAACGACTTAGACACCACTGCAACGGAGCACAGATTAATAGAGCGCTGAGACAGCGCCGTAACGCAAAGATTACGAATCATTGGGGTTAGTGCTGTGTTTCATCATAATTGAGTCAACCAGGGCCCACTGTTTTAGAAGTTGGCAATTAATATTATATTGTATACAGCGTGTCGTTACCATCGCGACACTAAATGAACACGTCTAACGCTACTTGCCAATAATCATAAAAAAAATATTTACGTTAAACAAAATCCATAATTATAAAGAAATATTTTTCAAACAAAGTAATTAAGTAAAAAAGAAACAAAATTGGTAACATCCTATACAACTCGCGCCACAGCGTCGCATTACAAGCCTCTCCTTCTAACAGTATGCTTTGTCTCTTTTAAATTCATTCAACCCATTCATGTCCTTTGTGACCTTTACAAATGAACTTTACGTTACAGTATTACACAAGGGTATTCTAAAATTCTTTGTTTTGGAAAATTTAATAACTCTGTAAATATTGATGTTTAAAGAATGTAAATGTTTAATACAATTTTAAAAAGTTATCCCCTATATGTGTGTTCATTTATTGTCGCGATTGTAGACACGCCGTATACATGTATTGTAGATGTCCATGGTCAGAGGTATTCAACTAACACCAGAAGAACATACTGCCCCACTTTTAATTTCTAATTTTTTTAGAAAGTATATTTAAAAAAAAATTAATTATATTTTTACGATATATTTGCATATCATAAAAATTAGGCGTCATATATAGGAACATGAGTATATTAGGAATGGGGTAAAAAATAGGTCAATAGACCATATTTTTTCCCGGTTCCATCAATTTGAATGTTGACCGTCTATTCATAAATATCCATGTGGATCCAATAGGAATGTCCATGATTAATTATATCTCTGTAAAGGCCTTTTACAGACCTAAACTCTCTACTGTCGAAATCAATTTGCTATAATTTATCACGGAATATAGCTCAAATTAGTGTTTTTATTGAATAGTTTAATCAGTTCATAAATTAAGTATTATAGTAAGTGACCTAATTCGCTTTCTCCCTTGTTTTCATTACATGTTGATATGTAGTTTCACATAACACTGCAATTCCACTTCATGAACATGGATTTTTCTTTATCTTATTCTTATTATATTAAGTTTTATTTAACAATACTTTTGCTCTAGAAGGTGGTTCATACATAGATCTCAGTTTAACTTCACTTAGGGGCATTTAAATTGAGCTCAATCCAAAAGTTAAACGGGAACCTGTTGCTAAGACTCCGCTGTCTATCTGTCTGTCTATCCGTCAGTCTGTCACCAAGCTGTACCTCATGAACCATGATAGTTAGACAGTTGAAATTTTCACTGATAATGTATTTCTGTTGCCACTATAACTACAAATACTAAAAAACAGAATAAAATAAAATATATAAGGGGGTCCCATACAACAGACATGATTTTTTTAGCCTCTTTTATAGATAATGGTACGGAACACTTCATGCTTGAGTGCGACTCGCAGTTCGCCGGTTTTTTTGTGCAATATTTTAGAGTTGTACGTGTGTACGGAAATTCCTTTCTTATTAAACAAGTAGACAGTATGTTATTAATGATACCATTAATTGTGAAAAACGTAAAAAATAATTTTTATAAATTTTAGGCCAAAACTCACTGTCATCATCAGGCCATGTGGGAGCCATTATCGTCTGAATACTCTGTTGCAATTGCTTAAGGCATGGCTTCACACTCTTTACCTGTCCAGCCATCAAATAATGACAAACCTGCAAGACAAATATAAAATTATTTGGTTTTTTTAATTTGACATTTTAATTGTTACAGCAAAATGAAAGGTGGGATATTCAACAGTGAAGGAAAACATTGTAAGGAAACCGGTATATTTTCTAAATAATAACAAAAATAACATTTACGGTGGTACGGCCATGCAACAGTGTTCGCTGTTGTACAGATGGGCAGATCCGTCCGGGTTAGTACCACAAACTCACAGAAGTAGAAGTGTGCACTTCTGCGTTTCGTCTGGTGAGTGCAGTAGCCGGGGCCCACATTATTAAGAGGTGGCAACGCATCTGCAACGCTACGGGTGTTGCAAATGTCCATGGGCAGGCGGTTATCACTTAGCATCAGGTGAACCGCCAGCTCGGTTGCCACTTTCTCACATAAAAAAAAATATTTCTTAGATATGTGAAGTCCGCTAATTCACAGTGGGGTTGAGTAGTAGACTATGCCTTGACACACCCTTTGCACAGTGGAGGCCTTTGCCCAATACTGGGACATATTCAGGCGGTTACTTTACCTTTCTTAACTTTAAGTTTTAAAATAATATAAACGGAAATAAATATACCTGTAGTACAAGGAAAAATACTTTGAGGTACTCCTTTTGATGCAGACTACCTGACCATGACTCCACTAGATGACCAGCTTGGTTCAGTATAGGTAAAACTTCTTGAATCTTTTTGTCTATTAACAGCAACTGAAATAATATATGCATAATAAGTAATGTTTAGCTAACCCCTCTTTCATGTTATTATTATTATTATGATAACTTATGTACTAAAATAATCTAATATGTAATGAATAAGATACTTCTATGAATTTTACAACTTTACAAAAATGTATTTGCATCTTTTTAAAATCCTTTTTTTATTGTTTTCACAATAACTAATTCACTAAACAACCAATTTTAGTTAAATAAGGTGTTAATATTGACTAAATCATTAAATTTTAATATGTAGTAAGAAAACTGTTTACAAATAACATTCAAAAATACCTTTACCTAAACTAAAACCTTTACCAAATATTTGGCTCCACTCAATTTAGTAATAAAAATAATATTTAGTAATAACAAAAACACATAGCGATATATTTGTATTGAATTATACCTTTGTCATGATCCAATATGTGTAATCTTAAATTTGGGTACTTTTTACTTTGTTGTCAAATAAAGTTAAATAAGTGAAGGTAGGAGTAGAAGCGACAGACGATTTACGTATTGTGTTAAGCTACCTAGCTAATTACATTATAGTACTTACTTAACGTCTTTTATTATTATTCTGGACATAATAATCTTAAACTTATTTTTTTAGCTATATAACAGAATATACAGTAAATAAATTATTGTACATTTACAAAATTTATAAATTGCATATATTTAATTTTAATTTAATTTTAAATGTTTCAGACAGACTGACAGACTTTGACTAAGTATTGACCTAGTCAACACACTGTACATATTGATATACAGCAGAATTATTTTGTTATACTTGTCCAACATTGCAGTGTAGTACTGCATGGATTTAAATTTAACATTATTTAATATAACATTAAAACAAGTGACAGCAGCAAGAAACATCAGCAAATCATAATAATAAGCCCGCTAAATAACTTCACTGAACAATTATGTTTTAGTAAAGAACTAGTCAAAAGGAAACCTTAGTTGATCTTCATCTGTAACCAAATATCTTTATATGCTGCTATGAGCTTTTAACAAAAAGAAAAGTGAAATTTTAATATTTACACACATTTTATGTAATTATGACTTTTTCATTGACAGTTTAAGTACTAAATATATAAAATTTAGACTACTCACCATTACCCTACTCAGTAAAAACAGTACTCTGGTGTAAGCCGCATTCGAGAGCTGTGCATAATCCACTCCAACGCCCAAAAGGCTGCTAGCCACTTCATATTCACGCTCAGTGGCATGAATTTGCTGAAAATTATGACTTATTTTTACCAATAAAACTATTTTCAAAATACATGCTATTGTATTTATTATACATTCATTGAAATTCATGAAAATGAATTTATCATTAGCTTATCATATGACATGGTCATCTTAAGAACTTTTTGAGATTTATGTGATATTATCATAAATTTTAATGCTTGTTACATACAAAAATGGAAAGTAAAACTACAAATTTTCAATTCTCCACATATATGTTGTGTGGATAAATTATGCTTATTCAAACAAACCTATTTCCATAACTGTCATAATATACTATTACTAATAACAAAACAAAATGCAGTTATTTCTTTCTTTTTTCACATGATTATTTGTATACACATAGCTAGAAATTATTATTTAGAAATTGGTATTTTCAAATGTATTTGTGAGAAACAAATCACATTACTCTGACCCACATTGTACATTACATATTTACAATGTTTTCTGTTATTTATTTAACTAAATGATTATTAACTATAAGTATCGAAAGTAAAAGTACACTTAAATGGAATACTTACAGCTAACTGAAAAATTAGCCTGCAGTGCCAGTAAACACTATGCTGTGATAACTCAATGGCTTTCCTCAGAATGGGTTTGGAGTGTGTTGGTTGGCCTTGCAGTTCAAATAACTCGGCTAATACACTTGCTGCCTCGAACTTCACATCGTCAAAGGCATTGATACTTTGTGACAAGAACCACTGCAATAAAAACACCATATGACCCACTTCAACATCATTGTTTACATTCTATAAGAAACCTATCACCAAATGCACATTGAATACTATGTCGTGAAGGTATATCATTTATGTCACTTGAATTAACCTAGTTAGTAAAGTATTCAGTTACCCAAAATCCACTACAAATAACAAAAAAAAACTTACACTCTGCTCTAAATGCGTTCTCGCCAAGTCAATGTTTTTAGTGTGTGTCAGAAGTATATTCCCGAGTTGTAAGTGGGTTCTGGCCTCGACTCTTTGCGGTGGTTTGAAATTAAATACGGCTTGTAGACACTGTATACAACTTTTTATGTCAGGAGGATTTGATGTGCGAAAATGTTCAGCTAAACCAAGTAAAGAAATATACCAAGCGTCCTGCGTTGACGCCATTTTGACATTTCTGCTTGGAGGGAACAGTGTTGACAACTGAAGAGCAATTCTTCCAAGAAAGCTTAAATAGACTAAAAAAATTGTTTAGTAGGGTTAGAAATATACTTTACATAGATTAAAAAATTGAAATGTAACATGTATTAAATAAATAAATATTAATTTATTGTGGCATTACCATTTCGTAAATAGTCTTTTCATCATTTTAGCCAGTTAAAGTCCACTACTGAACATAGGCCTCCCCCACAGACTACCACGATCCTGAGCCATCTGCATCCATCGACTTCCCGCATATTTTCAAAGCTCATCAATCCATCTAGTGGAGGATCGTCCTACACTGCGATGGCCAGTATAGGCTGCCACTCTACAACCTTTCTTCCCCAATGGTTATCGATTCTACGAGCTATTTGGCCAGCCCTTCGCCACTTTACCTTACTAACCTTCTGAGTTACGTTAGTTCTTTTTGTTCTACTGCGGATGTCTTCATTGCGAACTCTATTACGCAGAGAAAAAACACGAATAGCCCTTTCCATAGCTCACTGAGTGACTTTGAGTTTCCTCATACGGCCAGAAGTACAGCACTAGGTCCCGATTCCGTCGTCGTTTACCTTTAAAAATATTTAAATGTACCTAATCAATTAATTTACTATTATATATAACTTATTATGTCTTAAGTGTATGCCGTAGTACAGCGGCGTACACAGTAGTCCAGTACACACAAGACCTAGTGCTTAACGCATTATAGCGTATTTTGCTTTGACAAGAAGCATGCTACTGAAGTACTGAGAGCTAGAATTAGGGTTAGATATGATGAAAAAGAAAGTACGAAAAATGTAAAAGGATAGTAATTGAAAAAAAATTATAGTCCATTTTATATTTTTTTTATTTAACAGGCATTAATTTACTCCTTTTCCAAGTTTATCAATTCTTCAATATCAGTTTCATCCTTAGAATTTAATCTTATTAACATATCCTCAGTAGGAATAAAATCAGTGTAATTGCGACTTTTGTTACCGTCTTTGATATATAAGATGAAATAAAAAATTTGTCGTACTATTACACATCTAAGAACTCTATTTTCTACCTCATAGAGCAATATGCAAAGTTACTCTTCAACAAGTGAAGTATCGAAAGAAAAAGAATATTTAACGGGAAGTCCCAGTAAATTGACGACCCGATTGGCGTGGGGAGTAGTGACCCTGCCTCCTGCGCCAGAGGGTGTGGGTTCATCCCCACTACTGAAAAATATTGTGTTATGAACATCGTGTTTTTCCAGTGTTTGGGTGTTTATATATGTATTTATTTACAAAAGAAAAACAAGCGAAGTGCGTTGTGGAGCAGACGTATAGATGACGCAGGAGCAGAGGCGTAGCTAGGTGGACAAGGGCCTGCATAAAGAAACCCCCGCCCCCCTCTTTCTACGCAGCTTGAACTTATATTGACTTTGATCAAATAATTAGTTCATATAAGTTCATATATGATACATAGATGAGATCACATGCAAGGTAAAGTAAAATGAAAACTTAACTAAAAAGTTAATGAGTGGAATTGATCTCAAAACCATCAGCACATGAGCATATCGCTGATCCTGCACCATCTGTACCTACGCCACAGTGAGAGAGGAGTTCACCATGCACTTTTCGCTGACGACTGCGAGTATTTTAAGTCATCTTGAAATAGCAATTCCAAGAATGCAGAGGCTGCTTGACCTACTTCCTGAGTGGTTGAACAAATGGCGGATTGCCTTAAACGTCGTCAAGACGTCGGAGTTCATAACCGCCTGGGTTACTCCTTCAACGCTCCTGCTAACCCTCAGAGGGCAGAACATCGAATGGCGGCACACCGTAATTTATCTCGAATTCCCGATAGACTAAGCACTAAGCCTAGTCTACCAGGTAAATAATGTTATCCGCAAAACTAGAGCCGCTCGCGCGATATTACGTCCCGTCTTGGCATCCCACCTGCCAACCCAAATTAAACTTATGGTGTTGTACAAGACATATGTTCGCCCCTAGGTTAGCTTGGGTACTTCCCTATTGTCCAACCACCAGTGGAAACGTCTTCAGGCCTTTTTTTTGGTATCGGGGGGAAATCTTCGAAAGATATCCTGTCACTTTATATGACAGGGTTATGTGGGGTTCTAACCCACTAAAACCCCCTCAGTGGCCGCCTTCCGTACATTTGGAGGGACTCCGGGATCTCCCATGGAACGCACCGGTGTCCCTTGGTAGTACGCTTGAGCACACTTCACTTCTTGTATCTTGTATTAACTGATGTTTTTGCTTTCAGTCCCGAGACTATTAAAGCTTCATCTGACGCAGAACCGGTGGGCTAGCCAGAACCCACGGGTTAGGGCCCTCCTCTGTGGGTAGGGCCACGCATGTGATCATGCGTGCATTTAACTATGGTGTGTCATCTAAGGGCCATCGAGGTCGTGGTCGGACCGATGGCCGTCGACTGTGCAATTAGCAAATCGGTGGCTTGGGGGCGGTGAGAACCGCCCCGGAACGCGGGTGTACCTTGTGTACGCGTTGTGTTGGTCTCGCCGTGCTCGGAGGCGAGGGCGAACTAGTTTGTTTGTTGTATCACTAACTGTGGGTGTAGTGTTGTCCGGCGGGACCCCCGGCGGTGGGTCCGGCGTGTCTAAGTCCCCTTCCTCGACCGGGTCGATGAGGACGTTTCGCGGGCGACGCTTGTTGACGTTCGCGTTTGTGTCGGGTTGGTAATTTGCTGCGCTTACCACCAGAGAGTTGGGATGATGTTCGGCTCTATCGAAGAACCGTTTGGTCAGGTCTTTAAAATATTCGCGAATCGTCGGGAGTCTGCAATCGCTGTGCAGGTCGACGTTGCGTTGATACCACTGCGCACCGGTTGCGCGGCGGATGAACTTGTTTTGTACTATTTGCAACTTGTACAAGCGAGTAGGGTGCGTGTGGGCGAAGGTCATTGCATGCGTAAGACATAATAGGTCGTACGCAGGTCTTATATAATAATAATTTGTGCCTTAAGGGCATTTTACTTTTAGCGTTAGTTAAATTGTGTAGCCGGCCGGAGACGAACGCGGCTCTATTGCGAACATTATTAATGTGCGTAGTAAATGACATACGCGAGTCGAAAGTGACTCCTAAGTATTTGACCTTTTTCTCCCAGGGGAGCGGTTGGCCATAAAGGGATATTTGCCCCAATTTTCTGCATTGACGAGGGCCATTATAAAGATGTGACGGGTAAGTACTTCGTGTGAAGTGAATCGCCACACTCTTTTCGGGATTTATTTCTATTCTCCATTTGCGGAACCAATCGCCGAAGCGGTCGGCAGCGCTTTGGAGTCGAGTGGTTAGTTGTCTAAGGTTGCGGTCTGAATAAAAGAGCGCCGTGTCATCCGCGAAAAGCGCGAGATTGACGTGGGGGTCTTTAGGTATATCGCTCGTGTAGAGCGTAAAGAGCAAAGGTGAGAGGCAGGAGCCTTGTGGTACGCCGGCCGTGAGGCGGCGGCTTGTGGAGAGGGTGCTTTCAACTCGATATCGAAAAGAGCGGTTCGACAGGAAGGCCCGGATGGTGTGTACGAGCCTATCTGGCACTTTGAGTGTGTACAGCTTGTAAAGCAAGCCGTTGTGCCAGACCTTGTCGAATGCTTTTGCGACATCGAAGAAAAGAGCCCCTGTACTAATATGTTTAGGGTGATTTAGGAATTTTAGGATATGTTCCGTTAGGCGGAATAATTGATCGGGACAGGAATGTCTAGCTCGAAAGCCGAATTGTTCTGCCGGCAGAAGGCCGTTGGAAAACACGTGCTCATTGAGCCTGTTTAATAAAAGCCGCTCGTAGAGCTTCCCCAGGCAACTGAGGAGGCTGATGAGACGATAACTAGAGGGCTGGTTGGGTGGTTTATTAGGCTTGCGAATGCCGATAACCCTGGCTTCTTTCCAGTCGTCCGGAAAGGAGCAACTGGAGAGTAAAGTATTGTAAATGGTCGCCAGTAAACAGATAAGCGGCCCAGGGAGAGCTTTAAGAATTTTGTTACTAATATTATCTGGGCCCGGGGCGGATTTAGGTTTTAAGTTTTTAATAATATCTTGAACCTCTTCGGGGGTCACTAAATTCAAAAGATCGCCTTCCGGTGGAAGCGCAGCCCTAATCTCGATTACGCGGTCCACCTCCGTTAGGTGGGCTGTATCGATGTGCACACTTCACTCAATCCGCTTTCACTGAAGATAACATCATTGCTGTGAGACAACTAATTCTCGAAGATCGTCATGTGACGTATCGATACATAGAGGCTCTATTAGGCATCTCAGGGACAAGCATTCAGAAGATCTTGGATGAAGCGCTTGGTGTGAGAAAGCTAGTTTGCCGTTGGATACCGTATCAGCTTACAGACGATCACAAGGCGGACCGCGTCAGATGGTGTAAGAAAACTCTGCAAAGTTCAACCAAGGAGTGAAATCAGGTCTACATCATCAGTGGTGACGAATCCTGGATCTATGCCTACGATCCTGATTCCAAACAACAATCTACAATATGGGTCTTTCAAGATTAGCCAAAGCTGACTTGTTCGTTCTCGAAGCACTTCAAAGAAGATGGTTGAATGTCCGAGGCCACATATCCCGGGGGGACGGTGCCCCTTGAGTGTAGACGACTAGTGTGTGCCGCAGCCCAGGCTATACTATAGGGATGAGGCGTATATACTGGAACAGGTATAAATACCCAGTATGAACATACCAGTACGCACACCGGGTATGTACGGCAGAGGCCCGTTCCATACCCGATAGGTATGGCCATATATGATACACTTATATAGAGATGGGTATGGCCGCCTCGTCCGACGGTGGCGGTATATAACGCTCGCGACAACCCGCCGGCCGAATAGGTACGAAGTTCCCCGAACGCTTACGGCTAGGCATGAGATATACCTGCAACATTCTATACCCGGCCTCAAAGGTACGGGTATCGCCGTATACCCGGTGCTAAAACCCAGTATCAAAATACCTATAGGTATTAATGTTCAGGCCTCCTAATGGAGACCCGGTATGGAATTGAACCTTTATTTGGTTGGAATTGGAACATTTAGATGTTTTTTTAGCAATCATTTTTTTTTTATTGAGATTTAATCAGTCTAAATTAAGCTCCATCTTTACCAACGTAAAGAACCCTATTATAAAAAAAAAGTAATTTAAAATAAATATTACTGTTTAATCTTATTACGCAATTATTTATCTACCTAACTGTCATAGAAATAAAGAACAAATTTATCTCAAGGAAATATTTGGTATAAAATGCCTAAATCATACGTTTCAATTCGGGCATGATCGGAAAGAGCCGCCGTAAGCGTTCGGGGAACTTCTTACTTATTCGGCCGGCAGGTTGTCGCGAGCGTATATACCGCCACAGTCGGACGAGGCGGCCATAGCCATACCTATCGGGTATGGAACGGGCCTCTGCCGTACATACGTCATACCCGGTATGCGGGCGGGTTGTCGCAAGCGTTATATACCGCCACCGTCGGACGAGGCGGCCATACCCAGCCATACCTATCGGGTATGGAACGGGCCTCTGCCGTACATACCCGGTGTGCGTACTGGCATGTTCATACTGGGTATTTATACCTGTTCCAGTATATACGCCTCATCCCTACTTACGGCGGCTCTTCTCGATCATGCCCGAATTGAAACGTATGATTTAGGCATTTTATACCAAATAATTCCTTGAGATAAATTATTTCTTTATTTCTAAATTTATTCTTTATTTCTATGACCATAAGTTAAATAAATAATTGCGTAATAAGGTTTAACAGTAATTTTCAGTTTGAATTACTTTTTTTTGATAATAGGTTTCTTTACGTTAGTAAAGATGGAGCTTATTTTAGACGGATTAAATCTCAATTAAAAAAAACTGACTGCTAAAAAAACATCTAAATGTTCCAATTCCAACCAAAGAAAGGTTCAATTCCATACCGGGTCTCCAAAAGGAGGCCTGAACATAACTAATACCTATAGGTATTTTGATACTGGGTTTTAGCACCGGGTATACGGCGATACCCGTACCTTTGAGGCCGGGTATAGAATGTTGCAGATATATCTCATGCCTACTATACTATTTATACAATCAAAACTCATCAATAAAAACATACCCAATACCCACGCCCTATACGTATGTATTTAAAAAAGAAGCTAGTAGCTATCACGGTTAAAATAATTAATACTACCTACCAACTATTGATTTTAACGTTTTTTGTGTAAGATGGCAAGCAAGCTGGCAGTTCACCAGATGTTAAGTGATAGCCATCAATAGACATTTGCAACACTCATAGGGTGTTGATGCCTTCCCAACTTTTAATAATGTGGGCCCCAGTTACCTAACTCAACAGATGATACACAGAAGTTGCACTTGCATGTTGCACTTGCACTTCACACCAGTCTTCTGTGAGGTCTTTATTTTAATATTCATATTTTAATTTTCAAAATTGCAGCAAAGATTTGTTGGAACTAGGGAGCTAAACAAAAACAAGTTACAGGTATTTTGAATAGGTCTTCCTTTATTCATCAATGGTCAATTCTCCACTATTGATGTCATCAATAAGGTCATGCGGTGGTCTGCCATCAATGGTGCAACCAACAGACTGTGCTGTACCAAGAATCTCTTTAACTGTACCGGACAATTCTCTGGCCATTGACCTTGGCCTCATAATCTTGGCAATTCCAATGACATCTTCAAGTGTTATGTTGCCACTATGTTTAACTAAAAAATAAAATAGTATTAAGAAACATTCTCTTTCAACACCAGACATAATATTAAAAGAAAATGTATACAGGTTGGCTTTTCTAAGTATATCCATTTTTTTATTAAATTCTAGACAAATAATGTTATATAAAAAATGATAAATATTTTAAATCACTCGTAAATAATTGATTACAATCATTTGAACTTATCTCAAAAAGTGCGTGATTTATATGCAACTCATTCATTTTACGCGTGATCATTCATAACTAACTCGCACACAAGTTGGGCTGTGTGAATATTAAAATTTAGGTATTTATGAATGACTACCGCGTCGTCAACAAGTTCTGTTTTTTTGGGAATAGAATGGTAATTTTTTTTTTAAAGTTTGTTTTTATTTCAATAAAGTTTATACTACCGAGTCTAAACCTCCTGTGTAAATTTGGACACTTTTAAAAAAGCATTGTATAGGTATATTCCAGGTAGTAATTTTTAAATTTTGCACTATTCACAAACCGAATTAATTTAAATTAATTTCTCAACTAAATAACAATATAGGATTGAAGTGTGTTGTGTGATCGTATGGTGTATTTTGGACTCAAAATGTAATATTCTATTTACAATAGGGAGAATGAGCATTACTCACTGTTTTTCTGCTTCTTTCTATCACGAGGAGGTTCCTTTAGAGCTCTGATTATGAGGGCTGCAGCAGATGGAACAACAGATATCTGTGCTTGCCTATTCTGTACTATTAACTGCACAGTTATCTTTAAGCCCTTCCAGTCACTTGTTGCTTTAGCAATGTCATCACCAACCTTTTTAGGAGACTGAAGCACACGAATAACGTTATGTACATTATTTATGTAAAGAGTATCACAAAGTTGTATGGTACACCATATTATAGCATAAATTAAATGTTGGAATATTATAACGAAGAATGCGTGGCAGTCACATGGCCTGGTCCACGACTCCTTATTGGACATTCGGAGTAGCCGCGACAGGGAAGGGGCAGAGCCGATCCTGAGTCGCGGGTTCCTTCCATCCGCCACCCGGAAGGACGCGCCTGGTAGGGTGGCTCCCCCCAGGATCTTAAGTGACAAGACCACTAAAGCTTAATTACAGTTTGCAAAATCTTTGGATCGATAACAGAATAGGTAAACTTTAACTAAATTTTATCGTGTCTTGTCACGTTATAGGTTATAACAAAATTGACCGCCACGCCAGACATGAGCGATGACACCATATAACGATACTCACGAGACCAAGAGGACCAATTTTGGGAGCCAAAGATGAAGTAGCACCCACTTCTCCTCCAACGCATCTTAAGTTTACTAAAATACAAAAAATATATATAATAAGACCACTTTCGAATTCAACATAAAATATTCACATGTCACTGCTCTTACCGATTTTAATTTCGTTTGGATCGAACTTAGGTGGCATTGTGAAATAATGCTACGTTTTCTGCGCTTATATAAAAATTAAATCCAAGCTGATTACTTTGGATTAAAATAGCGAGTCCGAAAGCGACCCGTAGACGCTGACAGCTCGCTGAAAAAGAAATATTAAAAATGACAATTGACAATTTGTAAATTGTTTGACTAGTGGAAGTATTGCCAATTACTAAAAAAAGAATCCCTCATAGATGGATGATGCAATTTTAAAAAGGCCCATAATATTCTATTCAAAAATATTGTTTAAATGAGTTTGACTTATTTTTAAGGTAAATTGAATATAATTTAGTTTAATTACTTTTCATTACAAAAATTTCATTAATTACATTCATTAATAAACATTTAACTTTTTTTACTCACTTTGGCCAGTAAAATTAGTGACGCATGAAAAAAGAAATATTCATACTTAAAGCCTAAATTTGGGACTAAAAGGGCATTCACTATCCTCCCTTGATCCTGCCTGGCAGTCCACCGTGCAGGAGTGCGAAGCAGGATGTAGCTCACAACAAACACTGTCTTTCTTAGCCGTCCATCATTAGTACTGTTTCATTTCTCAATAGTGTCGGTGTTCTTGTAATTATGCATAATACGTTCTATTTCGAAAAAAAAAATAGCAGTTTTTCTATGTTTTTTTTTTGTTTTTAGATAAAAATAAAAAAAAATCTGGGGAACGAAATTATTAAAAACTCATCAGAAGAAATGTAGTCGCGTCTTTGATTTCACACTGATAAAGAATATTGATTCAGGCAGTTATCAAAATTACCTGTAACTGACTGAAGAGACGTTTCAGTATTTGCTTAACAAAATAACACCGATTATAATCAAGCAAGATACTTTGTATTTCTGCCGAACAAAGTCTAACAGCCTTACGATAATTAGCTACAGACAGAGCTTACGAATGAACGGTCATGTCTTACAACTACTACTTTGCATTTTTAAGTATTAATTAATTTTTTTTGTATGTTTATCGAATTGGAATTGCTCAATAGAGTCCGTATGTCTTCAGATATCTACTAGTGTGAATGAGAGATTTGGTGCTTTTTTGATGGTTTGAGATATTTTACCAACAAGAGGCAATGTAGATATAATGTTCGAAAAGTTGGGATTTACTTGATGAAACTTTACTTATTTTGAACTCAGTTTTCGTAAGATGTAGAGTTTGTTGTGATGTCTTTCGTGTATGGAGTATGGATGGGCTTTGAGCAGCAGCTGACAATCGGACATAAGTTTTCTTTGGTGTTGGTACGCAAAACTGAGAGAGTTTGACTTTACTTGATGAATTTTGAAAATGCTTAGTGTATTTTTCATTCATATGGCAGCACGGCCGCACACGCCGGATGCTATGCTAAAATGCTACTGACAGTGACACATCTGCGCGGCGGATCGCAAGCGGTGGGGGGAGCTCGCAGGTGCCTTGCAGGGTGCACGACGCATCCTGCTCGATGTTTACGGACACCGTGCAGGCTGCGACAACATTAAAAATCCTGCATAAAGCGGTGGATGCCACGGCGGATTGCCAGGCAGGACAGTGAATGGGCCCCTTAAAAGCCCTAAGTTAGCAAGCCTGGCTAGTGGCTAGTGTTGCTAAGTGCTAACCAGTAATCACAGGTTTTGAGTTTGCTTCAAAATAAATAGATAAAATATATATCCGAGAAAATTTTTTTTTGTTTTTTTTTATGTGTTCGTTTTCTCTAATCGTTACTCTGTCGACTCTGGTCGAACTCTCCTAGAGAGAGCTACGTGACGTTGCATAGGCGTTCAACATAGTCTATCATAAGGGCTTTATTTATAAGCTACATACGCTAACTAACAGCAGCCAAGAAGTTGAGGGTTCTTGCAATGATGCGGTGATATTTAACACCGGAACAGTTTCTTTCTCTTTACAAAAACAATTCCGATCGTTTGTGAAATACTGCTACTATATTTGAACTGCAAAATACCATATAACTGCTGTGGGCTCGGTGGAGATGCGTGCAAAAACACTTATTCATGACACCGATTTGGTAAGAACCAATCTGCCTAGTCTCGAGCAAAGGGGCAAAGTAGGCAGCATTTTGGATGTTCTATAAATTACATTCTGGAGAGTGTGCCCAAGAATTGAATAATTTAATCTCCCCTGTCTCTATTCTATTATCGGATAACATGATGCTTTGCAGGAATCCATCTCTTTTTGTTGAAATTACCTGGCAACGAACGAAGAGTTTCAACTCGTCTCGTAATACGTACAGTTACGATGTGAAACAATTTTCCAGTGGCAGTTTTCCAGTCTGATTATATTCAGTGTCTTCAAGCAATAGCGAATATATTGTTCCTGAGCTAGTGCGTTTGCTATTTACGATTACAATTTTATTTACCATCGGGTGAGACGGTACTTGAGTACAAGCCGGTTTTTGGGTAAAAAAAAGTTCTGGGCCGACTCATACATCACATCAGGCTTGTCAAAATTAAGTATGTCGGACACAACGATAGAGTCATGAACGAGACACTGCCTTATTGTGGTACCCACCAAATTCAATTTCAACCAGATATACACCGCACGTTATCTGGTTAACGTGAGGACCTTTTGCGAGCCTACACACGATATTATCATACTAGCTGCATCATCCTGCTGCCCTCTTCCCACTTAGGTGGAACATGTGAATCATGTTATAAGCCGTTTTGGCTGTTTTTTTTTCCGCCTGCCTCACGTCATCGCCTCCATTTCAGTCTTATTAATACTTAAGTTCAATTATAGATCGCCGTCCAAGGATCCACCAAACCTTCATCTCAGTCGATCGTGTTCACGTGTGTCGTGCCCACTGCCCGTTAATATTCCAACTTGGACAGTTACAGAATAACTTTTATTAACAGGGGTCGCTGGGCTGGATGGTAAATTACGTTAACGAAAAAAATTGGAAACGAAAAATGTGAGTTCAGAAATATAATTATGGTATTTTAATTAATAAAGAGAGGATGGCTCATCGATCAAAGTAATCATTAAAATGCAATAACAAAACAGAAAACAAAACATTCACAATTTTTGTATCTCTGTGATCTGATCATTGCCAATTGTAATTTATCTGTATGTTGTTGACGGAATTGAGTTGAGTGGCGATGACAAATTTGATATAAATTATAAACTACAGACGTTCTATCGAGTCCATTTTTCTGATTAATTATATTTATTCGTGCTTTATTGTTTTATAATAATTGTACAATATCGATAACAAGTTATCGTTCGTCATGGCAAACGATGAAGTTGTGTTAAAACAATATTTGTCTAAATATAAACATAGAGATTACACTGCACGAGAAGTTATTAGTCTGATTCAAGTGTATCGCAGTCTTGTATATCGTTTGGAGGCCTTTGTGTTCAACAATGGTACTAGGAAAGATTTACTTAATCTCGACGGCACGATACCCGTTAACTATAAAGGGGCCTTCTATAATATCCCCGTCAGTATTTGGTTAATGGATACACATCCACAAAACGCACCCTTGTGCTTTGTAAAGCCAACTCCGGAAATGACAATAAAACAATCCATTTGGGTTGACAGTAATGGAAAGATATATTTACCGTATTTAAATCAATGGTCACCCACAGGTTCTACACTTCAAAAACTGGTTCAAAGTATGATTGCAGCCTTTGGGGAGCTGCCGCCTGTATATGCCAAACCACGTAATCAACCACGGCCTCCATACCCTGTAAATTCATTTATGCCTCAACCATCTGGTTATCCTTATCCTCAAGTAAGTCCTCAACCTGGATATCCAACAACTACTCCATATCCAACAACATCAAATGTACCATATCCTAATTATGGGACTCCATACCCTGGTCCAATTGGTACAAATGGTACACCTTATCCTGCAGCCACTCCTTATCCTCCTACTACAAGTTATGGACCTGTTTCTGATGCAGCAGGCGGTACAATCACAGAAGAGCATATAAAAGCTTCACTATTATCAGCAGTTACTGATAAATTGCGAAGGAAATTAAAAGAACAGTCTCAACAATCTCAAGCAGAGCTGGAAACATTAAGAAGAACACAACAGGAATTATGTGAAGGTAAAACTCGCCTTGAAGACATCTTCACAAGGTTACAAAGAGAAAAGGCCACATTAGAAAAGAACTTAAGCATACTGCAAGAGAAAGAAAAGGAATTAGAAGCTGCCGTTGAACGACTTGCAGAACAGGATGGGGTTGAAGCTGATGAAGCTGTTGTTACTACAGCACCTTTATATTCGCAGCTTTTAAATGCTTTTGCTGAAGAGGCTACTTTAGAAGATGCTATATATTACATGGGTGAGGCATTGCGAAAGGAAGTGATAGATTTGGACACATTTTTGAAGCAAGTACGTACATTAGCAAGGCGACAATTTACTTTACGAGCTCTTATGCACAAATGTCGACAAAAGGCGCAACTAGCTTGCTAGTAATACTGGCATTAAGTTAATATTGGATTGATAGACAACAATGCAAGACTCAGCTGCTCAGGTTTGATTTAAATAACAATAAGCCACACAACAATTTCATAGTGTTTTATTTCTACTCTTATGACTGAATTCTTTTTGGATAATTTGTTCCCAATGTAGAAACAAGAGGTTATTTCATTTAGTTCTTGAAGTTGGATGTCAAGCATGTTATGTAAACAATGTATCCTTTAGGTATTGTGTTCTATTTAATCTTCTACTTATATATGCAAAATCACATGTAATCCTTTACTAAACTATAAGATAGAATTTAAGGTTGTTCAGTTAGAAACAAAATTGAGACCATTATTGCTCATAGTGTTTTACAACTGTAAAGTTTATGAGTGCTGTTGCTGTGCTGTGCTAAAACTTGTGAAAAATTATATCATAAATTGTTGGTTTTTATTATACCAAATATGATGCTTTATTATGAAAAAGCATAATAGACAATAACATTTATGTGTGGGTGTTATGCTACATGTAACAGATTTAGTTTTCTTTTATTTTACTTGGGTGTTAAAATTCTTAACAACAGCAATGGTTTGGGGGATTATGTAAAAAATATATTACATATACTTTTTTGTATAGCTCAAATCGCTAAAGTTCATGATAGCAAAACTGAAATGGAGGCATGAAATGTAGATGAGGAAATGAGTTGCTTGTAGAAAGGAATATGTTAAAATTATAGGTTCATAAGATCCTATAATATGAACTCGCTGTTTTTTATTCATATTTAGGTATGTAACCACCTGTATATCTCAAAACATAGATATGAATTTTAAATATATGTGTTTATGCTTTAAAATGTTTCCTATTTTTTTTTTTGTAGAAAATTGTGATTTAGTCAGTGAAGATTAAGTTTTCTGGCATTATTATCCAGCACGGATTTAAATACTCTTTTGTTTTTTGTCACAAGAAAACAGAATAATATATTAACCACTAAGAGCAAGATACACTTATGTTATTGGTATGCTTTATTCATAAAATTTATATTGAGTCATTCACTTCATAAAAATAGATTGAAACCATTGTAATATATTTATACATACATAATCTGAATTGCATTTTGCTATCAGCAAATTTATTCAAGCTTATCTCGTGTTTCACTTTGTTCAATTAATTGAAGCTGTTGGCTGTACATCTTATCTGTTTGTATTAAATTTATAGTTCAGTTATTATATTTGTTCTTTGTGTTATGTATTATCTTTATTCACCATAATTAGTAAGGAGTAATATATAATATTATTGTTAATCATTTTTATATTGTCTTGACGAACATATACTATAAATTTGCTTGCACTCAAATGAGTGAATTTCTCGTAATAAACTTGTAAATGTAAAACGGTGGTGTTTTAATGGATTAAAATGTTCAGCGTCGTAAACTGTAAAATAATGAAACTCTTTTAAATGGCATTTATTACAAATTAATTTTTAGGTTTTGTGCCATCTAATGATAACCAACAAATGTTCACGATTGGTGTGGTCAGAAAAAAAACAATGGCTTATGCGGCGTTCTACGTGGTCTTTATAGACGATTTTTTCTCATCGTCTCAGGTCCTATGTAAGGCTTCTTCAGCCATAGAATTCGAGGAAATGCTATCATGCGTTTTAAATATAATAATTTTATCGGAGAGTGCGTGCGGATGAAACAAACTACCCTGTAGCTGAAGGTGATGAGAACTATTAAGTATTAATACCGCTATATGCTAACCAGAACTAGAACTCTGATGCTAACCACTGGAGCAGATGTATGTATGTGCAGTGCACATTGTGCACTGCATTGTGTAACTAGTGATCATAGATAAGTAATACCATTGATTATATATATATATATATATACTTATATACTTGTCAAGTATATAATTAAAGTGTAATAAATACTATAATATACTAGAATACACAATACTGGATACCACTAGTGGGATTGTAAAAAAAGATAGAAATATATTTACTGCTGTATTTCTCCTGAGCATTCAATGACATACCAGCGATGAACAGACGTCCAGGACCTATTTGTTCCAAGAGATCGGTTCTGCCGATTAACTAGTTGAGCTCGTTAGATATTTGCTGTTATTATATACCTATGTATGATTACTTCGTGTAAAAATTAAAGTAAAGTAACAGCCGATACATGTCCCACTGCTGGGCAAAGGCCTCCTCTATACAGAGGGTATCAGGGCATAGTCCACCACGCGACCCCTCTGCGGATTGGCGGACTTCACATATTTTCGAAATACATTTTTTTTTGTTATTATTTCGAAAATATGCAGGTTTCCTCACGATGTTTTCCTTCACTGCGGAGCACGTGATAATTCAGCACTTGAAAGTTCAAAACTTCATTGGTGCCGGCACCGGGGATCGAACTCAGGTTGCTCGAGTATATATTGAATTAAGGCGAGCGCCCGGACACAGAGCTATCACGGCTCGATGTAAGTAACAAAAAATCCTTTATATCTGTTTTGCAAGTACTAGACAATACGTTCCCAATATATTTATACTTACGGGGACGAGGCAGCAGCTCACATGTAACTCCGTACCTATGATACGCAAAATAAGACAATGAATAAGGTCGTGGTTCCTTCGCTGACCTTTATAAGGGTAGACCCCTGCCCGTATTTTTATACTATTTAAATACTCGTCTATGTCGGATTTTCGTGATATTGAATCATTCAAGCAAAAAAATTAGTTGCCTTAAAGCTCTATCACAGTAAACTCGTGACTCATATTAGGCTGCGTTTTTTTTTTATGTTTCAACCGGCTTCCAGGAGTCTTCCAGAGGTTCTCAATTCGATTGTATTTTTTTGTCTGTTACCTCAGAGCTCTGTCATTTGTGAAACGATTTTAAAAAATTCTTTTTTCATTGGGTTCGGTTTGGCTTCCATGTGCATCTTATTTGTATTGGACTCTGTAGATACACCAGGGAACTCCTCAAAATGAAATAGAAAATGTATAGTGAGCGAGATACTTGAATTCGGTTTTGTTTGTACATGGTCGTGTGTTACTTTGAAACTGTTTTTACGTGAATGTAATGTAAATGAGGTCTGTTTACTATCCACGGCCAAATAAGCCATTAGGTATTCGAAGATTTTTAAGGACCCACGGTTTGCTTATTCTCAAATAAGTAGAATTATATGTTGTATTCTTCTCACATAGGAGAAAAAGAGAAGTAAACGCTATATAAGTATAATCATGTATATAGGTATGATACCATGCGACGAGCAGGTGAAAATTTGTACAGTAGTAGGTATAATAAAATAAAAAAACCTTTAATTCACCACAATTATAGAAAAACAATTCTCTGTAATTGTTTTGTGTGAGGTAAACTTTAAATCAAATGATTACAATTGACGGAAGCTTTAAATAGAATTTTATTAAACCATCAGATGTTATTGATTTATTAATTAATAACATAATCATAACGTTTAAAGCATAGCATAATGAGAAAAAAATATATAAATAAAGTGTCGTCACTGGCGTGGGAATGCATGCTTAATTGCACTTGAATTGAGTGATTTCTTTTATTTCTTGTCCTCCTTTTGCTTTTTCCCCTTCTTAGTGGCCGCAGCCGTCTCCAAGTCGATAGGAGCCGGCTTCACGAACGGTATGAGTTCCTGGTATTGTTCCGGCATCCACGGTTTAAGCGCTTCTGGTATCTGGAATAGATTGTTGTTAATAATTATTTATTTTTCAAACACTTACAACCGATATTAATTATTACTAGAGATGCCGCGAATATTTGTTATATTTATTAATAGTCAAATACCAATTAATGAACCTTGATATTTTAATAATTTTTGGATACCTTAATACCCTCCTCTGTCTGGTTGCATTCTAGCAGAGCACAGATTACTCGTGTTGTAGCGCACATTGTCGCATTCAGCATATGCACGTATTCCGTCGCCGCGTTCATCTTCTTCGTTTGGCCGTATCTGGAAGTAGACAATGCCTTTTGTTTTAAAATAGCACCGTTGTATATCAAGTCGAGATTATATAACAATTGAAGAAGCTATTATACATAGATATACACTTTATATATATAGTATACCACGAAGATCAATATTTATCGATGAGTACTGTGCTCCCCAGGGAGCCTTGGCTCAGGCCGTCACGCTATTATTATCATTACCGGTTTGGGAGGCCACAAAGTTCTTAAGGCTTGCGGAAGCTCCATGGAGTGACTAGCCTCAAGGGCCCTCGAGAGGGGACCTCGGCTTGGGCTGTCACTCAATACCCGTTTAGCATTCCGATTCGAGGGTGCCCGAGAGGGCCGGAGGACCTCGGCTCGGTCGGTTGCTATTATTTGATTGGAAGAATGTCTAGATCTATCATTGCTACCGCTTCGGAAAACGTGGGCGATTGGAGAAAAAGTGGCGGAAAAAACTCCAGCAACGCTTCTATCGTTAACTATCGGTAACGGGGGAAAACCTGCCAGGTACGTGGCGAAACCTTGTATATGTATGCCGCACTGGCCGGCGAGTGTGGTGTGTTTTTGTGTTTTTTCATATCTGTTTGGTCCTGTCGATGGCGGTAGTCGTCTCATCGTCAGGGAAGTCGAGAACGTGTCGCGGTCTACGGCAACTGCGGCGGAACGTACTTAACGATGGAAGTTTGTAGGTGACGGCATCTACTACTAGCGGATTGAGTATACGAATAGATACAAAATAGTAAGGATTTCTTTATTGTCATACTGAGTTTTAAATATGTAGATTACAAAATGGAGGTTTCTTATAGGGATGTCGGATGTGAAAAAAACCCATATATCGATGTATCGATATTTCTTTCAACATTGCCTAATTTTTTAATTCAGAAAAGTACCTGACAAGCAGACGCCTCGCTTGATATTCGAGGCAGTTGCTGCACGAGACCAGCTCACGGAAAGCGCCGGATCCTGGGAACCAGGCCTCCAGATCGAGTTTCTTAGATGCCGCATGGTTCAGAGCGCCGGAAACGATGTTCACAATACGGTAGGGTATACCGAGTGTTTGATAGAACTCCTCAGCGTTGCCTATCATTTCATCCATCATTTTCCAAGAGGCGTCGTCGTGAGGGGATGTCAATACGAATTGCTCGACCTGTTCGGATAAGTTCATTTTAAAATAATGTAAGAATTTAAAAAAAACTCATTAATTAATAAACAATTCGCATGTTGCATGAGATCTCATTTAATAGAAGTATACTGACGGGGTAGTATTATACAGACAGGAACAGTTGTAATTCTAACGAGCTGCTGCCCGCGCCTACTTCTGCGTAGAATAGGCTGAAGGCGTAACATTCAGACAGAAAGACAGATATACATAAAAATATGTACATAAATTATAGCCTATGTGTGTTAGTCTGATGCATAAGCTATATTATTGTAAAGTTTCATTAAAATCCATTCAGTAGTATTTGCGTGAAAGAGTAACAAACATCCATCCATTCATACTAACTTTCGCGTTTATTATATTAGTAAGGTTGACTATCAAGTATTAATTATACACAGTTTTATGGCAATTAATTAGATAAAATAGATTTGTACTTACAAAATCAAATATGAATTTGAAACTTATAAATTTACTTTATCTAGAAACTGAAGCATTTTTTTTATACATCGTGAACGGTATCTCTATCTCACGTTTTTTTTACGTACGTGGCGAAACCTTGTATATGTTTGCCGGCAAACATATACGAGTGTATATGTGTGTCCTGTCGACGGCGATAGTCGTTTCATTTTCAAGGAAGTCGAGAACGTGTCACGGTCTACGGCAACTGCGGCGGAACGTACCTAACGGTGGGGGTCTGTAGGTGGTGGCACCTACAAGTAGCGGATTGAGTATATGAACCACGTTTTTTTACGACTCACGTTTTTTTTTTTTTGCGTTATTTTGTATGATAAAATTAATCAAGTCCACAACCGCACGCAAATTGTCTGCGTGCATTTTGAAAGCGCCAACTTTCCTTTCAGATTTCATAAATTGTTTTTGCGCATTTTTCATAAGAAAAAATTTAAACATTTCAGAACCCAGATTTGGTCTACTTCTACCGATAATCATTTCAAACGTCACATAGCACCATTTGGTCATTATCTTATGACTCAAACTTGGCGAGTTTGTATCTCAGTAAAGTGAACCATACCTTTTCAAACTGATGAACTCTGAAGATGCCCCGCGTATCACGTCCATGAGATCCCACCTCCTGACGGAAACATGTTGACAAACCAGCATACCTGTGAAATGTGTTAATACCATTACATTTCAAAACCAATAACTTCCAGTTAAACAGCGTGTCGTTACAAACGCAACAATAAAGGAACACACGTCTAACGCTACTTGCCAATTATCATAAAAAAATATAAACGTTAAAAAAATTCATAATTAAAAAAAAATCCAAACAAACTAATAAAGTAAAAAAGAAACAAAATTTGTAACATTCTATACAAATACAACTGACTGATTCATACATTCGAAGACTTTTTCATTTGTTGCCACAGGGTCGCATTACAAGCCTCTCCCTCTATTTTATGTATGTTTTGTCTCTTTTAAATTCATTCAACCCATTCATATGCTTTGTAAACTTTACAAATACAGTTTTATATGTAAGGATGTTTTAAAGTTGTTTGTTTTGGTTTAAAGTTGTATTTTTTAAAATATAATAAACTCGGTAAATATTGATGTTTAAGAATGTAAAGGTTTAATACAATTTTAAAAAGTTATCCTCTATATGTGTGTTCATTTACTGTCGCGGTTGTAACGACACGCTTGATATCTGAAAAGTAGACTTTTATAAGTGGAAAAAAATATGAATTATAAATATATAGAGGTTTATACTTCATTTTCAAGTAATGTTAGTGGACAATACTGTACTACACAATTATCTTAGATATGTTATGTATATTATTATTATATTTATTTCTTCTTCTTCTTCTTCTTCAGCGTGTGTTCGCCCACCGTTGGGCATACGCCTCTCCAATTTTATTCCATTTGGCACGACTCTTTGTTTCCCTTGTCCAGACTGGGCATGCTGTCTCCTTTATGTCATCGGACCATCGGTCTGGGGTCTCCACTCCAGAACGCGCTTGCTCCAACGTTCCTCTTTTGTTCGGCACATGTGTCCGGCCCAAGGCCACTTTAACTTCGCTACTCGGTGGCCCACGTCGACCACTTTCGTGCGACGTCTGATGAGCTCGTTCCGGACTTGGTCCTGTAACGTTATGCCGAGCATGGCTCGCTCCATGTTGCGCTGCGTCACCTTGAGCTTGTGGATCAACCCAGCAGTCAGTGTCCATGTCTCGCATCCATATGTCATAGCCGGAAGAACGCATTGATTAAACACTTTTGTTTTAAGTGATTGGGGAATTTTGGACTTAAGCACGCAATTCAGCTTCCCGAAGGCTGCCCATCCCAACATTACCCTTCGCCTCATCTCTGCCATCATCGAGTCCCGACCAAGCCTTATTACCTGTCCTAGGTAAGTGTATTCCTGCACCTGCTCCAGTGGTTGCCCGTTCAATGAAATGGAGTTCGGCGTGAGATCGGCTGTTGCCATAACCTTGGTCTTCTCCATATTCATCTTAAGACCTATTCGCAGGGACGCCTGATATAGTTGCTCCAGCATGTGTTGCAGGTCTTCAGCGTGCTCAGCAATTATGACTATATCATCAGCGTAGCGCAGGTGACTCAGATATTCACCATTGACATTTATTCCCTTGCCACTCCAGTCCAATGTCTTGAATATGTCCTCCAAGGCGTTGGTAAATAGCTTAGGGGATATAACGTCTCCTTGTCGGACTCCTCTTAGAACTCGTATACGATCTGTTGGCTCTTTCAGCTTTACTGTCATTGTCGCCGACTTGTATAAGCTCTTCAGAAGATGTATATATCTGTAGTCTATGTGACATCGATGAAGCGAATCGGTAACTGCCCAGTGTTCTATGGAGTCGAACGGTTTTTCGTAATCGACGTAGGCAAGACAAAGAGGCCTGTTGTATTCTTCGCACTTTTGGATGATCTGTCGAAGTGTAAAGATGTGTTCTATTGCTCCAAAGTCTTTTCTAAATCCTGCCTGTTCCCTGGGTTGATATTTAATTATTAAGGTCTAACTACAAAATTACATGTTTTTCAATAATAGAATATCAAAATTATTATAACCTCAAGTAAAGAAAGGCACACAGAGTGAAGGTGCTTAAAAAGTATTATAAGAAAATAAAAAAAAATGTTAGGAACAATATAACTATAACATTACAATACTACTTAAAATTAATATCATATTTTGATTTTATTACACATTTTTTTTTAAATTACCATAATCACATACAATTATTACACACATACAAACATACGGTTTTGATTTCTAAATTTCGAAGATAAATTATGCTAAGATGGCGAGTTCCCATGGTTGAAATTGTGTGAATATATATATACAGCGTGTCGTTACCATCGCGACAATAAATGAACACACATATAGAGGATAACTTTTAAAAATTGTATTAAACATTTACATTCTTTAAACATCAATATTTACAGAGTTATTAAATTTTCCAAAACAAAGAATTTTAGAACACCCTTACGTATAAAACTGTAACGTAAAGTTCATTCATAAGAGACAAAACATACTGTTAGAAGGAGAGGCTTGTAATGCGACGCTGTGGCGCGAGTTGTATAGGATGTTACAAATTTTATTTCGTTTTTACTTAATTAGTTTGTTTGAAAAATATTTTTTTTAATTATGGATTTTGTTTAACGTTAATATTTTTTTGATTATTGGTAAGTAGCGTTAGACGTGTGTTCATTTATTGTCGCGATGGTAACGACACGCTGTACATATATATATATATATATATATATATATATATATATATATATATATATACCTTATAGGTAAAGAAGCTTCGGGAAGCCATTCATCTCTGTGATATGCAGCAATGGGCTGCTCTGAAGTAGCAATTAAATACTTCTCCTCTATGATGTTGTCTCCTTTATTTTCGGAACCCTTTCCCACTACCTTATAAAGTTCCTCATCAAACTGAGCTAACTGGGCGACTTCTTGCATAACCTGAAACATGGTAAATTTTAAGGCCGTTACTGTGGAATGTTATAAAGTTTGAACTAAAAGTTATAAATACACTGCTCACTTGGTATTAATACAATATGTTGAATAAGCGAAATTGATAATAGAGAATATTGAGGTTCTAGTTTCAAACAAATGAGTGGGTTATATGAGACTTTAAAATATTGATCCTGCACCAATCCAATGTAAATATACTTATTACTTCAGTAGTCTTTATAATTTATATGTATTTTAAATACCTCTTTTCTCATAAAGAATGGAGTGTATAACGGAGTGTATCCTTTTTTCAACAATATCCGTAGAGAGAGCTGTATGAGGGCTTGTTCTAAGAATACAGCAGGGCCTTTTAAATAATACCCACGTCCACCAGCCACTGCTGATCCTCTATCTGCATCCATACCTAAAAACAATTTTTAATTTTTCAATAACAAAATATATCTTTAATTTCAATAAAATTTAAAAAGAAGCGTAAGTGGTTTAAACATACCATCAATCATGCAAATGAGATCAACATGTGAGTACTTTTGTCTCACAGAGCAGTCTCCATAAGTCCTTTCAACAAGGTTGTGATCCTCGTCATCATCAACTGGCACTGACGAATGGAGGTGATTGCCAACTTCCCTTAAGGCTGCAGAACGAGCCTTTTCAGCAGTTATTAAACCTTGTTCATTCTTTGAAATGGCCTCATCTATAAGAACTCGAACCTAAATATAAGACAATTATAAAAGGTATAAGATAATTATAAAAAATTATACAAAGTAGATTTATTTTTCAACTCTTATGTATGTCAAAAACTTCACTTATTGAGATAAGTCCAAAGGCAATTCAAATCAAAGCTTGTGGTCTTATTTAATTTCTATTAATAATTATGACTGTCTACAACATTATGAATCATAGTGATGTTATAAAAAAACATTTTTAAATATGAGGAAAATTAAGTAAGAAATAATACAAACTTTTTTGATTTGATTGACCGTCAATGGTTTGAGGAATTCAGCAGAAAGATTATTAAGATTATCAGCGACGGCTGCCGGTACTTCCTGGTCTTCTGGGCCAGCGGGTTCCTTGTTTTTCATTTTTTGTCCTATCTCCTTACTGCATACATTTTTTAATTTATTATAATTATCTGCCTCGTGCCTTAATCGTCTCCAAAGAAGATCTTGCTCTACAACAGTGTCTACCAAGGCAACATCTTTAAACCTTTTTCGTTGGTTCTCCCTAATTTTTTCTGGATCACCATCCTTATCAGCTCTAAATAAGTCTAGATCCAGAACCATGTTTCCTGTCTTTTAAAAAAAAATTGTATCAATTATCAAAGATAATTTAACACGAAGCCACCATATGGATTTGACAATTTGACAAATCGACATTCGACATAGACAATCGATCTGACAGGACTGACACGTGCAACAACGCAGAAAATAAATCGAACAGGAAAATCAAGAATGTTATAATGATTTTTTTTTGTAGTAGCTCGGTGGCATTGAATGCTTCGTCAGAAAATATCCTTAAGCACTTTTTAAGGAGAATAACGTAGCTGGTGAACGAAGATGACGCTGTCCACTGTGCTGCATCTTCGCGACGCGACTAGAGAGAATGTAATCACTAGGTTTTTTAGACGCAACCACTTTTAATTAAAGATGAACAATTCGACTAATGAGAGGAGCCAAAGAGAATATAACCACTACGTTTAAAGAGGTCTGAGTTGAGAGGAGCTGAGAGCACGACCTGATAGTATAGTTGATCTATGGGCCCCCGTTGGACAACACAGCAAGTTGAACGATCGCTTACGAAAATTAAAATTACAATTAAAATTAAATTTACAAAATTTAAATTAAATTTACTATAACAATCAATTTACTAAAATCCCTAATCTTCAAGAGTTCAAAGTTCTATCTAACTCGTTCGTAATTAATAACGAACGAGTTAGATTGCATGAAAACTCTATAGTAAATAACATTGAAAATACGACGTTAGTGATTCAAAATCAGCCTAGCCCTTGACTGATCGTGTGTATGTGTAGGGTGCATATTGGGACCTCGTGTTCAACAGCGTACACACTGCCTAGTGTATGTATGAAATTAATGCGGCGTGTATGAAACTGAATCCGTTAAATGATGGTGAATGTATGACGGTATAGGTAATTGACCTATTCAGGCTTATAACCGAGCCTTGTAGCGACGCAATAAAATTTAATGGTTATCGTAATGTGATTATTTTAGGAAATAATGTCACTTCCTAAACTAATTGTTTTCGTATAACAATTGTTTTTGTTATACAAATTTTGTTATTGATCGTTTGACGTACCTACCTACTACCTACTTTAAAATAAAAGTACGACGTATCTAGATATTCGATAAAACTAATAATTTAGAGAGAGAAATCAAGAGAACACAAGATTCATGAAAGTAATTAATTCGCGGAAATAATTATTTTTTCAGAATAACTATAATTTGCAGTAATTTGTTGCAGATATAAATAAATTGGCAATGTTGGATGTTAAATGTCAAATACAATTGTGAGCCGTATTTTGAGCCTGTCTCTACTATATTTTTATGATTGTTTTCTATAATATGCGGGTCATATTTTATGAACATTGTTATCAATAAACCTTAAGGCCTTGTGCTACGTTTGTAAGTGTGCTTTATTTTTTCATCTTCCTTTTTTAATGTAAAAAAGTTTCAAATACTTTTTTGTTTACACGTCTTCAATGTCCATTTTCTACTGGTATATTTACAAAGGGGTGGATACGTATTACAAAAATACAAATTCTTATTAAATTTTTTTAAAAAAATTTCATTTAGGGTTATAATGTTTTTTTCTATCTTTTATAGTTAACTTAATCGCATACCAAAAATTAAGCTTGTGATCATCATCTTTGTTGAAATTTAGCACTTATATTCACTTTCCATTCCAATGTATGTTATTTTACATTTGCAGGCAATGTTAAAATGATTCCCCTAAAAGATAATCAGGATGTGGCATCGTTCCTAGTAACAAAACATTCATGGAAGGGCAAGTACAAGCGTGTATTTTCAGTGGGCACGCATGGGATTACTACTTATAATCCGGACCGCTTGGAGGTCACCAACAAGTGGCTCTATGCTGACATAGTTAAATTGGTATCAGCAAAACACTCCAACTCCACTCTTAACCATGATTTCACACTTATAATGAAGAAGGATAAAAAAGTGGACTCAATGAGGTTTTCATCGGAACACAAATGTCTGATAGTAACTGAAGCTTTTAAGTACAGACATCTTTTTGCAGAAAAACCAAAAGATATCTATGTAAGGTTTTTACTTTCATAATAACTGTTAAATTTTAAAATATATGTTTAAATCTCAGTGTTACATTTGTCAAGATAATTTAAAATTAAATTCTACAATGGTGTATCATTGTTAAACTTAATCTTAATAAATATTTTTCTACAGAGGTATCAAGCATATAAACACCACTGGAGTGGCACTAGGTTGCCAGTTGTACTTGAAGTTGGACCATGTTCTCTGGAGCAATTGGATCCTTCCACACATACCTTGCTTGCTAGTTATCCGTACTATGATATTCAAGGCATATTGCCAGTTCGAGACATTCCAGGAGGGTTTGTACTTGCCATTGGAGGCTATAGTCGTCTTCACCTATTCTCCAATGCTATGGAGCATCAAGTTATTATAGGCAAAATGTTGGAGATGGCTAATTTAGTTCTCAATATCAGCATTAAAGTGTTGACGGCTACAATTACAGTTGATGATTACCACAACCAGAGATTTGGAAAGTACAGGTATGAAATTAAATAATTTGCGTTTTTTATTTAAATTACTTTTTGTAGACATCAATAAAAATTCTTGGCACATAATTTATAAGAGCATGAACCAGTACTGAATTCTTGCTATTATGTAGAACTTAAACTTTTTCTATTTAAAGGTTTTAGAAATATTTTTATAGAGGAGGGAAATACATTTTTTGATTACCTACCTTTTTTGTGTAGTTGCCCCTACGGGCAACCTACGAAGTCAGATAATATGAATATTTTCTTAGTCTCAATTTTAAAGTGATCATTAAATAATTACATATTTATAACTTTTTTAAATTAATAAGAAAGGATGTAATTTTTATAATTAAAAAAAAAATAATTTGTTCAACAATGATATCAGTTAATTCATGTAAATTCATTAATATTTTATGTCCTCAACAACCTTGAAACCTATTATCATCAATATGAATCATCTTATCATCCATGTCTGTGGTTTGCTACAATTGCTATTGTTCCATTAAATTTTTTTGATGTAATGTATATTATCCTGGAGTGGATATATTAACAAACTGGTTTATGTTGCTGTAAATAATTTTCAATTATACAACCTTTCAATACCAATATTTATCAATTATCATTATGGTGAAAATTATTATGAAAAGTATAGAATTGTCTTAATGCTTACATCAATTGAATATTAGTCATATCTTAGGATGAGCTTAAAAATAAAGTTTCACTAATTTCTCATCCAATGTAATCTTATTAGGCTTAGCAGGAAAATAATATTAGGCAAGAACTAAGCTATTCACTTATTCTTAATCAATTATAGTAATGCCACAGGAGTTGTTTTCTCTAATTAAAAAATGTATTGCTGTAAAACATGACATTTTACACAAATTGGGTTAAGGTTTCTTTTATTAAATACTAGCGACTCTCCCCGGCTTCGCACGGGTGCAATGTATTATACATATGAACCTTCGTCTTGAATCACTCTATGTTGTAATAAAAACAATTTTAAGTTAAGCATAGAACTCAAAAACTGTTACTAAGAGTAGTTAAAAACTATACTAGCAAGGTATCTTATGAATGTAATATGAAAAAGAAATAAAAAAATAGTATGAATAAATATTTAAGTATTTTATGTATTAAATTTCAGTGGTGATCAACATCAGACATCATTAAGTGAATTCACAGTGCACAAAGTAAATCCAGCTCGCCATATGGAACCTATGCGACGTACCTTATGCCTTTCTGATACATGCATACTTGAACGTGATCCCCAGACCTACTCGGTGAGCTGTTTTCGCGAAATCTAGCTGTTCATAAGTTAATATCTGTGAAACATTATAACTTATGAATTATTTCATTAGTTATAATGTTTCACAGATAATATCACATATATAAACATAATACATTATGTAAAAAAAATTGTAAGCTTAAAAACTTTACATAAGATTGTAAACAATTACTAGATTTCTAAACATCAGTTCATGAATTGCATTGAATTAAAAATATAGCATAGAATGCCATATGCATTTACTTAAGTTATTGAAAAATCATAAAAACTAAATAAAAATTAAATATGAATATGAAAGTTAAATTATAAATGTTTCCCAGGTCGTGTGTTTGCGTCCCTTGAGCGATGTATTCGCATTAGTACGAGATCCTGACCATCCACAGAAGTTTGCGATTGAATATCTTAATGGACAGATCCGTACTTATTTGGCTGGAGAAAGGTAAGGGGAACTAATAATTACCGGAATACTTAATGTGAAACATTAATTCCTTTTTGTTGGAAATATTATTGCACACTTGTGAGTGTAAGCATTTACTACCGAAATTTATTATTATATAGTTATACTTTATTATGCACCAAATGAATTTATATAAGGTGGTCTTATCTCAAAAAATCTCTGAAACCTTAGGACAAGGAAAATTAAACTAATGAATAATTGGAAGTGGTGTGCTCAATAAAGTTACTTAATAATACGAAAATAAACTAAAATTCAATAAACATACATAAACATAAATAAATAAATAATGTATATAAATACACGAGAGAAGAGTTAAATCTACGACAATGGAAACTAATGATTACAAAGGGATAAACAATGATTTTTTATGAATAAAAATTAATATTGCCTTTGTACAATGAATTTGCTGAGGAGGTTTATTCTGATTTGGTTAAAATGCTTTATTTTATTTGATTATATGTGCATTAGACAATGAATCTGTGGAATCAGTTGTTAAGCTATCGCCTTCAATGCTGGGGTCTGGGGTTCAATTCCCACAATGACGATATTTGTATGACTCTAGGAGGGATTTTTGAGAAAGTGGGCCCCGTTTCCTCATTCACCAGTTTTCGCTTTCACTTCCCATCGGACTTCTGTGAGGTTGTTGTACTTCCCCAGACCAGCTTGCCCGTACAACAACAGAAGCTGCTGCAAATTTCTCAATGACTGTCCATTTAAGTACTAAATAAATCAAAAGTATTAACATATCATTATTAAAAAAAAAAAAAGTAACAGCCTATACATATTCCACTGTTGGGTAAAGGCGTCCTCTGTACAGAGGGTATGACGGTCATAGTTCACCACGCGGCCCCACTGCGGATTGGGGGACTTCACATATCTTCGAAATATTTTTTTGTTATTATTTCGATAATCTTAACGTTACCCCACTATGTTTTCCTTCACCGCGGAGCACGTGATAAGTTAGCACTTAAAATTAACAATTTCATTGGCGCCGGCACCGGGGATCGAAGTCGGGTTGCTCGAGTATATTGAATGAAAGGCGAGCTACACTGAGCTATAGCGACAATCGTTATTAACCTTTCATTAAATGATTCTGTTAACAGAGACGCGTTGCTGGCTTCGCTGGTCGACGGGGTGCGTTCGACGGGGCAGCGCGACGTGCACGTCCGGTCGGGCCTAACGCCACGCGGCTACAGGCTGGGCCCGCTGCACCAGGCGGTCGACGAGGAGACCGAGTCCAACCACCTCAGGTACGGATTGTGCACGGAGTTTGGTACGTCCCGCGCTTTCATGCGCAACCGCTTTAGATACGGATTGTGGCATAGAGTTTGGTACGTTCCGCGGTAACATGCGCAACCACCTCGGGTACGGGTTGGGGCATAGAGTCTGGTACGCTCCGAGATTACATGCGCAACCGCTTTACATACGGATTGGGGAATAGAGTTTGGCACGTTCCGCGGTTACATGCGAAATCCGGGTAAGTACCACGACCTCACAGAAGACCGGCGTAAAGTGGAAGTATAATGCTGTCGCGTTTCGTCTGGTGATTGAGGTGGCCGGAGCCCAATTTTAAAGGTTGTCAACGCATCTGCAACCCTCGGGTGTAGCAGATGTCTATTGGCGGCGGTATTCACTTAACATCAGGTGAATCGTCTGCTTGTTTGGCAACTTTTCACATAAAAAAAAAACCCGCTTACCTACAGATTGGGGCATAGAATTTGATACGCTCCGATGTTACATCCACAGCGAAAAGAGATTGGCGTACCATTTTAGCGAATATAATACAGACATAACATGGGTATGTTACATAATATGTAATAATCCGCCATTCATTTCCGTGTAATACGAAGGCGGTTGACATATTGATAATGCGGATGAGGAATTATCATTATGCTTTTTGTTTTCAGATTATTCCAGAATCATGTCATACTGAACATGCCAAGAGCCGAAGTGATAGAGCGTTTTAACGCCAACGTTGGATACAGCGGCCTAATCTACTCCGTCAGTCAAGACGTAAGACACACTCAATAACTTTGTTACTTGCCTTGCACCTTAGCTGGATTATGCATTGTGGTAAATACTAACAGCTCAAGGAACCTTGCCAATGTTCTCAGTTCAGGCTATATAGAATTTATAAACATAAAAAATGATTACGTTGTTCATTATATTTTTATCCTTTTTTTTAAGTTGGCAAATATACTATGTTAACAAGCGAAATCAGATGAAAACTGTGGATGTCTCATGATTTCCTTATAATATAAGTAAATGATTTTGAGGATATTTTCGTTTTTAAAATGTTTACTTTGGTTAACCATTTTTGAATCCAACAACTGATGAAGAACTACTACTTGGCAAGATTCTTTATAAAGCCCATTAGCTATTAAACATTGTGTTGTTAATAATTTAACATTAACCATATTTTGACATTACCACATTACTGGTAAATTGATATAAGGAAACTGTTATCATTTTTTTAAACATACAAATTTAAACATTTTCAATTTGAACACTAAACAAAATTGCTCGCTGAGAACATTCATAGCTTTTTACAATAATTGTCATTTACATATATTGCACAAACATTATAATCTCACACTTTCTTTAACAATTACTTAAATTCATAAGTGTAGTCAGTTTATAACATAGTTCTTCCTTGGGAAACACAGATATACTTGTAGTTCATTAAAGTTATTATTTTTCAGTTCAAAATGAACCTCCAATTGGATTTATTGTTTAAAGTATGTAAGAATTGCGAGAGACGATTTTTATCAGAGTTGATCAAAGCTTTTGTGGGTGTATTATTTTATGTGTTTAAATTTCCTTTATGATTTTCTGTACTACGGGGCATGTTAATATTGTATTGTATGCGTTGTAGGCTCGTCCCCTGTTGTGGCTGTTTCTTACGTGGGATCTTGTAAGTCCCCATAATGTTTATTAATTCTTAAACCTTCTCTTTGTTATGCGAGGTTGAGGGTGTCATCGGTTAGCAAACGATAATGTCAAATTTGGCACGTCTGACTGTCGCATTCTTTTCATTAGCCCTTTATCATTGAAATTTATATTGCATTGGTACTGTTAAAAAATAACCCCTGTCAATTATTCTGATAGTCTCAGTTTGGGAACACTTGCATGAGATGTTTTAAGCAAATTATTAATACAAAATTTATAATCTTTCTAAAATCGCATCATAAATTCAAGCTTTGTAGTAATAGATTAATATCATCCATTCAACAAATGTACGTTAAAATATGTAAATAATGTAATTGTGAATACATGTATAATATATTGAGTGCAAATGTATATAAAACAATAATTTCATTGAAAACTTAATTGTATTTCTCCCAATATATGTGTTTCCCTATTTTTGTTTGTAGAGATTGTTCGCGGAAAACAAGGAGAAACTTATAACGGGGGCGTTGACTGCTTTAGTGAGCAGCGCGCCATCTGGCGCCCATCTCACGCCCCGCGAGTTGGAGGCGCAGTTCCACGCGCTAAGAAGGCTTTGCGCTAGCAAAGTCGGCTTTGCCGCATTCACTGCTCTGCCCGGGTAAATATATTGTTTTTATCAAGACGGCACTACTTTCATTTATATATACAGCGTGTCTTTATCACCGCAACAATACATGAACACACGTCTAACGCTACTGGCCAATAATCATAAAAAGATATTAATGTTAAAAAATCCATAATTAAAAAAAATATTTTTCAAACAAATTAATTAAGTAAAAAAGAAACCAAATTTGTAACATCCTATACAACTACATCTGACTGATTCACACATTCAGAGACTTTTACATTCGTTTTTCATACAGCGCCGCATTACAAGCCTCTCCATATGTTTTGTCTCTTTTAAATTCATTCAGCCCATTCATATGCTTCGTGACCTTTATAAATGAACTTTACATTAAAGTTTTATACGTAAGGATGTTCTAAAATTCTTTGATTTGGAAAATTTAATAACTCGTTAAATATTGATGTATAAAGAATGTAAATCTTTAATACAATTTTAAAAAGTTATCCTCTATATGTGTGTTCATTTATTGTCGCGATGGTAAAGACACGCTGTATACTCAATAATTTTCTCTTGCTGCTGTTACAATTAAAAAAAAAAATTATGTATATGATTATTATATTGAACTACCGAATATACCGTGTAATGTTCCCACTGTGCACACGTGTACACGTGTACCCGTATACCCGTGTCCACGTGTCCCCTGCCCGCGGCAGGTTCCGCGAGTGGGTGGGCAGCGCGGTGGTGAGCGCGCTGCGCCGCGACTCGGCGGCGTGCTCGCACGCGGCGCTGGACGCGGTGTGCGCGCTGATGCAGCCCATGCACGCGGAGCCGGACCTGCGCCAGGAGCAGCTCAACAAGGCGAGCATGCTCTCGTCGCCCGCCTTCCTCGACGGGCTGCTCGCCATGTGGGCCGAGCACGTGGTCGGTACACGCTCACGGGCGGATTTGACGCTGTGTTTTTTTTATTTTTATTTAATAACAGCCCTTTCTTTAGGACATTATCTCCTAAATGAAACTATTTTTACGGAATTTCGCGTTTATTTTTAATTGTAATTCCCTACGTTTCGAACTTTTTACAGCGTTCATGGTCACGGGACAGACTGTGTTTATATATATATATATATATATATATATATATATATATATATATATATATATATATATATATATATATTTATGTGAGAAGTTGCCAATTGAGCAGACGGTTCACCTGATGTTAAGTAAATACCGACGCCCATGGACATGGGCCACACCCGAGGGTTCCAGATGCTTTGACAACCTTTTGAAAATTGCCTTGCTCCGGCCAGCTCACTCACCAGACGAAACGCGAAAGTATTATATACTTCCACTTTACGCCGGTCTTCTGTGAGGTCGTGGTACTTAGCCGGACGAGCCTGCCCATTCGTGCAACAGCCGCGGCTGCTGCGTGGCCCTACCACCGTGAAATGTGTGTCAATAAATCTGTAAACATTAATTTAATAACGTGTAATCCCGTAAATACAAGAAGTTATCAGGCCTCTTTAGGCATATTTAATCAAAATCATTTAAATGCCTAAAATATTTTTCTTTTAACCAGACGATATATTCCTCTGAAATAAAATAAATGTTTGCAGACCGCAGGCAGCGGCGCATTGGTCGTTGCGGCGATGTTGGACTTCTTGACGTTCGCTCTGTGCGTCCCGTACAGCGAAACGACAGACGGCAAGCAGTTCGATCACTTGCTGGAAATGGTCGCCAACAGAGGGCGCGTCGTCTTCAAACTATTCGAGGCAAGTGAAGCGGCGACCGTCGATTGTAAATCGTAGCTTTTATCCGTGACGTATTTTTTGGATTTTTTATATATTACGTGATATCTGCATATTCTGCTGTAAAGTAAGTATTTGTTCGGTTCACTATTGAACCAAACAGCTTTGTTTGCACGTTTTACCTAAAGTCCATCAATACGTAATAAGCAGTAAAATATACCACCACAAACAGTCAGTTCATGTTCGGACATCAAGAAAACTACGCGTTCTAAAAATATCATACCTTACTATCATATTATCAAAGTGTATCATTTTTACTATATCAATTTTGTAGTAAAGTGTTCTAAGAAATTATATTATCATTTATATCATCATTACCGGTGTTAGGAGTTAGCCCCAACATAGTTTTGGTCCTACGAGCCGAATCTGATCTGATAATTATTTTGAAACTGAAATGAACAAATTGTGTGATATTGATTGTAATATGGCGGATTTTTGACAGAATTGTTTTTTTACTCCTGTATTAGTTTCTACATTTGTTCTGTCTTTATACAATAAACGGTGAAATGTATCCGTAAAGGAATTTGTACAACGTGAAAACATAGATCCTATTTATCAAGGTTAAACTTTCCTTTTACCAGAACATGCGATTTAAGCCCGTGTGTTTTCATTTCCATTCAGATGATGTTAATTAATTACCACCATCACACAAGATAGTAATCAAGAATTTTTTTGACCGAGTATACTATCACAAAACATACGGCGATCAATAGAACGGTGATCGCAAACGATAAAATTTTAAAATCACGTAACGATATGCTTAAAAGTAATAAAGCTCGACACACATTTTGTTTAATTGTGCAAAATATAAAATATATATAATTATAGAGAATATTAGATCATTCATACATTCACTCACTCATTCATTCATTCATTCATTCATTCATTCAATTCCGCAGCACCCGTCGCTGGCGATCGTAAAGGGCGCCGGGCTGGTGACGCGCGCGCTGGTCGAGGAGGGCGGCGGTGGCGTGGGCGCGCGGATGCAGTCGCTCGCGCTCGCCGAGGCGGCCCTGCCGCGCCACCTGCTGGCCGCGCTCTACCAGCCCTCGGCGCCGCAGCCGGCGCGCCTGCACCTGCGCCACCTGGCGAGGCACCTCGTCGCCCTCTGGCTCGTCGACCACGCGCCCGCCCACGACCTGCTGCGCCGCATCATGGTGAGTGACGTCACGGCCCGATGACGTCACGCGGTGTCGCGACCGGCAAGCGACTGTAGCAAAGGGTTGTCGGGGTAAAAATCGTGTGGCTGGTGGGGTACGCCCAATGACGTCACAAAGTCGTCACATACATATTAGTAGCAACTTGGCGCAACCAGTCGCGTTGGCACCCGATCAATATCCCTCCGCACTCTGTGCAACCGTAGTACAACGGCCTCACAGAAGACCGGTGTTAAGAGGAAGTATTAAACTTTTGCGTTTCAACATTTCAACGTGTCAACATTGGCAGTCTGTGGGGGAGGCCTATGTTCAGCAGTGGACTTGACAGGCTGAAATGATGACGATGATGTTTCTACCAGCCATCCGGTCTGCTGGCATTCCTGGAGTCCACGGAGTCGCCGCCGGCTGCGGCGCTGCAGGAGCAGCAGGTGCAGGAGCGCGACAACCTGCAGCTGGCTCAGGCCACGCTCAAGCCGAGGGCGCCGCACTGGGAGGCGCTCGAGCGACAGGTCAAATACGTGGAGAAGCACATCGAAGTAAGTTGCATTTACTGTTATATATTAAAGAACGAGGCTTATTATGATATACGACGACCCGTATGGTACGTGTACGTAGTGGTTAGTGTACTTGCCTCCTGCACTCAGGGTGTGGGTTCGATCCCCACTACTGGAAAAATACAGTGCGATGAACATAGTGTTTTTCTAGTGTCTAGGTATTTTAATATATATAATATGTAATTATTTACAAAAAAAAAGTATGTTTATCAGTTATCTAGTACCCATAGTACAAGTATTGCTTAGTTCGGGACTAGAGAATGGTGTGTAAAACTGTGTCCTCAAATATTTATATATTTATTTATTTACCCTTTATGCATAAACAGTACAAAGGCGGACTTAATGCTAAAGGCGTTATCTCTCAGTCAACCTTGGGGTGGTACAGAGAAAATTAGGTAGGTGCACAGAGGGATTCTAACAAGGAAAACGCTAATAATTTTAGGTTGAGGTATATTGAGGTTCCGTTTTGTGAATCTATCGGGCGCAATAGTTTAAATATATCGGCTTGAATAGCAAATAAAAACGTATCGGAAAATTTTCTTCTTGTCCATTGCACTTAATGTTTGCAACTGCAAACATTAAGTGCAATCAAAGATTTTTATTTATGACATAGGCATACATACTTTTAGTTTACTTTAGGCATTTATAAACTATTTACTCTGTTTTTCTAAATGAATTCACTAAATAAATATGCATGTACACGCAGAGCCCACTTCATTGAACTCATATATTTATTTTTTATATTTTTATTTAGACATCTTCTATATTTTTTCTTTAGACATCTTCTATTCTTATTGTGCATCTTTTGCATGCCTCACTCTAACATAAGCTTTTACACACTGAGTTGACTTGACAGCGAGAGAATAAATTTTGACATTAAACCGGACCTTTATTACTTTTATTATGTGAGTATCGCAATAAAGCTTAAGTGACTAACTAATTTCGCAGCACTACGCTTCGCTGGCGATGCAGCACTGGGCGCAGCGGGCGCGCGCGCTCGGCGCGGCCGGGGGCGCGGGGGCGGCGGGAGGGGGCGCCGTTGGTGCCGCGGCGGGGGCGGGGGCGGCGGGGGCGGGGGCGGAGAAGCGCGAGCGGCCAGTGGTGCTGCGGCGCCGACGCGAGCGCCTCAAGTCCACGGCGAACTGGCCCCTCTTCTACTACCAGTTCCACCGCGACCACGCGCTGCCCAACCTCATATGGAACCACACGGTGGGCGCGTTGTTGTGCTCGTTTGTATTGTAACTCCCGACGACCACTGCAACCTTGGAGGATATGTTGAGGTCCTCCAACATTGCACCGCAGGATGACATTATCCTGTGTTGTTAGGATATTTTATGTATATAAATTTAACGGTCAGCTCAAGCGGACCGCGTGTTCGTGTCGATTTTTATACGTTTTATATTTATTTTAATTTTGAGTCAAGGGAGACTATTATTTGGCGGTAGCAAATTTTTTCATAAGTTTCTTTAAGTTAGATATGAAAAGGTACGACAGTGATAAATTATCAGTATTGTAAATGAACAATATAGACAAACTCCCCAATATCAGGTCCGTCCGGGAATTACCAAGATTTTACAGAAAACCGGTGTAAAGTAGGAGTGTAACACTTTTGCGTTTCGTCTGGTGAATGAGGTAGCCGGGGCCCAAATTATTAAAAGGTGGCAACGGATCTGTAACGCTACGGGTGTTGCAAATGTCCATGGCCGTAGTTATCACTTAACATCAGACGAACTGCTGGCACGTTTGTCGCATAAAAAAAGAGTGTTTTTTTTTTAAAATCGCAAACAGACCCGCGAGGAGCTGAGGAACGCGCTGGAGAACGAGCTGCGCGCCTTCACGTCGGACCGCGAGGTGGCCGGCGGCACGCTCACCTCCTGGAACCACGCCGAGCTGGAGGTGCACTACCAGTGCCTGCAGAACGAGGTCAAGATCGGGGACTACTACCTGAGGATCCTGCTGGAGCAGCGGGACAACGACGACAGCCCCATCCGGAAGTCGTGAGTGGCCTGCTTTGAGCTTGCGACGACAGCCATTCGAGGTGGTGGCCAAGGATCTCAAGGTCTACTGTCCGTTGGTCTTTCTTGAAGGCAGCGATGACGTAGTAACGGAGGTTACTTTCAGACTTCTGTTGTGCATAAATCATAGACTGATCAAAAGATAGACATTCAAAAATCATAATCTGATCAACAGGTCAGACAAAAGTTCGGCTTACCTGTCATGTTAGCCACTAAATAAATTTGTTACAATGTTTATTAATACAATACCCAATAACCAATCTTTACAGTTCAAAGTATGCCGCTTTGAGAATCTCATTATAATTTATTTAACAGCCAATTATGAAACACTTTAAAAGAATAACTGATGAAATAGAAATTAATTAAAAGTACTGATAAGTAGCAGTGTAAAACAGACTTATTTGTGATTCTGACTGACTTCTTGTCGATCAGGTGGTAAACTCTATTTTTATTATAGTTATTGACTCTTCAAAAGCTACGAAATGTATCGTACATTTCCTAACTTGTTGAACTGTTGACTTAAGCGTGGATAATTTTTATTTTTTTCAGATACGAGTTTTTCAATGATCTCTATCACCGATTCCTATCAACACCGAAGGTTGAAATGAAATGCATGTGTCTCCAGGCCATGACGATAGTTTACGGTAGATATTACGAAGACATCGGTCCCTTTGCAGATACTAAATATATTGTTCAAATGTTAGATAGGGTAAGTTTTTGTTAAAAATAAATGAAATGAAAATGTTTGAATGATTTGTCAAAACGTGTTTGTTTTTAATTCATATTTGTTTGTTTCAGACCTGCGATCGTATGGAAAGAGATAGACTAGTTCAGTTCCTAGCAAAATTAATATTACACAAGAAGAATGTTAGTGAAATATTGGAATGGAATGGTATAAGGTGAGAATTGTATTTGCCATTCAAATTTTTTTATTTTTCTTTTTAAAGGCAATTAAAATATTTGGCTTGAAATATTTTGGCATATCTAAACTATTAAACACCATTGTAACAAAGAGCTTTAAAGATTTATTAACACTCAAATGTAATCATGCTATTCTGGCTGGTATGCTTGGGCGTTTCTCGGTTCTGTTGATCTATGTGCAACATTTTTATTCAATATAGTTTCCATTAAAAATTCCTTAAAAACGTCATATTTTTAAAAAGTGTTGGTATCTCTGAATAGTGATTGAAAGCGACTATAAAATTATAAAAGCGAACCGTCGCAGGGTTGACCGAATATGCCGCACTCCTTAGGATCCTGGTGGAGCTGATGACCTTGGCGCACCTGCACACTTCGCGGGCCATGGTGCCGGCGCAGAGCAACGTGCTGGAGGCGGCGCAGCCCGCCCAGCCCTCCGCCGACCGCGAGTGGTACTACAACCTCGAGATGCCCGACAAGGTGCACCGCAAGGGGCCCGTCAGTCTGCAGCAGGTGTGCTACGTGAAGAGAAAAAGAAACAAATACAGTCATACATAAATGCGTGCAGCGTGATTTGTTACTATAGTACCACTTGAAACTCAAACGCGTTTCACGGATAGTGAAAACGGAATAGTATTTACCATAACTACAGAAAAAAGTGAAGTAAAGTCTTAGTAAGTCTGTAGTAAGTCTTAAAAGAAGTAAGCTTTTATAAATATCACTGCTGGGCAAAGGCCTCCTCTATATAGGGGGTAATAGACCATGGTTCCCGACGCGACCTCAATGCGGGTTGGCAGACTTCTAAAATATGCAGGTTTCTATACTATGTTTTCCTTCACCGCTGAGCACGTGATAAATTTAGCATTCAAAATTGACAATTTCATTGGCGGCCGCCACCGGGATTTGAACTCAGGTTGCGCGACACTGAGCTATCACGGCTTAGCTGGACGCAACTTAAAACATCACAATTGTGTCATAACGAATGAGTTTACCGTCCGTATCCGCCAGCTGAAGGAGCTGTACAAGTCGGGCGAGATCACGAACAAGACGAAGTGCTGGGCGAACAGCATGGAGGGGTGGCGCGCGGTGGGCGGCGTGCCGCAGCTCAAGTGGACGCTGGCGGCGCGCGGCGCGGCCGTGCTCGACGAGAGCGCGCTCGCCGCCACCGTGCTCGACCTGCTCGTCACCTGCGCCAGATACTACCCCAGCAGGTTTGTTACAGGCTCCATTCCTCCCTCGTTCCTTCTACCCCAGCAGATCAATTACAGGTTCCATTCCTCCTGACCCTGTAATCCTATTCACTCACTCGTTCGTCCTACCCCAGCCGTTCAGCCATCCCCGCTACACCTCTATCATCTACCCCATTCGCTCACTAGTTTTTCCGTTTGTCCACACCAGCAGGCAAGCCATTCCGGTCCCCCGTCCACTAACTTATTCGTCCATTCGTCCACACCAGCAGGCAAGACATCTTCTGCTCCCATTCATTCACTCGTTAGTTCATTCGTTTACCCCAGCAGGTGAGTCGTCTGCCCTATTCCCCGTGCCCCCATTCACTCATTCGTTCATCCGTTAATTCGTTTAGTCTCTTCGCTGCGTAGACCTATTTTAGAGACGCGGAATTAAATTGTTAAGCGTAATTGCCGTCGAAGTAAAAGATGAAACTCGCGGCCATAGAATTCCATCCATTTGCTATTAATATTAACTATTTAAAAAGTAAAAATATAACATACAAATGTATAATACTATTATGAAATTTAAAAAATTACAGAGACGAGGAAGACGCGGTGATAAGACCTCTTCCGCGGGTTAAACGGATACTATCCGAGCCATCTTGCTTGGCCCACGTGGTTCAACTATTGTTGACTTTTGACCCAATACTTGTGGAAAAGGTAATATTAATTATTGTTATTGCTCATACAGTTTAATTCATAATGTTTGATCTATTAATTGAAATTAAGCATACTTCTATCGGTGACTCATTTTGTTTAAACCTTTTATTGATCATAGAACATTTTTGCATTTGTGTATATAGCGAGATGATGTTTGTTTCTTTTTCTAGGTGGCAACACTTTTGTATGAGGTCATGCAAGACAACCCAGAGATATCGAAGCTTTATTTAACGGGCGTTTTTTACTTTATGCTACTATATACTGGCTCCAATTTATTGCCGATCGCTAGATTCCTGCGACTCACACATATGAAGCAAGCTTTCAGGGCCGATCAGGTGAGCGTATAAGCAATCTTTATTGGCTTAACTCTCATGTGTTGAATTAAAAGGTTAAATAAAATCCAAAATAAATATGTGCAAAGATGTACAGATTTATATAACAGAAAAATTAAAAACATACTTGTATATTTAAATGGAGATATAACAAGCAGTACCCTTATGAAATAGACAAAGAACTATAGCAGACAGTTTTTTTTAATTTTTCTTACCATAATATATGTACATTTTGTAGTAAAGTAATAGCCTGTATATAACCCACTGCTAGGCAAAGGCCTTCTTTGTATAGAAGGGCATAGTCCACTACGCGACCCCACTGCGGATGGGCACACCTCACATAATAACCTTCAAAATATTTTATGTTATTATTTCGAAAATATGCAGGTTTCCTCACGATCTTTTCCTTCACCGTCGAGCACGTGATAAGTCAGCACTTAAAAGTTCAATTAACATTTTCAAGGCATCGGGGCTTGAACTCAGATTGCTCCACTGTATTGAATTAAAACCGAGCGCTTAGACGCTGAGCTATCCAGGTATACTTTATTTACTAATAGATGTAAACGTTTATGAATTTGCAGTCGAGCTCAGACATAATGCAGCGGTCGATATTGGGCCAGCTGCTGCCAGAGGCGATGGTGTGCTACCTTGAGAACCACGGCGCGGAGAAGTTTGCCCAGATATTCCTCGGCGAGTGGGACACGCCCGAGGCTATATGGAACTCGGAGATGAGGTATTTCGACCGATTGACCTTTGCAATACCCGTAGGGTTGCAGAGGCATTGCCACATTTTAATAAAGTCGGCCCTGGCTACATCACTACTCAGACGAAACGCGGAAGTATAACACGTGCACTACACGCTGGTTGGTCTTCTGTGAGGTCGTGGTACCCGGACGGACCTGCCCATTCGTGCAACAGTCGAAGCTGTTGCATGGCTCTAACACTGTGATCTTAGTGTCTGATAGCGCTGAAATTTGGCACACCCGTTTGGTTCTTATCATGAGAATTTCGTGACAATGCACAACTACCTAAATTATCATTATTATTTCGGCCATTGAGCGAACGCTAGTAAGACTAGTGTCGAATCGCAGGCGCATGCTGATTTGACAATTCAGTTAATTTCAACCAATGGACGAACGCTAGTAAGATTAGTTTCGAATCGCAGGCGCATGCTGATAATGAAGGTGTCGGCGCACATCGGCGAGTTCACGCCGCGGCTGCGCGCGCACGTGGCGGCGCGCTACCCCTACCTGGCCATCCCCGCCGTGCGCTACCCGCAGCTGCAGCACGAGCTCTTCTGCAACATGTTCTACCTGCGCCACCTCTGCGACACGCAGCGCTTCCCCGACTGGCCGATACCCGACCCGGTAACACTTGCATCGCACCGCACGCGCAAACGTTCTCGATTGGATTTTGAAACCACTCTCTACAGGCCTCACAGCTGTATACTGTATAACATTATCCTATGTTGTGAGGACGTTTTACATACATAAAATTCACGTGAACAAACACCCAGGTCCGAAACAATTATATGTGGGTCATGCAAATAGTTGTCCCGTGTGGGAATCGAACCCATGAGCCCCGGCGCCGAATCCAAAACCTTGGTAATCGTGCCACGGAGTCATAAATTGCGTTGACGGCACGAATTAAAATTAAATTAGTTATACATTCGATTAAAATGTGAATACTTTTCGTAGTGTCAAAACTATTCTACTATTTCATTTCGAGAAGAAAATGCTAGTGGGGGGATATTGTTGGCTGTAACCCGTCCATTACCAAATAGAGTTGCACATTTCATATCTTCAGTGAGACCAGTGATTCCCAAACTTTTATGATGTATATTACTTTACCCCGCTAGTTCTGCACGCGCAGCTAAAATAAACATTAATAATAGGCGTTTCCTCCGATCATCACGTAGAGCTCTCGGTTTTCAGCTCACACTCCAAACTCAAGTTGGCTATTCATAAATTTTCATTACTTGGCTGTAGATAGATGTCCATAATGTGGCTATAGATAGATGGACATGACTTTGCTATAGATAGACGTTGAAGACATGGCTATGGATGGATGTTCATGATGTGGCTACAGATAGATAGATTTCCAGACTTATTCAATGCAGCGCCGTCGACAGGTGCGCCTCCTGAAGGACGTGCTGGAGGCGTGGCGGCGCGAAGTGGAGAAGAAGGCGCCGTCCATGACGGTGGCGGAGGCGTACGGCGCGCTGGGGCTGGACGCGGGCGCGCACGACGAGGCGGCCGTGCGCAAGGCCTACTACCGCCTCGCGCACCAGTTCCACCCCGACAAGAACCCCGACGGGCGGGTGGGTCTGCGCTTTTTTTAATTTCAAAACTGTGGCAACGATGCTACGTTGACGTCAACAGCATCGACTGTTGCACGAATTGGCAGGTCCGTCCGGGTAAGTACTATGACCTCACAGAAGACCGGTGTGAAGTAGAAGTGTTACACTTCTGCGTTTCGTCTGGTGAGTGAGGTAGCCGGGGCGCACTTTATTTAAAGGTGGCAACGCATTTGCAACCCTACGAGTGTTGCAAATGTCCACGGGCGGCGGTTATCACTTAACATCAGGTGATCGTCAGCTCCCTTGTCATCTTAACAAAAAAACCGTACTGATATTTGATAGTTGTCATTTAACAATACTAATCATATTGCGTGACCTGTCTTTCCTTTGTCTGCTTCGAAATTTAAATGCTTTTTGGTTTGAATATAGGCTTCATCATAAATTATTGTGTTATTACAGGATCGATTCGAAGCGGTCAACCAGGCTTACGAGTTCCTTTGCAGTAGAAACGTGTGGACCGGCGACGGACCAAACACCAATAACATCGTGCTTATACTGCGGACGCAGACCATACTTTTCCAGAGATATTCTGAGGGTTAGTTCTCCCTTTTGTTATAAAATTTTGTCCAGGAAGCCGCAGTTGGTGAAAAACTGATTTTTGAACAAATTAAACACTACGCCGCTATGGCGACGTCATTTTAACTTGGACTCGGCATAAAGTGGTAGGGCTACGTAACAGATTCTACTGTTAGTGGTTATATTATACTTTTGCGTTCTGTCCGCTGTGTGAGGTTACCGGGGCTAAGTTTTTCACATATTGGAGAAGCCTCTGTAACTATAATGCCCATGGCATTATACTTTGGGGAAACGCTGCCTATAGAAACACATCTTTATCCTCCAAAAAAGAGAGCTATTCGAGCAGTTTATAACCTGGGCCCGGAAAAATGACTAGGAAATTTGTTTAAAGAAAAAACAATGTTGACTGTAACTTCTCACATATTTGAAAATGTTATGTATGTCAATAAAAATTAGAATGAATTTTCAACTCAGAAATATGCTTGATTTAAATTTTAGGAACAAACATAAATTTATTTTACGCACAACTAGACTGCGCAGAATAAGTGAATCTTTTATGGGATAATGTATACATTTTTATAACAAAATCGCAGAAAACGTTCAAAATGAATCAGTTGCTAAATGAAAAAACAATTGAATAGGAACTTGAATGTTAAAGATTTTTAAAAAGTAAAAGTACCAGCCTATACATGTCCCACTGCTGGGCAAAGACCTCCTCTATACAGAGGGTATCAGGGCATAGTCCACCACGCGGCCCCTCTGTGGATTGGCGGACTTCACATATCTTCGAAATATATATTTTTTGTTATTATTTCGAAAATATGCAGGTTTCCTCACGATGTTTTCCTTCACTGCGGAGCACGTGATAATTCAGCACTTAAAGTTAAAAACTTCATTGGTGCCGGCACCGGGGATCGAACTCAGGTTGCTCGAGTATATAGAATTATAGGCGAGCGGCCGGACACTGAGCTATCACGGCTCTAAAGACTTAACATTAGTAATTATTTAATTGATAAACTCTGAAAATGAAATGATCACTCCAGGCTCTTTCAAGTTGACTTTAATATATTTGAAACATGTTTCTTTGCCTAATAATGATTAAAAAAAATTGTCCGCTGAGTTTCTCTCTCCTGTTCCTGTCGGTTCATTGGCTTTTTTTTCTCAAATTGGTGTTGGTATTTTGACAATCAATAAGTAAGTGTCACGATTCTATATTGAATAAAGATATTTGAATTTGATTTACTTTTTGAACTGTGACCCGTTGGTTGTCGTTATATCGCTTGCTAACTTGCAAATATAAAAACGTGGACTGGTAGAGAATACCTAATCTCTACAATGGCGGAGTTGCCTCTTTGTTTTTTGCAACAGCAGCAAACTAAAAGTTTAACCTCTTAACACTTTGTCCGCAGTGCTGGCGCCGTACAAGTACGCGGGCTACCCGCAGCTGCTGAGCACCGCTCGGCTGGAGGTGGACGCGGAGCAGCTGTTCGCGGGCGGGGAGGCGGGCCTGCTGCCGGCCGCCTGCCAGCTGGCGCACGCCACGGTGCGCTGCTCCGCCCTCAACGCGGAGGAGCTGCGCCGGGAGGGCGGCCTAGAGGTCAGCGACCCCATCGCGCTCTGCATGCTGAGCGGTCTCAGCGGCCGGCCTGAATATTATGTCCCGCCCCCTCTGTCGGTTATCGACCCCACTGTGAATTGGCGCACTTCACATATCTTCGAAATATTTTTTGTTTATCCATTTCAAAAATGTGCAACTCTCCTCGTGGTGTTTTCCTTCACCGCTGAACACGCTATGAGTCAGAACTTAAAATTAACAATTTTATCGCTTTTATTTAATGTTAGAAGGTGGCAAGTGGCCAGACTAAACGCAGAAGCATAACACTTCAACTTCACGTCGGTCTTCTGCGAGGTCTTGGTACTCACCCGGACGGACCTGCCCGTTCGTGCAACAGCCGAAGCTGCCACTCGTGTACGAGTATATTGAATTACAAGTGAGCTCCCGGACAACGGCCTATCACGGCTCTATTGACTGATCTTCATGACATGACATGACATGACGAGACGACGGTGGGCAGGTGCTGGGCGCGGCGCTCGCTCGCTGCGCGGCCGTGCTGGGCGGGGACTCGAGCGGCGCGGCGGCGGCGGTGTGCGCGCACTGCGCCCGCTGCTTCGCCGTGGCGGCCGCCTTCCCCGCGTGCCGCGACGCCTGCGCCGCCATGCCGGCGCTCGCCAACGACCTCGTGCCGCTGCTCAGGCGACCGGTAATTCTTATTTATTTGCTGGCCGTACTCGGCCTCGACCGCTACTTTTTTTATCTGTATTGCTGGCTGTACTCGGTTACGCGTCGCTGTGGCCCGCACTTGATTACCGTATTTATTTGCTGGCCGTATTTGATTCCGTGTTGCTGTGACTGCGTCCGGAACGGTGCTTATATTAACTTTGCTCGGTTTCACGTTTGCTGTGGTTGCGTTCTGAACGGTATTTATATGTTTATTTATTTGCTAACTGTACTCGGTTACGTGTTTGCTGTGGCTCAGTATGATTAATATTTGCTAATCTATTATTAAGCCATGCAATAACAATTTCTGCTATACATTACGGTAAGATGCAATTTTTTAGACACTAACGTTGTCCTCTAACAGTTGTAGCATCAACTATTTCGATTTCTTATTTCTAAAACACTTCTATAGAGGATCGAATGTTTATGAGCAAATATGCAAATTTCACAAATGTATAAATGGGCTAATAGCAGAATATCATATTTTTTAAATAGTGGTACATAACTGTCTGAGTATTCTGAGCTACTTATAGATCCCAGCAGGGTAGTTAGAGTTTATTTATTTATTCAAAGTACATCCACATCATATATATTGGACATTAACATAGCATATATGACAATTAATACATATTGCTGATACATTGATACTTGTACATAGCATTGACCGCATATAACACTACACACAAAGTGCGTGTTCTTATAACACGGGTATATTTAAAAACTATTCAATATTTTCGAAATAAAACTATTTACTAACATAGAATTTTGTTGGCAGCTCTCTGAATCTATTCAGGTTGCAATTAAACACGTCCTCACCGCCTATTTCTCAGAGTTTCCCGGCGAGTCCAATTAAAGGCGGTCCATTGCAGAAGCTGTGCGAGGCGGCGTGCGCGGGCGCGGAGGCGGTGGCCGCGCTGGCAGCGGAGGCGCGCTGCAGGCAGGCGCTGGCAAGGGCGGGCGCGTTGCACGCGCTGTTGCCGCCCGCGCTGCGCTACGACTACACGCTCACCGAGTCCGGCGTCGACACCGACGGCGAGAACAAGCAGGTGGGGCTAGTGCTGAGGCGGCTGGCGCTAGAGGTGTCGAAAGTTAATGAATATATCGATATATACAGCGTGTCGTTACCATCGCGACAATAAATGAACACACGTCTAACGCTACTTGCCAATAATCATAAAAAAATATTAACGTTAAACAAAATCCATAATTAAAAAAAAATGTTTTTCAAGCAAACTAATTAAGTAAAAAAGAAACAAAATTTATAACATCCTATACAACTTGCGCCACAGCATCGCATTACAAGCCTCTCCTTCTAACAGTATGTTTTGTCTCTTTTAAATTCATTCAACCCATTCATATGCTTTGTGACCTTTACAAATGAACTTTACGTTACAGTTTTATACGTAAGGGTGTTCTAAAATTGTTTGTTTTGGAAAATTTAATAACTCGGTAAATATTGATGTTTAAAAAATGTAAATCTTTAATACAATTTTAAAAAGTTATCCTCTTTATGTGTGTTCATTTATTGTCGCGGTGGTAACGACACGCTGTGTATACAGAAATCTTAATAGCAGCCTTGATATATCGAATCGATATATCGATATTTTAGGAAATTTTAATATCAGATATATTTAAGAGGAAATATCGATATTTTATCTCTCGATATATCGAAGAGAGCATGTCGATATATTGATATATCGATACTTACTCGTTAGGTTCTAGAAACCTGTTGTCCATAAAAAAATGTGTCAAGTGTTAAATATTTGCCTCGATTCCGGATTCGAATTTGAAAAAATATAATTTTTGATATGATTTTCGATATTAAATATTTGTATCGATGTATCGGATCAAAATATCGATTTATAAAATCAAAAATGTCGATATATCGCTATTTTTTCGACATCCCTTGATAGTGTTGGGATGATCGTGGAAGTGAATAGTATATCAAGTCTTCCAATCCGCAGTGTAGTCGTAGTGGACTATTCCCTAATGCAATCAATGTTTTGAGACAGGACAAAACAAAGACGCTGTTTGCCCCTCAGATATATCGACTGTCAAATAATCATATAATGTCATAATGTCACTCATAAGTGGACACTTCACTTAATTATTTTATGTCTTATAGTAAAGATATGCTTTTTCCAATAAAATAAGTCTAAAACAAAAGAATGTAATAACATGTTACTTAATAAAGTTTCTATCTAGGGCAGAGGTACCAAGACTTTTTCTCATAAACTACTTTCAAAATTTAGCTGGTTCCGGTAGACCCCATGCATTTCTACCATAATTCCAAAGCTCAACAAAAAATGTGAAGATTAGATCTCGACGGAGGACTCCGCTTTGGGAACTATCGCTCGGAGGATTTATTGAAGTTTTATCTCTTTAATACTACTACTTTTGTACTAACCAAATATGGACCCTGGTCTGAAATAAAGATTTATTATTATTATTATTATTATTATTATTATTAAAAGAAACTGCGGCTTCCATGATCATTAGATCCAATCAAATTTTTTGTGTTATATTTGTTTTAATCATCAATTACGTTCAGGTGGAGGCGAATCGTCTGGCCGAGGAGTGCTCGAGGGCTCTGAGCGCGATGTACGGTCCGCACGAGGAGACGTCGCCCGTGGACGAGTACATTCGCGACGCGCTGCACGCGCTTCTAACGCCGTACCTCTGCGCGCGACTGTCCCTCTCCGATAGGCACGAGGTGGGCTGTTCCGTAATCATTAAAGGCCGCGTGACTCTACGCGCCTCTGTCTCGTTCACACACAGCCATGACAGCTTTCTGTCTCTTTCGCACTATATTATGTCCTTGTACAGTTGCGAAAAACGCTTTTTTTGATGTCAAGGTAGGTTTTTACTACATACGTAAAATATCATTTTTGATTTGAACTATACCAAATCGGCAGGCGCATTTAATTTTGATCCGAACTGTATTATTTCTTTAACTGTATTAACAGAACTGTACACTAAGGTGGGTAAGGTGGTTCGTTTTCTTCATTAAAAGATGATAATAAAAACGGTATCAGTCGCGTAACGATTAAATTTATTTGTACTCTATAAGAACATATCTTATAGACTACAAAAAAACTTAATTGTTACGCGACTGATTTACCACCATGCAGTTTTAAAAATATTAAGACTTCAATACTGCACGAAAATCTTAAAACACGCATAGTTAAAGGCTGTATGTTAAATATTTTTTTATTCAAATTACTTACTCACTCACTCACTCACTCACTCACTCACTCACTCACTCACTCACTCACTCACTCACTCACTCACTCACTCACTCACTCACTCACTCACTCACTCACTCACGTTGGTTCCTTATTGGCCTGTAAGGGCTATTGGGCTTCGTTTGCTGTTGTAAACAATTCTTTATGTTTCCTTACAAAGATACATATTTCATAAATGTATAGCGAGGGCAGCGTTAATATATCAAGGGCCTGGAATAACTGTCTACAGGACTTGTCGGGGGCGGACACCACATAGGTTTCTGATACATTTCTTCTGTGCTATAAACACTCTATTTATGTTCGTACTGTTACCCCATAGTATGATTCCGTACCGTAGTATTGACTCTATATAGGCATGATAGGACGAGATTGCTGTCTTTTTATTAGTTAAGATTTTAATTCGATTTAAGGCATAAACAAATTGGTTTATCCTACTACATAAGCCGTCTACGTGTTTTGTCCAATTTAGGTCTTGGTCAATAATTAAGCCTAGGAATTTGGTTTGTGGCACTTCTTTAATTTTAGGGATATTCAACTTTAAATTGTACTTTGCATGTTTAGATTTGTTAAATTGGATTTTTTAAGATTAATTTTTAAATTATTCATTTGTAGCCATTGTATAATGTTGTCAATTGTATTATTAATGTCCATTTCATGATTATTATTTTTATCAGATGTAACAATTACGGAAATGTCATCTGCAAATAAAATACATTTATGATTCGTTATTTGAGGAATGTCATTTAAATATAATATGAACAATATTGGTCCGAGTACGCTACCTTGAGGGACGCCGTATTTGTTTTCTCTATAGCTAGATGAATAGGACTTGAGCTCATTTTTTTCCTATTTTATTAATAACAACGCATTGTTTTCGGCCAGTTAAGTAAGATGCTGTCCATCGTTGAGCCTGTCCTCTTATACCAATGTTTTCTAACTTTTTTATTAAAAGGTCGTGCGAAACAAAGTCAAACGCTTTAGATAAGTCAAAAAATAGTCCTGTAGTATACTTTTTATTATTAATATTAGTTAAAATTGTACTTAGTAGGGTGAAAATGGCTAAGGTAGTCGATTTTCGTTTTTGGAAGCCAAATTGTGTTTTCGTTATAATATTGTATTTATTGCAGAATTCTATTAATATTTTATGCATGCATTTTTCGAACACTTTTGACACAATAGGTATCAGAGTAATAGGGCGATAATTGTCAACTTCATCTTTATTACCTTTTTTGTACAGTGGCTTTATAACAGATAGCTTTAATAGTTCAGGAAAACTACTGGAACAAAATGATAGATTTATGAGATGTGTCAGAACCGGAGTCAGTTCATTGACGCTGACCTTAATGATCCTAGTACTTATTTCATCATATCCTTCAGAGTTAGTGTTGTTCAAAGACATAATTTCACTTCTAACCTCATCCTCCGTTATGGGCTTCAAAAAAATTGAGTTGGCCATCACCGATTTACTAATGTTTGTGATAGGTCGAATACTATTGAATGCGGTATTTGTCAGTTTAATAAAATAATTATTAAAAGCGTATTAGCTATATCCGTTGGATTTGTTATATATTCATTGTTTATTTTTATATCTGTTAATAAACTGGTGTTAAGCTTTTTATTTCCCGTTTCCTTATTAATAACCGACCATGTTGCTTTACATTTATTTTGACTTGTATTTATAAATTTTATGTTGGAATTCTTTTTCGACACTTGGATACACTTCTTTAATATATTAGAATATTTTATATATCTATTTTTATGTATCACTGTTTTATTTTTATAATACATGTATCGTAGGAATCTTTTAGTTTTGCAACTATTTTTTAGTCCTTTACTTATCCAGTGCATGTTATTTTTGTTTGTATTATATATCTTTATTTTAATTTTTGGGAAGCATAAATTGTAAAGCATACACAAAATTTCATGAAAGTTGTCAAATGATTTGTTTAAATCTGTCTCTAGATATACGTCAGACCATGATAGAGAACGCAAGCTAGTTTTAAATTTCCTTATGTTATCTAAACAATAATCTTTTTTATAAATAAAATATGACCTCGGCTGCAAGCTTTTATGTCTAATTGGGAAGGTCAAAAATTGTGCTGTCTCGTGGTCAGATAAGTAGAGTGGTAGGACAGTTGCCGATGCATTGTTTATATTGCTAATGATGTGGTCTATGCAAGAGTCTTTCCGGGTGGGCACCTTTATATGAATTTTTAAATTATAGTGATGACAGTTATCTTGAAAGTAGTCGGTAATTTTTCCCAGGGCTCAACGTGTTAATATTAAAGTCACCTGTTACAATTATATTCCTATTCAGCCTGTGTTTTCTAGATATTTCATTTAAATACTCGTCCAGCTTTTTAAGAAAAATATTAGGATCCGACGTTAATAATCCATAACGTTTTACCCACAGCTGCTGAAGACGCTGACCTCGAACTGGCGAACGCCCTACTTGGTGTGGGACAACAGCACTCGCGCCGAACTGTTAGAGCTGCTGGAGGGGTGGCGGACGCTGGAGGAGGGCGAGCCGCTGGTGCCCCCCCACTTCGCCTACTCCGCCCACGAGGGCCTGCTGCCGGTGGGAGACGTCTATCTGGACATCTACAACGAGCAGCCCGACTTCCCCATCGAGGTGGGTGGGGCCAACAATATATAGGAGGCCTATAATGTAATCAAGCAGCCTGTAATGAAATTAAGATTACTAGAATTTTCGTGAGACATTATTAACGAAATATCCTATACCCCGATTAAAGAACTCCGATAGGTCCTAGACACGTACACACAAAATTTAAAATATCTTTATTCACATAGACGCTCACGCGTTCTTATGAAACGTCAAAATTTTACATAAAAATTAATACGTTCGTTTACTTGCGGTGGTAACTTACGTTACCACAGGTTCGGAAAGCTGTAAATGTTGAGAAGAAACCGGCAAGAAACTCAACAGTTGATCTTGTTTAAAAAGATTAGTTTACAATATAATGGTACAGGTGTAAGTCTTATTTTAGCCTACGAGAGTATCAACAGTATTAACTCCACACATTGGTATCGTCAAGAGTCACACACATGAGACATGAGTTCAGCAGTTTTAATATTTCGTCAGCCTGTATTGCTACAATGAAATATATGGTTCATGGCTGTTAGAGGGGTTATTTGCGAGGCTTTTTTTGGGGGTGGGGAGGGAGGCACGCTCCTATTGAATACTGGCGTATATTTGCCAAGAAAGTTCTTCAGTTTTGTGAATGGTGTCGATTTTTTTGGTTACAGAACCCTCAGCAGTTTGTGTTGGACCTGTTGAAATTCATTCAAGAACAAACACAAAACGATATGACGGATGAGAGAGTCGAACACATAACGTTAGCACTGAACGCCCTAGCAAATGTCATCATTAAGAATCCAGGTAAGATCGTTATGTATTTTTTTATGTAAGGAGATCGCAAACGGGCTGGTGATGGTAAGTGATAATCGCCGCATATGGACATTTGCAATTCATAGTAAGTGCGTTGTCATATTTTAATAAACTTGGCCCTGTTTACCTCACTTACCAGACAAAACGCAAAAGTATAACACCTCCACTTCACGCTGGTCTTCCAGAGGTAGAGGTAGGTGTATTCACACTTAGAAATTATATAATATTGCCATAATTATCGTATGTGGATGTCCGATGTATCCAAATTAAATACTTTATAGACATTCTATGCGGTAATTTAAAGGATTATTGATTAATTAACTAAACGGCCGCCGGCTCTTAGGCGCGGAGATCCAGTGCATCGGCTCGTTCGGGCTGATCTTCGGGCTGGTGTCGGGGCGCGGGTGGGGCGCGCTGCGGGCGGCGGCGCTGCGGGCGGCGCGCGCGGCCGCCGGCGTGCCCGCGCTCGCCGCGCTGCTCGCCAGCACGGCGCTCGTGCGCGAGGCGCTCGCCAAAGGTGAGTACGCTCTTCCCTTTCTCACCGCTCTCTCGCTCGCTCGCACACCCGACGCTCGTGCGGGAGACGCCTGCCAAGGGTCTGTACGCTCTCCCCTCTCTCGCTCTCTCGCTCGCGACACACACGGTGCTCGCCAAGGATACGCACGCTCTTCCCTTTCTTACCGCTCTCTCGCTCGCTCGCGTACATGACGCTCGTGCGGGAGACGCTCGCCAACGGTGCGTCGCCAACGGTGCGTACCCTCTCTCCCGCTCGCTCGCACTCCCGACGCTCGTGCGGGAGACGCCTGCCAAGGGTCTGTACGCTCTCCGCTCTCTCGCTCGCTCGCACACCCGACGATTGTGTGGGAGACGCCTGCCAAGGGTCTGTAAGCCCTACCTTCTCCCCTCTCTTTCGCTTGCTCACGACACACACGGTGCTCGCCAAGGATGGTGCACGCTTTCCCTTCTCTTTCCTCTCTCTCCCCCCGCTCTTTCGCTCGCTCCCCAACACCGCCCTCGTGCGCGAGGCGCTAGCCAGGGGTGCGTACCCTCTCCTCACTATCCCCGCTGTCTCGCGCGCGAGCACACACGACGCTCGCCAAGGGTGTGTACGCTCTCCCCTCTCTCTGCTCCTTGTTGGTGCCGCTCACATACACGACGCTCGAGTGCTCTTCGCGCACAGGAAGCTCGATCGGGAGACGCTCGCAAATAATACTTATGCTCTCCTCACTCGCCTTCCACCTTCTTTAGAGATTGTTACAAAAATATTTTTGAGTATTTTTATTGCTAAATAAAACTTAAAATTAGGTTTTCCTTTATCCAAATTAATTCCAAATTAACTATTCCTATCTGAATTTATTTATACCAAACTCACCCAGTGTGGTGAAAAATTTTGCAACTGTTTTGTCTACACCTTTTTAAATTTTCCATTTAACTCAACAGGTGCCGTTATATACCTCTTAGATCTGTTCTGCAACTGTAAAATACCCGAGACAAGGGAGGCCGCGGCAGAGTTGCTGTCTCGGATGATGGCGGACAAGTTGCACGGTCCCAAGGTAAACATTTAAATACGTGTGAGCTTAAGTTTATCACGTAAAAAAAAATACGTAGTAAAAGTTTAAGTTAAATTCATATCACATTATCAGTATATGGTGGAATACCGAGATAATATAACTGTGGTAGAGCCACGCAACACTCTGCTGCACGAGTGGGCAAGTCCGTCCGGGTAAGTACCAAGACCTCACAGAAGACTGCCGTGAAGTGGAAGTGCTATACTCCTGCGTTTCGTGTGGTCAGTGAGGCAGCCGGGGCCCACTTCATTATAAGGTGACAACGCATCTGACACGCTACTTGCTTTCCACCGTCTCGCATATAAGCCACAACGGGCGTACTTATAAATGAATGGGCGGCGCGCGCAGGTGCGGCTGACCGTGTGCCGGTACGTGCCGGGCGTGTTCGCGGACGCGGTGCGCGAGTCGTGCGCGGGCGCGCTGCAGGCGTTCGACGGCGCGCACGAGCACCCCGAGCTCGTGTGGGGCGACGAGCCGCGCGCGCGCGTCCGGGCGCACCTCGCCAGCCTCAGGGACAGGTGCGCACACGCATACGTACTCACGTGCACACGTTCGTACGCTTGTACACGTACGCTCGCTCGCGTACATATACGTGTGCACACTTTCATGTACTTGTATACGTACGCAAGCATAGATACAGACGTACACACATTCGTATACTATTACACGTACGGACGCTTAGATATAGACGTGCACACACTGATATGCTTATACACGAACGCACGCGTACTTATAGATGTGCAAATTTTCATGTACTTGTATACGTACGCACGCATAGATACGCACGGATATTGATATGCATATCCGCACGCGCTCATATAAACGTTCATATATCCATATACTTAACATGTATAAGCGCATAGATACAGCCTTGCACACATTCATGTACTTGCACACGTTCGCACGCGTACATATAGACGTGCATACATTCATATACTTATACACGGGGAATTTTGACTGCGCAAGCCGACCCATCAAAGTAGACTTACAGATGAGGTGTAAGCTCAGCAGCGGGACATATTTAGGGTGTTACTTTACTTGTTTTAGTAATGTATTATAGTTTACTCTTCTTCAACTACTTCGCACCACACAGGCATATGGCAAACCAGCTGCGCGACCCGAACATATTGTTCGAGGATCGGGAGACGCTGGAGAGGGCCGCGAATGGGGAGGAGGTGTGGGCACCGCCCGGGGAGGTGGTGGTCGGCGGCGTGTACCTCAAGCTGTACCTACAGAACCCGCACTGGAGCCTAAGGAGCCCCAAGAAGTTCCTCCAGGAGCTACTCACCGAAACGCTCACCGCACTCGGCAAGGACTCCTCGGAAGTAAGCGCATTTATATGAGTGAAAATGACTTAATGTTTTGGTTTCACGTTTCATTGATTGATGCTGATTTGTTCTCACCTGCATAATAATGTATTAGCCTGCTAATAATTGTTCGGATGAATGTGTTACTTTTAACTTTTTAAATTTTTTATCATCGTATTCAACGCCGTCGTCAAGTATTAAACGCCCCCGCAAAATGTGACTATTTAGACGTTTACAAGGCTTAAACTTAAGTTAGACTCTTAATTTTAATAATAACTTTCCGAAATTTCCGTTTTCAGAAATAAGTGTGAATGCAAGAATCAGAATTACATTCAGCGCGTAACACTTTTTTTACAAAAAAACTTTCATACCGCCTTATTGTTGCGAACGTACATTAAAAAAACACACACACACGCAATAATGGTGACGGAACATTCTGACCATTATACACATGGTAACGCCATGCACAATGGTAAAATTCTGACCATTATACACAATGGTAATACAATTGGTCGCAGGGCAGCCGCGGCGAGGTGTGCGCCCGTGCGCTGGCCGCGTTGCTGCGCGCGAAGCCGGCGCTGGGCGAGGCGTGCGCGCAGCTGGGCGAGATGCCGCGCCTGGCGCGGCTGCTGCCCACCTGCCCGCGCCTCGCCGTGCCCGTGCTGGCGGCCCTGGCCGACACCCAGGTCCGTATGCGCCCCATTGCGTACACACTTCTACACCCGCGGATAGGTATTAACACTTGTGTACACGCTTCTGTACCCACGGATGCGGATAAGTGTGAACGTACACGCTTTTGCACCCGCGGATAAATGTGAACGTACACGCTTTTTCACCCGCGGATAAGTGTGAACGTACACGCTTTTGCACCCGCGGATAAATGTGAACGTACACGCTTTTGCACCCGCGGATAAATGTGAACGTACACGCTTTTGCACCCGCGGATAAGTGTGAACGTAACGCTTTTGCACCCGCGGATAAGTGTGAACGTACACGCTTTTGCACCCGCGGATAAGTGTGAACGTACACGCTTTTGCACCCGCGGATAAATGTGAACGTACACGCTTTTGCACCCGCGGATAAGTGTGACCGTACACGCTTTTGCACCCGCGGATAAATGTGAACGTACACGCTTTTGCACCCGCGGATAAGTGTGAACGTACACGCTTTTGCACCCGCGGATAAATGTGAACGTACACGCTTTTGCACCCGCGGATAAGTGTGAACGTACACGCTTTTGCACCCGCGGATAAGTGTGAACGTACACGCTTTTGCACCCGCGGATAAGTGTGAACGTACACGCTTTTGCACCCGCGGATAAGTGTGAACGTACACGCTTTTGCACCCGCGGATAAGTGTGAACGTACACGCTTTTGCACCCGCGGATAAATGTGAACGTACACGCTTTTGCACCCGCGGATAAGTGTGACCGTACACGCTTTTGCACCCGCGGATAAATGTGAACGTACACGCTTTTGCACCCGCGGATAAGTGTGAACGTACACGCTTTTGCACCCGTGGATAAATGTGAACACTTGCGTACACGCTTCTACACCCGCGGATAAGTGTGAACACTTGCGGGCACGCTTCTACACCTGTGGATAAGTGTGAACACTTTCGTACACGCTTCTACACTCAATCAAATCAAATCATTTATTCATCGAAATAAGAAATATACATTTCATTTATCGATAATCATTTTTTAAATCTACCACCGTTTCGTAATGAGGTTGCTCTAACGCAGAAGAAACAGGCGAAAGAAACGTAGGTATCCTCTTTTTTGTCATTTTTTTCTCAACAAATACAAGCAATTATGTATTATTGAATAACTTGACATATAGTACGTACCACGACCTCACAGAAGACCAGCGTAAAGTGGAAGTATGACAAATACTTTCGCGTTTCGTCTGGTGAGTCAGGTAGCCGGAGCCCAATTTTCAAAAGGTTGTCAACGCATCTGTAACTCTCGGGTGTGGCGGATGTCCACGGGCGGCGGTATATATCACTTAACATCAGGTGATCCGTCTGCTCGTTTGGCAAGTTATCGCATAAAAAAAATATATTTGGTATAAAGAAGTATACGATAAATTATTAATTTGTAAAAATTGTTCGACAGGCGTGCGTGGTGGCGTTCACGCAAACGGACGTGATGGCGGGCCTGAAGACCGCCGTGAAAACGTGCCGAGAAATCATCGGCAGCGCTTGCGAAGCGCTGGCAACCATTTTCAGCAACAGCAACGCCAACACGGATAAACTGGTGTTACAGGTACTGGCTGGTCGCGTCGATTCATTACAAGGGTCGTTTTTATTGGCCGGTTTACAATTTGATTTATTTTCAGCTTCTTTACTTGATCATGTTTTGCTTTGGGTCTATTTTGCAATAATCTCCTCAACGAATTTTATTAGTATTAGTTTTGCGTAGTTTGTCAGCCATTTTTTGTCGTCGTTAGAAGTATTTCGTAGGTTACTAAAGTCTATTTCATGTTGAAGTTTTACGATACGAAACTAAAGGGATAGTCATTTCAATGCTTAGATCAACATTAACAACTAGTTTTTTTTTTTTTTTATGCGTTAAGTTGTCAAACGAGCAGACGGGTCACCTGATGGTAAGTGAATACCGCCGCCCATGGACATCTGCTACACCCTAGTGTTACAGATGCGTTGACAACCTTTTGAAAATTGGGCTCCGGCTACCTCACTCACCAGACGAAACGCGAAAGTATTTGTCATACTTCCACTTTACGCTGGTCTTCTGTGAGGTCGTGGTACTTACCCGGACGGGCCTGCCCATTCGTGCAACAGCCGAGGCTGCTGCGTGGCCCTACCACCGTATAAGATAGTGAATATATACTTAAACAGGTGCATTTGTTTACTAAAGAACTGAGACAAAAGTGTTTAAAACAGTTTTTCAAGTTCAACCTAATCGTAACCATGCTTTCTGTAGTTGTAGCATCTAGTACTGAATAAATTGAGCATTTATCTCAAAATATTATCTTTTACTTTTCGAACATTCCCCACATAAAATGAGAGAAAGCAATGAATTATAAATGACATGTTCATTTAGAAATGAAAAGACACGTTAAATAACATTTACATTGAATCCGGCCTATTAATAGAATTATGGAGAAACCAGATAAAGTATTCTTGCCAGTTATTGTCTCGTGATTTTCATCGGTTGACGCCTCTAAGTATAGGTAGCATAACCGCAATTCGTTGGGCAGGCGCTGGAGAGCGAGCTGGTGGGCGAGCTGCTGTCCGCGCTGGAGGGCCGGCTGGAGGGGCAGGCGGCGGCGCAGCTGGTGAACGCGCTCAAGGGCATGGCCCGCTCGGCGGCGCACGGCGAGCGCGTGCGCTCGCTGCTGGCGCGCAGCCGCGTCTGGGAGCAGTACGCGGCGCAGCGGCACGACCTCTTCATCTCCTCCGTGCCGCACCACCACGCGCTCGCCGGTGCGCCTCACTCGCTTGTTCATTTACTTGTTCATTCACTCATTCGCTCAGTCATTAGTTCGTTCTCAAACGGACCACCCGCTCGTCTCCGTCATCCACCGTTCTACCGTTCATTCGTTCGTTCTAAAACATAATGTCACGTCCCCTTCAACTGCACAACGCAACGCCTCCGACTCGTTGGTATATATGTATATATATATATATAATTTCCCCAAACGTATCAAAACTAGTATGACTTGAAATAAAACCGCCCAAGTGCGAGTCGGACTCGCGTGCGAAATGTTCGGAACCATTATCTATTAAAATGATAAATAAATCATGTCTGTTGTATGGGAGCCCCAGTTAAATATTTTTTTATTATGCTTTTTATTATTTGTTGTTATAGCGGCAAAAGAAATACATCATCTATGAAAATTTCAACTGCCTAGCTATCACGATTCACGAGATACAGCCTGGTGACAGACGAACAGACAGACAGCGGAGACTTAGTAATAGGGTCCCATTTTACCCTTTGGGTACGGAACGCTAAAAATATAAAAGTCGCTCTTTGTTGTCCATGGTAATAGCGCATAATAATTGTCCACAGCGCCCCACGCAGCGGGCTACCTGACGGCGCCCCCTTCAAACATACCGGCTCAGCCGCCGCCTATCGATTGACCGTACATCAAGGTGCATCTGCTCACCAACTGAAGTACACTACATAGCAAAACTGTCAAATGAAAACTACAAACACGGAACATTCCTAAATCATAGTCCAACTCGCCGAGAAATCACGATTGATATAACAGAGCAACGAATTCAAAAAAAATGGGAGGTTTGAAATTAAAAAATAAATTGCTCTCTTATTGCAAGTCACTTAATAAGTTTTCTGAGTGCATGTTTTTCAAACTATTTTATATGTAAGTCAAGTGAGAATTCAAAATTCAATTTGCTTTGTTAAACTTTATAGATTTGTTCCACCGGTGTCCAATCATAGTTATCACCGAAATAGTAAAGCCCACAATCAGTGTTACCAACTGTTAAAAAAATACACCTAACGCAATTCAAAACCCCACTAAAAACAAATGTTTCTCATTTTGGAAGTTTTGGTTTGAATTTACCTGCTGAAATACTTCCATTGTAATTTTTTTTTCTTTATAAATTTAAAAAGGAAATTCCTTAGATGGCATCCCTGCCCACGATACCTAATGGGCTTATAGATAAAAATGTTAGGGAAAAATTATTATATTTGAAATGTATGATCGAATCTCTAAAGCGGTTTTTATGTATGTAAATATTCATATCACATTATTTTTAAACTATTATGTACATATATATTACATTACTTTATATACCAGTTGAAAGTAAATATTTGAATCAATTTTATCAATTTGTAATTTACAGTAACTTTTAAGTAAAGTTTATTATGTAACAAATACTGCCTTTAGCACTGTGAAAGTTAAACAATACCGTACTTATTCATGAGATTAAATAAACGAATTAGTTTAAAAGAAAAATATTTGATTTTATATTCCAATTTCAATTAAATAGAATGGTGCTTAAGTAATGTATCATATTTTTAATATTATTAGACCTTACTTAAAACAAAACGATGTTCTTATGATTTAGTTATCTATGTTCTTAATTTTAAACTTAACTGTCACATTTGGTGGTTTTGAAATTAAATTTATACTTAAAAATCTTATTAATTTTCTATCAGCCATAAAAGATATTTTCATAATGCATCACATCGTAATAAGAATGTAATAAACAAAAAGATAAATAAAAAATGTATCTCTGTTAGGAGTCTACATTTGTAAATGAGTATTACCAGCCAAAGGTATAATAATGTATTATTTTCATTATAAACGTGTCAGCACTATTAGAGAATTGAATTTAAGTGTAATCACAGTATGGTACAGTATGTAAAGTATACATATATAAATATAATAGGTAGGTTTAAAGTGTGTGTAAAATAATCGTTAATTGCGATTAAATTTGCTAAATTTGCTAGGATTAAAGCGTCTTTTATTGATACTATGAAAACTCATGTTCTGATGCAGTGTTATGATTGGTGAAAATATTCTATTCACACATATAATGATTGGATGACCTGCATGTATATTTATTTCATTGAGAAATATAATTAAATTTTTGTTCCTTAGTTATCTATTATGATTTTTATAATTTCTAATCGACCATCCGGCGTTTTCAACGACAGTTTCGTGTCAAATATATTATTGTTTAGGGCGTGAATGTCGTTTAAACCAGTTGTCAGTTATTATGTTTTAATTCTTGCCATTCCTCATATATGTGGATTTTTATAAAGTAGTTATATTTTTGTTTTGAATACTTATGCAATAAGCAATTTTAACATTTATTTTTATCTTATATCAATTATCAATTATCTTCAATTATTTTTTAATGTTGTCAAAAACGAATCATTGCGAGCTGAAATAAAATTATGTATGATATCCTCAATACAGTTTAAAGGTATGCACTGTTTATAAAATGCATGATTTAAAGAAATTGCTTAGTTATAGTTTTACTTCTACTCTAATATATAAGATAGGTAGAGTGTGTAACTATGCCGCTCAGTATCATCTTAAGGATTTTAGTGTGATATTATATTAACGAAATTCACCATATTGTTCTTTTTATACAAATAAGATAACTAATTGCAAATGTAGTTGTATAATCTGTCACGATGACATGATTCTTTCAAATATTAGCATGTGCTATGTCGTTCGTTTAGTACGTACCGTTATGCCGTGCACGATTTGTTTAAAATAATTCGTGGTGGTCTTGAATACGGCGTGCCTCAGATGATACAGGTTTCCGCTTAAAGTTATTGTTTCGAATGATTTAATTTCGCGTATAATTTAAAGTAATTAGTGACTTTTGGGGCACGCGTAATCAATGGAGGGTAACATTGAGACTGGGCAACAAGATGAAGAACGAAGTTGCGAATATTTAATATTTTTATATCTAGCGCTAAGATATATCATTATGTAATATATTGAATTGATATATGTCGTTTGTTTTATTTGTCTGTATGGATGATAGGATGGACATAGGTTATAAACATTCTTGTGTAAGAATGAGAAAAGGTTATGTTTAAGATGTGATTTTCTTTTACTTTGGGTCCTGCGGTTTTGAACATGCGTAAGGCAGGGCGGGCACCCAGACCCTATACTAGCTAAGCTAAGCTAAGCGGCCGATGACCCCTCGGCGCGAGAATGTTGACACCTATCTAGGTACTTTCTTTTATTGCATTTTAAATAACGCTTGGCGCCATCTAGTGAGCATATTATAAAGTATGAAATACCTTCCTAATATCATTAAACGATGAGTATTCGTAACGAGAGTCGCCTTTGCTCTTATTTTTTTACCAATCAAAAGTAACGTCAAAAGGTGTGCCATGTCCACGGGCCGCTATGATCCGACAATATGAATCGTTCACTCGTATGCAAATATTTAAAGAAAACGCAAAATTACACTGAGTGGGTTGCCAAATTTAATTGATGTCACAATCAATTAACAGGGCTCAAGGACTATTTACAAGAATTATTTACAGGATTCATTGACGTTGTAATAGAATTTATGATAGCTGGGTAACCGGGGTCGAGGTGTAGTGGTTGCTTAAAGCGCTGGACTTCTCGTAACTAACTCGATCCCACACGTCTTTGCTCCTGAAATAAAAAAAAAACGTAAACGTTAAAGCTGAAGATGCATTGCTACCTTCGTTCCCGGTCCCAAGATTGATTCTATTTGTTCCGGGACTGCATTCAGGAAGACGGTTCTTGTGTCTAGCGTCTAAAGTTCGAGTTTTTAGCGCAAGCAGTCACTTGCGACGCGTAAACTTATAGTTTTTCAGAGTCTTTAGACGTGAATTGTATATAAATGTTTTTGATGACTGCGCAGCGGCTGTTCTAAGCGAGTCACCAACTACCAGTGTTTTCGTTGTTACGTGGCGATTTAGGCTACTTACTTGAGTAGCGTGTGCGTGAGTGGCAATTGTGGCAGCGATGGCACCGATGGCAGGTCGACGGGCAGGTCGAGGGCGAGGTAGCGGTCTGCGCAGGCGGCTGCCAGGAGCGCGTCCAATTGCGCGTGCAGCTGCCCAAAGGTGGGCCTCTCGCAAGGTCGCGCTTTCCAACACGACATCATCACCTCGTAGCTATTAGATACATGTACTTCAGCTCGCTGGAACTTCCCGGAAGTGGAAGTGCCCGCTTAGTAGCCAGAGTCAATTTGGTTCCCATTTTTTGGCAATTAACTTATTCCTAAACATAATAAATATTCGTAGGCCGATTATCACTGTTGGTATAGGCATACAAATGATTTATCTTTATATTGGTGATTATTATATAATTATTAACGAAAATATTCGAAAATACTATGTTGCCATTTTTTATAATTATTTAATGTTACATAATTAATGTATTTATATTTAACAAACAACAAAACTACAACTCAATAAATAGGAAGGGTGTATACCGAATGTATGCCGAAGTTCGCCGGAGTCACAGCAGTGCACATTGGACAATGTACACAATGGACAACACATAGAGGGCGGGGTAATATTACCCTTTTCATACACGTCGCAGCCCATATCGCCTACTCGCTCACACTACACGGCTGTACAGTCGAGAACAACAGTGCTGAACAACTTGTATAACGCTGTATTAGCTGATAGCAACTCTTGTGTGCTTTTGTACACGAGAATCGCTATTTGATAACTCAGTTATGCTATTTTGCACTTGACGGTACACGGCAGGTAACGTACAGTTGCGGAGTGCAGTTGGCGGGCCGGTGCATCCGGTAGCCGTTGCGCAGCAGCCGCGGCAGCCGCGCCGCCGCCACCGCCGGGTACGGCGCACCACCCACCGTCACCACCTCCCACATCACCACGCCGAACGACCACCTGCGACCGGAACGATGTCGACGCGACTGTACCAAATGGTGATAGCTAGCGCTACCGCAAGAAAGTAATACGTCCACTAAATATGGGACGTTCAAATCGGTTGACTATCTACAACCTATATCATATCACAACTCATACTAGGAATATGAAATTTTACACAGGAGTACTCTATGTATATTATGTGAAATCTCCCAATACGCAGTGGGGTCGCGTGGTGGATTGTGCCCAGTACAGAGGATGCTTTTGTCCCTTCAAGACAGAGGAGAATGCATATTTTAATTTTCACTTAAGTAGTAGTCTTAAGATTTTTCGAGTACAAACTATCACCAACAAGCATTTGCCCCAATTTTGTATAAGTAGACCTCAGCCCTGTAGTCCCGGGCTCATAGAATAGGGCTAAGGTTTCTGTCGTAAAAGGGGACACGGATGGGCGGCAGCGTGGGAGATCCACGAAGTCACTCCAAACGTACGGAAGGTGGCCACCGAGGGGGTTTTAGTGGGTAAGAACAGAACATAACCCTGTCATGTTAGGTGACAGGGTATCTTCCCCCATACCAAAAAAAAAAGGAAGATCCCCCCCCCCCCCCCCCCCCCCCCCCCCACCCCCCAAACCAAACCCACCCCCCCCCACCCCCACTACCCCCCACAATCCCGCCACCCCTCAACCCCACCCCCCCCCCCCCCCCCCCCGATACAAAAAAAAAAGGTAGACCTGTACATACAGTCCTTACTAAACTAGAGCGTACTAAAGAAATAAACAATTTGTCGTTATACTTTTCACTAACAAAGGAAAATACGGTCTTAAGTAACAAGATAATACACAAGCGTTTTTACGAAAATCGTCCGCATGTTCTACGTAAACAAACTATACACGTTATTCATAACGTACCGGTAATGTGCCTTTTGGAACGTTAGGCGTTTATTTTTTAATTGTTACTGTCAATAGAAACCCGTATTATCAGAACATTTAGGTTTGTTTAGTCTCTATTCCAATCGATTCGCTCACACGTCGCTCTGCGTGGTGAATATCCTGTGGGTCAGCGACTCCGGCGCCATCCACTTCACGGGCATCTTGCCGTTGCCCTTCTGCCTGTACTGGTTCTCCTGGTACACGTCGCGCGACAGCCCGAAGTCAGCGACCTTTAACGTACACACAAGCCGTAATTACGCTTCCCGCTTATAATTACACCATACACCAAACACATCTTGTGGTAATTCGACGCCCCGAACAGCGAAGTGGATAGTTACCTGCCTCCTGCACCAGAGGGTGTGGATTCGGTAACTAATACTGGAAAAATATTGTGTGATGAACATAGTGTTTTCATAGTGTATGCGTGTTTATACATGTATAATATTTATTTATTTACAAAAGAAAAGTATGTTTATCAGCACCCATAGTATAAGCGTTGCCTAGTTTGGGATAGACACATTTTTCTCTACATTGTGTGAAAATGTCTCGTGAAATATTTATTTACTATTATCTTGCTCTTATTCTTTTTTTTTGTTTGGTATCTTCCTTCATGATCTAATTTTTAAGTTTTGTTTGCAAATTTTTTAATTATATTTGATTATTGTTTATCAAAAATGTTTATAATTTACTTTTCAGATTATACGTTATATTTGCTGAGCTGAGTGAGAGACGCAGGCAGCCGTGACACAGTTTATACGTTAACCTTTCAATATAAATGATGCTACTTTTAATTCAGGCCTGTTATTAATTTATAATGTAAAACTAGTGGAGTGAATAAAAAATACTATTGTTATTACCTTCAGGGTCCTATCGCCGGCCACCAGCACGTTCCTGGCGGCCAGGTCGCGGTGCACCACGCGGTTGGACGCGAGGAACTGCATGCCCATCGCGATCTGGCGGCAGAACGAGAGCAGGTCCGCGTACGTGAGCTCCTCGCAGGCGCCCTGCAGCTCGTACAGCTTGTTCGCCACCGCCCCGTTTCCACAGCCGCCTGTCTCCTTGAGCAGCCCGCTCCGGTACTCCAAGCCCGCATTCGTGACGGCGCATTTCGCTTTGCGCTTCGAGAGCATCACGTCCCAGGAGCACCTAACAGACAGAACTGTGGTAGGGCAAGCGACAGCCTTAAACGGACAGACCTAACTGTGGTAGGGCAAGCGACAGCCTTAAACGGACAGACCTAACTGTGGTAGGGCAAGCGACAGCCTTAAACGGACAGACCTAACTGTGGTGGGGCAAGCGACAGCCTTAAACAGTCAGACCTAACTGTGGTGGGGCAAGCGACAGCCTTCACAGTCCCACGAATGGGCAGGCCCGTAAGGGAGAACCACAAACACAGTCCAGACCGGCGTGAAAAGTGCTACAGTTCTGCGTTTCGTCTGGTGGGCGAGGTTGATAGGGTCCGATTTATTAAAATGTGGCATCGCATTTGCAACCCTACGGGTGTTGCTAATGTCCACGGGCGGCGATAATCACTTCACACCAGGTGAACCACCGTTTGCCACGTTCTCACGTAAAAAGAGACGCCTCGTTACAATAGCACCCGCTTCTCCACCGCACCCCGTGCTAATGTACGGAAATTAACGCAACACCTGTACACTGTCAGTGTCATAAGCTTGATGTAGATGAGTCTATTGATGTATATTTAATTCACAGTCAGACGCGGAACTAGGTGGGGTTGTGATTGAATCTACTTCCTCATGCGTATCGCCCCGCGAAACTGAATGTAGTTTATGCGACAACTATAGCTTGGTTCTGGACCGGTTGATGTTGTGGAAATTTTGATACTTTTTATTTTCATCCGTTGTTGAATGCCACTGTCTGAAAGGCAATCCACTTGCGCCCTCCAGTATTATTTATATCTATGGGCGGACAATTACGTGTATTGTGGAAGTTAGCTCCCTCTCCAGACGAACCGCTAAAGTATATACAACCACATCGCGCTGGTCTAGTGGTATAGCGGAAGCCGCTTCAGTGCTCTATCGCAGAGAGTCTTAATGGATGGGAAGTCGATGGATCCATATCCGTGTCGCACCTGAGAAAGGTGAGCAGGTCGCCGAGGCTGCAGTACTCGGCTATGATGAGGGGCCGTCGGCCGCTGCAGCACCCCACCAGGCTCACCACGTGGGGGTGCGCGCCCACGCTCTTCATCAGCTCCATCTCGGCCCGAAACGAGCGCACCTCATCCGCGGTGGGGAAGTCTGTTCATGGAATGCTTTTTTATATGAGAAGGCTGTCGGTTCACCTTTCGCTGAGCGATGACCGTCGCCCATTGACTTTCGCAACATCCGTAGGTTTGCAGACCACCTTTATAAAGTGGGCACCGGGTACCTCACTCACCAGACGAAACGAAGACATATAACACTTCCACTTTACATCGGTCTTCTGCGAGGTGGTACTTCTACGGACGGACCTGCCCACTTTTATTTCTTGCTACACAGTAGAGATTGACAATTTGAGAGAAAATATTGCGTGGATTTCCTCTGCGCGGAAGAAGTGAAACTTCGAGGGCCACGCATTCGCTCTCACTCTGTCTCTTCCTATTCTCCCTCCCCAGGAGCGTTGAACGTGTAACGCAACAGTGCTTTCATACGCCCGCCATGGTAGCGTTAAACGTTTAACGCAACCTTCTTGGAAGTCGCATTATAAGTTTACACTACAAAAAAAAAACAGCGTGCCATAATTTAGAATTAATCAAATATAGTCAACTTTGTTTTGTATAAATGTACAACTGCAAGACCGCAACGTAAGGCAAAGCCCTCGTCCAGACCAGCCATTTTCTGGCTCTGCTATGGGTTGATATCTATTTTTATAATGTCGTCGGCCCAGCGCGCTACTACTATAGTATACCTTCGAAACACCCACCTTTGAGCATCGAGTCGGCACCTGCTATTTTTATAATGTCGTCTGCCGAGTGCGCTAACACTAGAGCATACCTACGAAACACCCACCTTTGAGCATCGAGTTGGTACCTGCTTCTTTTATAATGTCGTCTGCCTATCGCCCTACCACTAGAGCATAGCTTGGAAGCACCCACCCTTGAGCATCTTGACGGCGACCTGCCTCCCGGGCGCGAGGGTGGCGCGCCGCACGGTGCCGAACGCGCCCTCGCCCACCACCTCGTGCAAAGTGAGCCGCGACCCTCGCACCTCCCAGCGGTCCCCCTCCGGCTCCCGGCTGAGCGCCTCCAGCGCGCCCTCCTTGCACAGCTCCTCCTTCAAATACTTGCTCTGGAAGTGCTGCGATAGAGATGCACCGTTTGCATTTTTCTCTCATCGTTCTCCGTGTCTATTTCTCGTTTGTTTGCGAAACCGGCCAGTGTTTATACATTCGTGAATGAATGAATGAATACTTTTATATATAAAATTAACAATAGACATACAGATTATATTTACCTAATACTCAAAGTCATTTAATTAAACCGTTTTCAATTGCATTTATTGACTATTTTATTTTATAAGAGTACCTACTGGCACACGGGATAAATTTTTTAGTTATTTTTTGTTTTCTTACTCTAACGAAGAGTAACTTCTGGGTTGCGTACATAATAATAAATCATATTTTTTATTATTAGTGCTATTCTCCGCACCCCGCAAGATAAATCTTTAAATGGTATATTATTGTACAATAGTACACATATAAGTTAATCCATTTCGGGATTAAGTTTCTTTTACAGCAAGAGAACCACGGCAAATATAAAATGTTGTCTCGAACCAAACCCGCGATTACCTGTAAGTAGTCGAACTTCACTTTCCTCGAGCGTCTTTCTTTGCAGTACGCGAAGAGTGAGGCTACTAGCACGAACATTAGGGCGACGAGCCACGCAGCGCCGACCAGCAAGCCAACAGTTAGAGTCTGCCCTTCGAGCGCTGCGTTTTGAAGACAACATATAAATTGTTTTTTAAATATGTAGGATTATTACAAAACCACGTGTTGCGTATGCCTCTAATAATTTCGCTATATAATATTTCTACGCAGACGCACTGTGCCTCGTATCCTGGCTGATTTCTATTAATTTTAATTATAAAAAAGAGCTTTCAAATCCCACCAAAAATGACAAATGACAAAAATTAAATAGTCAATTGTCAAGTGCGTATTCACCACGAGGTTGGCTGTTATGGATAACGTCCTAGAAAAACCCATATAAATATAAAGCATTTTAAGTGTGCAGATTGCCCCTTCCCCCTCGGACCGCGTTAGCGCACAGACGTGTCCACTACGTTGTTTATTTATTAAATAGTTCTCCAAAAATTAGTTAAGAAAAATATATGTGGTGTACCAGGGCAACATAAAGGCGAAGCGGCGACTCAGCGAGGTAAGCTCCACCCATTAAGCTTACCGCTCGATTTTGCTGCTGTCTCATTGACCCCGCCCTACACCAAATTATTAAGGCGCCTATAACGAAAACATAGCAATTCTGCAATCTATTGCTTTTTGTCACTTTGACGAAGGAATAAGAGTTATTTTAGTATGTTTCGCTCACCAAGCAAAGCGGGATCCGACTCAGACATCTCCAAACAGCCACCGACTTCTTTTGCGTCTTCCAGATCAAAACGAAGACACGATGAACTTTCAAAGATGACTTTCTTTAATTTAAACAAGAAGTTATGGAGATGCTCACATCGTGGAAAATAGACCACGATAATAAATTTAAAAAGGTGGAAAGTTGTTTAACTAACATTAACAAAATAAACACGGATATAGAGAAGTCTCTTGAATTTTTATCGTCACAATACGAGGAGATGAATAAGAAGATTAATACTTTGGAAAAGCAATATAAGGAAAATCACCAGTATATTTTGTCTCTGGAGGAAAAAATCGAGGAACTTCAACGCGCCAATCGAAGCAATGGCATCGAGATACGAAATGTTCCTATAAAAGAAAAGGAAACCAAGGATGATCTGATGCTATTAATAACGAACCTATCCAAAACTTTAAGCATCGATTTGCAGCCATGCAATATTAAAGATATATTTCGTGGGTCCGGAAAAAAAGGAACAAATAAACCCATTATCGTGGAGCTGACAAATATCTCGCAAAAGCTCACGATTTCTTCCAAAGTTATCTCACGGACCGGAAGCAAATGGTAAATTTGGTGACTGCATCGGTGATGAGCTTCCAGTATCTTACGGTGTACCGCAAGGAAGTATTCTCGGTCCAACTTTGTTTCTTGTATTTATAAATGACTTATGCAATTTAAAAATCAATAGTGCAAAAATAATCACCTTTGCAGATGACACAGCGATTACTTTCTATGCCGAATCCTGGTCAGCCCTTCAGATGAAATCGCAACTCGGTTTTAATACTGTGCATAACTGGCTCTTATCTCATACTCTTACCCTTAATACTTCGAAAACTAAATTTATACCATTTTCTATTAGTTCTTCCTCGCAACCCAAAATTCCTATTGTTATAAAAGTTCACTCTTGTTCTCGCCAAGTATGTCCTTGTCAATGCCCACAAATTTCTCCCAATGAGAACTTAAAGTACCTCGGCATAATAATAGACAGACATCTTAACTTTAAAACACACATCAATCTTCTTACATCCAGACTTCGCAAAATGATATATATATATTTAAAACTCTACGACATGTTGCAAATCTCTTATTTCTTATTGTATTTCATGCTGGGGTGGAGCAGCTAAGTCAAATTTAAGGCCACTTGAGATTGCTCAAAAAGCTATGTTAAAAGTTTCCTCCTTCAAACCAATCTTATATCCATCTGTCCAGTTATACAAAGATTGTGGTGTTCTAACTGTCAGGCAACTCTTCATTCTTGACACAATACTACTGCAACGTCGTAAGACTCCTTTCATTAAAACAACAAAACGTCGTAAAGATAAGATTTGCTCTATCCCAAAAGTAAATTTCTCTTTTACAAACAGATTTTTCTACTACCTTGGACCTTTCCTATATAATAAAATTAACGCAAATATCCTGGTACATAACCTTTCTTACTATAACTGCAAAGTTGTTACTCGCTCTTTTCTTTTAAACCTAAAATATCATGACACCGAAGAATTATTAACAATTAAATATAAAAAAAGAATGTATGCATTAACATGGTAAATTGGCATAAATCTGATGGTTAACACAGACACACGCACACACACTCACACTCGCGCGCGCGCATTTGCACGCACACACACACACACACACACACACACACACACACACACACACACACACACACGCACGCACGCACGCACGCACGCACGCACTTAATAAAAAAAATAATGTTGCACGCACGCACACACGCACGCACGCACGCACGCACGCACACACACACACGCACACACGCACGCACGCACGCACGCACGCACGCACGCACGCACGCACGCACGCACGCACACGCACACGCACACGCGTCAATATGAGCACACGCTTCACTTCAGTGCCTTATATGAGTACTAATACTTCACCAAATTGGGGGAATGGAACTGAGTCTCCTAAACACAGGTCATGTAATGACCTACTTAGGAGGTCAGAACCTTTCAGATCATAGATTGTTTCAATTTCAATATGTTACTTATCACAAATGTGTTTGTAATTTTTGTAACCTAAAACTTTGATATTTAAATAAAGATTATTATTATTATTATTAAAAAGATTAAAAGTGGACTCGCATGTCCAACTCTAATAACCACTGTACAGAGATTATTTTTATTGTAGTCGGAAATTATCCCTTCAAATATGGTGAGTATAGTACGATTTGAAACCTAATTAATGGTTATTTCCTGAAACGTATATTCTATATGTTGGGAGCACCCACAGTTGGCGCTAAAAGTGACTTACCTGATGCGACATTGAGCGCATAGAATGAATAACATTGCCTTACGGTCCGGCTAGGTACCTTAGGATGAGGTATTTACGTCGAGTTTGTCTATACTTACGTGGTAAAAACACCGGGAGGCCGGCGTGAGCTGTGCCGCTCGCTGTCGTTGCGGACACGGCCACGTAGAACATGCCTTCCTCAGTTACCTCCTCGAACAGAGCCTCCGTAGAGTTCTGTTGAAATTTATATTGTTAATTTATTTCATAGTAAGTCTTCCTTCTTGTACCTAGGCCAGCATTATTCAACATTCATTTCCATTTGACGGAAGATGGATAAAATCAAATAAAAGGCGATGATCTGTACAATATTTTCATTTGACTTATATACGAGTGAAATCAAGACATTAGATTTATCGTTGTATGATTCAACCCAAATTTTACAAAGCGAAGAATAGTCCACCACGCGATCCCACTGAGGATTTGTGGACTTCACATATCTTCGAAAACATTTTTTTTGTTATTATTTCTAATATATAGGTTCCTAAATATATCTGGCTAAAAATATTTTTTCAGACGTGTGCGTTCTAAAAGTCATAACGCTCTAAACATAAAATTTTAATTGATTATTTAACTCCTGGGGATGTAAAATTTTTGTCCAAACTTTTTGCATTATGGTAGATGAGCTTTTTTTTATGTGAAAAGTTGCCAAACTGCTCGTTTGGCAACTTTTCGGATCACCTTATGGTAATTGAATACCGCCGCCCATGGACATCTGCTACACCCGAGGGTTACAGATGCGTTGACAACCTTTTGAAAATTGGGCTCCGGCTACCTCACTTACCAGAAGAAACGCGAAAGTATTTGTCATACTTCCACTTTACGCTGGTCGTGGTACTTACCCGGCGGGCCTGCCCATTCGTGCAACAGCCGAGGCTGCTGCGTGGTCCTACCACCGTTAATAAGAGAAGCTTAATTCAACTTACCCCGGGAAGAGTGAGGTTGTATTCCGTGTCTGCGAACAGCGTCACGCTGTAATAATTCGGTGTCACCCTCGGCGTTTGCCAAAGCGCGCGCACGCTCCAACCCTGACCGCTTGCGCTCTCCGAGACTTCCACAGTCACGTTGCTGATTTCCGGCACTGGAAAGCCGTAAACAATGTTCGAGAACCACATTGCGCAGAGAACAAGTAGGAGTTTGTAATTTTAAAATTTCAAACATTTTGTAAAAGCTACCTTAATGGAAAGGGCCTATTATTATGTCGAAGGATGCATTGAGGTCATGGAATTGTGGAAGTAATTTACACTTAAAACCGTTTGTGTAATTATATAATAAAAAAAAATAAGATAAGACCCGAGAGTTTCTTGCCGGTTCTTCTCCGGACAGGCCTAGTTTAGCGAACCGCTGGTAATTTTTTGACGTTAAATAAGAGCTTAATATAAGCCTAAATTGATAAAGAAATTTTTAACTTTTGAATTAAGACTCACGTGGAGCACATTCTTTGATCTCGAAGCATTCTGGCGTCTGGTACTCTAACTCCGTAATGCCATATTTGCCTTTGACCGTGAACATGCAGCTGTCTCCCAACGGCAAGTTGCCGATCACCACTGACCGGTTGTTGTCTGGCTGGATAGAAGTTCTCATGTAATAAGTAAAGTAAAGTAACTGCCTATATATGTCCCACTGTTGGGCCAAGGCCCCCGTACAATGGTTACAATGCCATAGTCCATCACGCGACCTCTGCGAATATATTCGAAATATTTTTTTTGTTACAATTTCGAAAATATGCAGGCTTCCTCACGATGTTTTCCTTCACCGCTGCGAACGTGGTAATTCAGCACTTAATTATTTAAATTAACTATTAAAATTAATTTAAATTGAAATAAAATTTATCAATTAATTAAATTAACTTTAATTAATTGTGTGTACTATTACCGAAGTCTGAATAAACGAATTAAGTAGTCATGATTTAAAATAAATTCGTAAATTTTTGTATTTAATGAAAATAAATGTTTAATCAATAAATAGTCATCGTTATCTGGAAAAAAAATCGTAATATTTTATTTTATCAGTATGACATATTTAGTTCCTATGACAATCTGTTCTTTCCTGCATATTACTTTTAGAAAATAATGTCGATGTTTCACATCTGCCAGGCGTCCCGTGACGGCTCATTTTTTGTTTAAAAACATTGCCCTCACTATAGGATAACATTGTTGTAAGGACGTTTTACAAACATAAATTGCGCGAAGACAAACACACAGATGCGAAACAACTATCTGTGGATCGCACAAATAGTTGTCCCGTGTGGGAATCGAACCCACGACCCCCAACGCCGAAGCCAATATCTTGGCAACTGCGCCACGGAGTCATCTAACTTAAAATTAACAATTTCTTTTGTGGCGGCACCGGGGATCGAACTCAGGTATGTTGCTCGAGTATATTTAGCGAACAACCCGACACTGAGCTATTACAGCTCTTGAGTTAATTGTAATTTCACTTGTAGTTTTCATAATTCCATTTTTATAAGTCTAAAGATTTTTATGTTATACATTTCTCCGAGGCAAGAAGTGAGTTAAGTTGTACCGATGTCAAGTTCCAAATGCAGATTACATACGATAAGTACGAGCATTTGTGAAACGACCTGTGTTAGTAGTTTGACTGTATACTGTACACCTTTTTACTTAATGTTGCTTTTGGATTATGTTCCTAAGATGTTTTTTTCTCAATTGTACAATTGTACATTCTCAACAAACATTTTTGTACGTTTAAATTGCTCGTTTTGGCTTGTCTTAGAGCTTTACCACGACCCCATAATATGTTTTAAATGGGATAATGAGGTATTTTTTTGTATATATTCAATAAGTATGCTTAAATTTTTGAAAGATAAAAATTGCGTCGAAACCGGTCTATATAGGTATACATAAATGTTAAAATTTTTATCGTTACACGTAAAAAGTAATTTACAAAAAATTTAATACTTTAACATCTGCTTTTGTCGTTTTTAGGAATAGGTCCACTGATGCGGATCGAACCATCAAACACTCACCATACGAAATTTTGCTGTGAAAGAATCTCATAAATTTTACCATATAAAGTATAATAATTAAGTAATTGCTATTAAAAGTACCTGTATGTTCTTATAAAAAATATTTCCTTGCGTATCCGTGTTGCAATAGTTAATGACTTCGAAACAAGAGTCCAATTCTGAAATTAACGGAAAGCAACAAGATTATGTTTAAAAATAAACGCAGAATTCTTTGCAGAGGAGTCGAATCAAGTTATAATACATGAAGGGTGGAATACATTGCTTAAATACTGACATGGATATGGAATCATCAACATTTGTAAAGTATAGTAGAGAGTTCTAATTATTATACAGGGAGATTTTTTTGAAGTGCCCAAATTTACACGGTATATATGGGTTGTATTTTTAAGAGCGCAAGCCCTGGATAAATTCCTCACTAGAGTAATAGAATCGCGTAAATACCTTCTACCTGCATATACGTTAGTGTAAGTTGGCTAGTTCATGCAATAGAAGAATCTGCTATATGAGTTACTGATGCACCCGCAGAATTTGCTGTGTGGGCCGCGTGGTATAGGATTGATAATAACGTTAAATTGAAAGCTGTAGTGGAAGCAGATCCATTTCACGTCGAGTTAGCAAAAGTTTCCAACTCAAGTGTGAAACGATACCGATTCATTTAAATCAAATTGGAAAGATCAAAAACGCACCGAAGATGTGTAACGCAGTAGCTGTCTTAGAACATGGGTGATTCCTAATCGCATTGTTAATTTGTTAAAAAGTTGACAACCAAAAATGTCCTTCCTTTAAACAGGGGGTTGGACGGAACCTGTATGTAGCAATTAACTCATTTTCATCCACCATAATCACTAGAGCTTGACCCAACTGGTTATCATTTTTTTCGGACTTTGGATAAATTTTAACTATGTGGTGAAATACGCTTTCAAAAACTATCATCATACATCAACTCCTTTTCTGTACAGAAGAATCAAGAGGCACCAATAAGCTTCCATAATGGATTTATAATACTAATTGCTTAACAATCAAAGCACAATTTCATAGGTAACTTATTACATTTTCAATATGTTTTACCGTCATATGCATTCCATGTGAATTCGGCCTCAATAACTTTTCTGTCATCACTTTTATTTAGTTCATTATATTTATGCGTCAACATTTCCACCTTTATGTCGTATTTGATTGATCCTGGATTTTTCCCATACTCCCACTTCAGGTCCCTTCTGCCACAGCGAAGGGCTGCCGTCAGCATTGAGCGCCGTGGTCCAAAATGTAACGCCTCTTGGCATTGAAGATATCTTAACAAACTTCTCAAAATTGTTCATCAAAATAGGTTTTATCTGGAAACATCAGTTATCTTCAAACCTTTCGGTATCGGTATCTAAACGCTTTTAACAATTATTGACAGTCAAAAATTCCTAGTTATTTGTAATGAGCTATAAGAGAGGTAAGTTTTGTAAAAAGTATGTGGTAAGTTTACTGAGACAATTTGAAGTTCTGCTATGTTTTTGCTAATATTAATCCAGCAAACTAAGTTAAGACATTCTCAGTCACCATGAAATGAAATTTGAACGTGATTCGAAGGAAGCTTGGATTGCAGTTCAACATCGTCATAGAGCTTACACATCTAAAATACGAACAAAAACACACACACTTTCTTGCTCCATCTCATAACACAACAACAAAATCTTCTTCACACATAACACAAACATGGCAGGTAAAATAAGTAATTTGTATTTGTTTTAAAATAATTTTATTCTTTGTTTAACGTTTTTTACTTTTAGTCAATTGTTCTTGTTTTTTTTTTTTAATTCATTGTATCCAATATTAATTCTTTACGACTATTACGTAGGGCCATCCATCTCTTTCCCCCAAGGTTCCACTGAAAACCAGCATTCACGAAGATTGTCAACTTCGTGATATGAAGCTGAGTGGTGACCATTTTGGTTCATTCTAATCATAGGTATTTAGTTTTTAGCATATGTTTTATTTTTTTTGTGTTATTATGTGCCAAATAAATGTTTCTTTCTTTCTTTCTTTCTTTCTAAAAAGTTCCTTATGAATGTAGTCAGTGTCGGCGTAATGCCTGGGAGGACATTGCTACGAACAAGAATTGTAAAAGTATTGCATAACCCAGAGTCGCAGATACGTTGCCACCTTTTAACAAAGTAGGTCCCGGTTACCTCACTCATCAGACGAAACGCAGAAGTGTCACACATCTACTTCACGCCGGTTTCCTATGTGGACGTACTCCCGGTACTTACCGGATGGACCTGCCTATTCGTGCAACAGCGAGGGCTGTTGCGTGGTCCAATTATATCGTAACAGACTATACTAGTATTTTATTTTTTCTGCAGACGTACTTTTCACCGTTTGTTGCTAAATGTAACATAATAAAAAAGACACTGCGTTACTTACATATCTTGAATCCTCTTCCTGCGGCACTGGCACCACCAGTTTCTGATTCACGGATGAACTTATCATAAACGTGACGGAATCCTTAGACTGACATTTTATCGATAATTCTGGTGGATGGTTCGTGATATTTCGTGTAGGACCTTGAAATTAAAGTAACTTTGCCAATATTGTTTTTATAACTAAGTATGTTTATTAAAACATAATAAAACTGTGACACTCTGGGAATGCCGCGGAAAAGCTTTTGCATAGCATTTTTTATCAACAGTATTTTTTTTCTTTGACATTAATTCAAGCTACACTATATTTTGATCGTGGTGACCGATAAGAAAGCATTGTTTTTCTTTTATTGAATAAATGAGAAGTAAATATCGTTTAAAATATTTTTATTATCTTAGGTTATTCAGGAATTTTTATCATTGAAACTATAGGTTTATGGTAACTGAAATAAAAAACATAAGTTTGAGACTTGATATCCTCTAAATATCATATGATTATATAATATTATAATATCATGTTATAATATCCATCCGTGCGAGCTTCGTACAGTCGTACCATATACATACACGTTAAGCGAACGCTCGGCCGAGCTACATGATAGGCGGAGTGGGGGTGATAGGTTTTATTTTCATTACGGAATTTCTTGATTCGGTCGCCGCGCTCAAAGCCTGCGATAAAAGCTATGCAATAGCTTAAAAATATTTCGAAGCTTATATGTGCGGTCTGCCCATCCGCAGTGGGGTCTCGTGGTGGACTATGCCCCTCTATACAACTCAAGTAAAGTATTAAAATATGTAGAAAAGTGAAAAAGTCTTAAGTGCAAAGATTAGCACTATAAACAATTTAAATTTCAAGTAAAGTAAATAAAACTCTGTGCAGTTGATGTATGACAACTTTGGAAACATGCGAGTCAATTAGATTTGTTCTTTTCGGAGCAGAAAACTGATGTTTTAATAAAATGACGCATGTCCATATAGTGCTGCGTTTAAAAGTTGTTTCGAATCCGATTTTTTTCGAGGTAATTTAATGCGGTAGCAATGAACATAGGACGTTTATCGGATATGAAATATTTCTTAGCAGCACTTGTAAGAAACGAAAGTTTTGTCGTTTTTGGAGTAGTTGTATCATGTAAGATGTATCTATATAAGATTATCTATGTGAAACCCCGATACGTAATAGGTTAAATGAATAGATGTGATAACGTTATAAAACGAAATAGATATCTTAACTCAAATATTACTTAATACGAATGCGTTCATGATCTGTTTTAGTATAAATATTAATAATGAATAAATCGCGGTAAAATCTGTTTACCAGCTCGAGAAACATAATCGCGTAAACACAAGGAATCAATAATTATGTTCATTACTTGTTCTTGATTGTTTGACTGTGGACTTGTTTTTGAATTTTTAGAATATAGATCCCCATAATTTATTACGACTTTATATAGGGTCGGCAACTAGAGAACAAACAGCACATTCTGTAAAACATTACATTATGATTTGATAGATATACATATTATGTCTTTTCATTATTGAAAAGTTTTTCTTAACAACTACGAATATTTGCAGGATTATAGCAGAAATGATTCACTGCTCATATTTAGGCTTTCAATAAAGTTTTTCTTACTTTTAAGTTGAATTAAGAGACCACAAAGATTTAGTAAAATGAATAATGAAACAAATAATAAATTACTTACTTAAAAATTTCTCCTGGCATCGAAAAGCTGATTGCTGAAAATAAAATAAAAAAAAAACATAAGCATATAAGAAATAATAAAAGCATGCACGTTGGTACAAATTGGAATAACTGCGTAGGACTATCCGTTGCATACATTCAGCGTTCTATTCTCTAAGGCTGTTTTGTTCACTACTCGTGAATTTCAACTTGTCATAATGTGTTCAAATTTCTTATTTATTGTTGTAACAAATATGAAACAAATATCCAGTGCATGCAAAGATCAAAGTTTCTCTTCATGCAGACTTCTTTCTGACAATATACACTACTGGTCGGCTCTTACAGGTCGGAGTGTAAGGTAATAAAATACCGTATAAACTTCTGCAATGATTATAAATTTAACTATTCAATCCGATTTCAAGTTCCTGAGATTAGCACGTTTAAACAAACCAAATAACTTTAATAGATCGCTTTGCAATGTATATAATAAGTAAACTATATCTAATATATAAAATTCTCGTGTCACGGTGTTTGTAGTTGAACTCCTCCGAAACCTCTCGACTGATTTTCGTGAAATTTTGTGTGCATATCGGCCAGGGTGGAGAATCGGACAACATCTAATCCCAAAAAAGGTGCTTAGAACTGTTTTACACTTAATATTCGACGGTAGTACATCGTTGAAAAAAAAAAAAAAACTTTTTTCCAAAAAAATTTTCTATTCCCCAAAAAAACACACAAAGACGAATACCTAAATTTTACTGTGTGAACGTGTGTGCGTGTGAGTTATGAATGATCGCGCGTAAAATAATTGAGTTGCGTATAAATCACGCACTTTTAGAGATAAGTTCAAATGAATGTAATTAATTACTTACGAGTGATTTAAAATATTCATAATTTTTAATATAACATTATTTATGTCTAGAATTTAATTTAAAAAAATGGATACACTTAGAAAAGCCTCCCTGTATAGTAAGTTTGTACAGATTTCTCAAAGGGAATTCTTCAGTTTATTTACATTTTTCTTATTTATAGCTAAAAGAAATGAAGAAAATATATCTATTTACCACACAAAGGAATCACACAACATAAAACTAAGGTTAACAAAATAGAAAAGAGAATTATTACAGTAATACATACTACAGAAAAACAAAAGCAATACAAAATTTAGGCCAGCAGGACAGCATTATGCTGCGCTGGAAGTCAAAAGCCCCAACACAGCGCTGATTTTCAGTGCTCACCTATATCTGTGTGAATTATACTCATCGGTGGTGGGGCTACGCAACAGATTTCGCTGTTGCACGAATGGTCAGGTCGGGTAAGTACAACAACCTTTTTTTATGAAGATAAGAAGCAAACGAGGCTCATCTGATGGTAAGTGACTACCGCCGCCCTGCAACACCCGAGGGACTACAAATGCGTACTTCTGCGCTTCGTCTGGTGAGTGCGCATCCGCAACCCAACGGGTGTTGCAAATGTCAATGGGCGGCGGCAAGGTGATTCACTCAACATCAGGTTAAAAGCCAACTTGTTTGAAACCTTCTTACATAAAAAAAATATTTACATAGACAAAGACTTAGATAGAGGGTCTCCGTTGGGTTTTAACCTGTGGACGCGTCACACAGAAGGCGCAGTTTCGAAATCTGACAGTGACGAAAATTTTTTGCCAATTTATCTATTAAACACAAATGTAAATTTCATCTTGATCGCAAATTACCGCTTAAAATGGAACACTATTCCTAGAGGGGTGGAGGTTAATGATGATGTAAAGGGGGAGTGAGTGTCCGCGAAGCAGATAAGAAAATAACAATAAATATAAAGGTGTGGTAAAAACAGAAGGTATGGTTGAAAATAGAATGTTCGGTAACCCGCAATGCGTTATCCCCTAAATTCTAACTTTGGGCATTTACGAAACTTCTCAGTTTCCAGAAGAAAACAAAAACAAGCTTAAATAAGCGGAGAATTGATTTCCGTGGCGTAAAATGAGGACTAGGTTCCAACGCGTAATTTCAGTCGTAAAGTCGCTTCGGCTCAGCACATAGTGGGTGGAAGATCGTTTTGTTTAAAATCTCACCTGCAGTAACACTGAGTTGATCGAAATTGGGTTTGGAGTAGGTATTATTTTGCCTTTTTAATAACCGAGGTTTCGCGAGCTATTTCGTAAAGGAGTAACGTTGTTACGAAGTCGTGATATTGCAATTCACGTAGTGTTCCTTACGAATCTTAAGATTAAATTAAAATCTCGATATCATATATTTATTTATCAACAGATGCCGACGGTGCCATCCTTTAAAATGTATCTCAGATAGGTGTTCGTTTTAATAACTTGATCCTGTACCGGACAGATCACAAGTTTTCTTGTTTTCCTTAAGATTGTCGCCGATTGTCACGGAAATGCAGGCTGTGGAGGTCTATATATAAATACATATGGCTTATTTCGAGTCTTCTAAAAACTTTTTCCTTTTGAAAGTCACAATTTCTTAATCAATATTGGCTTGTTTTAAACTCTTATTGAACGTCAAGAAAACTACCGTAGGTTCACTACATTAGACCTGTCCAGAGAAGAACCGGGAAGAATGTCTGCAGTCCGGTTATCTTATTTTTTTCCGGTTGGAGACACTTTGCACTCTAGCGCACTTACACTGCTCGTTGGCCGAGAACATAGGGGTAAGTTCTACATCACAGCTGATGACATCCATTTATCGACTCTTCCGATCTCGCCAGAAAGTAGTTGTGAACGTGTACCTCGCGATTATGCATGGCGAGGATGATGCACTCTGTAGGACGTCATAACGGAGCGGACTTTTCTTTTTTTTCCAGGGTATTATTTTTCATTTTTAGGCGAAAGTCCTGATGTTAACGGGCCAAGACAATCCCTGCCATGCAGTTAGTGACATTGGTGACCTTTCGATATGGAGGACCGAACACTAATTCATCCTGTGTTCAATTTTGTAAGAATTACCTAATTATAAGTGACTTCATGCAATCTCATCATATATAAGATTAATAGAAGCATTTAGGAGCGAACAATTTGAAGTCATCCATGTAGAAAGTGGGACTCTTTTGTCCTTTTTTTCCGAAGTTGAAATCCTCTCCTTGCGCTCTCCAGTAACAGAGGATTTTTATGTGAAAAGTTGCCAAACGAGCAGACGGGTCACCTGATGTTAAGTGAATACCGCCCCCCATGGACATCTGCCACACCCGAGGGATACAGATGCGTTGACAACCTTTTGGAAATTGGGCTCCGGCTACCTCACTCACCACACGAAACGCAAAAGTATGTGTCATACTTCCACTTTACGCTGGTCTTCTGTGAGGTCGTGGTACTTACCCGGACGGGCCTGCCCATTCGTGCAACAGCCGAGGCTGCTGCGTGGCCCTACCACCGAGGATTCATGGAGGCATCACCATATTGGGCTTAAACAATCGCCGTGGAAAATACCCCGCAATATACTAAAGAAGAAGAAGATTTATATTTATCCTTCTAGATCCATATCCTTCTTCTTTTATATTTACAAGTTGCCTGGTTAAACGAGATTATGTTCCACTTATGTCATGTGGGAGCGTACAGCAAGCAATTTCAACGATGTCTAGACGGAAAGAGTAGCAACCCCATACGAAAATAAACGCTTTTTCATTTAAAATCTAAACGACTGCATACTCTTTAATCCTTTTAATGTCTACTATACTTGAAGACTTCGTCTTACGGATATTTTATTAATAACTTAAAAATTGTTAGCCCAAACGTTTATTTTATCCCATTTATTAACAATTAAAATTCATTTCAGTTTTCGCAATGATACTTATAAAATTAAACATAAGTGTAAAATTGAATCGAAACATTTTTTCTTTAAGCTCATATCATAAAAAAGAAATATAAATCGTGCTCGAAAAGCTATTAAATTCTTAAGTTAATTGATAGAAAGATCTTAGCAGAACAAAATGATAAGGCTTTATTAGGAGAAAGCAGTGCGTGCGTTTGGCTCTCCCTTACATAATCTATTCGAGAGATCTAGATATTGATAAAAAAGTAAGAGTTACAATTAACTAGTTAAAGATATCACTGTCAAGCTGTTGCGAGCGAAACTTTTCGTTTTTATAAGTACACCGATCTCTTACGCAATGTGTGTCAATATAATTATGTGAAAATTTTAATGATATTTTTCTACATGTGTGTTATGTGTGAACTCACTGAAGTATGAGTTAAGATGTGACAAATTAAAATATTGTTTGCGGTTCATCAACAAGGTAGTTTTACCGATCTCCTTGAAGCGTAATGTGCGATTGGCAATTCTGCTACCATAACATTTAATTTAAGGGTATAAATACAATCACAGTTTCCAAAATTCGTTTCTAAAGCTTCAAATTATCTTCAAGACTTCTTTAGTTATTAATCAATATTAATAATTAAAATCACTTCATAATATTATATACTATTCGCAATAAATATTTTTTTGAAGTCACTGCCTATACCCTTGGGAATAAACAATGAACTTGATAAATGCTGTATTAAAAGTGTTTACGACGTCAGTTGCGACGCATTTCCATAGCGAGAGATTGAGTCACTGTTACAGGCAACTAGGCAACTGCTACTTGTTTATCAACAATACGCAAGAATAACTTCAATTATATTCTCGAAAACTCTTCGCGTGTTACCAGTATAGCATCATTAGGTACAACCGATCGACACATGTAGGTAATATCCTGGAGGTGCGTTCAACTTATATTTTTTCAACTTCTTTTTTAGACTATCAGTGTCCATGTCGGGTTGAGTGACCAGATACTGAATCAACCAAATGTTTCGTTCATCCCGTATCAGGTTGAATGACTCACTGGCACAAAAAATACTCAAAATTCAGCGTCAGAAACGCGGCAAGTAAGGTCTACACAGCAAAGCTTATGGCAGCATATTATATAAAACCATGAAAGGAACATCACTATTCAATGATAAAACACATTAGTGTCTTCTTTCTCCAAACTTATGTTACCAGTAACTATAAGTGCAGTAAGACGTAAATTTTGTATTAAAAAAATAAGGTTTTTAATAAGTAATCTCCGACATTTATCCAATATGGCAGTGAAAGTAATATTTATGACTAGTTTAATTATATAACTGATTCTGATAAAATACTGTTGCTAATGATGAAAAAGAATAAATGTGCACTTGTAAGCCAAAAACGCGGTAAAATTAAGCACTCGGTAAACTTAAGTGTTATATAAAAAAGCTCCCAGTTCCTTTTGCACAAAGTGGGCTAAAATTACGTTTCAGGTCCTTTCATTCTAAAGAAAATCACCTTTTGATTTTCACAATTAACCTTTTCATAATGGCTAACCCGATGAGTTTATATAATGCTATTAATATTTTCAAATAATATTATTTACTAAAGTATAAAATTTTCGACCGCTTTTCTGTTCCCCTTTTCATATTTTTGGATATTTTTCATAACAACGATTTTTTTTAATCTTATGTAGTTAAAAAAAGTTATATAATATGATAAATTTAATAAAATGTATACCAAATAGCGTCTTAAAAACTACAACGTTACTATAATAATGTATGACTTATCCATGAAGATGTCTTATTAAATTTGACACGAATACTCACATTAGTAAAGAACTCTACTTATTTTAACTATTCTCATTTTCGAATAATTGCGATCACACACTCACACACACACAGATACTTATGTTCTTTGATGTCACAGTGACAAAGTGAAACCAGTACAACATAGCGAGTATGTTCTGTCTTACCATACTGTAAAGGCTTTACAGAGGAGATTATCACATTGTCAAGCTGGCTTTAGTTGCTAAAGAAGAATAAACAGATTTTACCTTAGTAGTAATATCCTTCTATAAGAAGCAAGACAAATGCCATTGTAGTCTCTGTTGACAAACAAATTAAGTCTGCCACTAGATCAATTTAAACGCAAAATTAAAAGTGAACTTATGGCTAAGGCATATTATACCATTGCGGAATATCTTGACGACGCCAATGTGTGGGGTAAATACTGTTAATACTTACGTAGGCTAAAGTAAGATTTATACCTGTCCTATTATATTGTAAACTAATCGTTTTAAAAAAAGAGCAACTATTGAGTTTTGCGGTTTCTTCTCAACAGAAACTGCTTTCCAAATCGGTGGTAACTTACGAACGTATTAATTTTTATGTAAACTGTTGACGTTTCATAAGAACGCGCAAGCGTCTATGTGAATAAATATATTTTTGATTTGATTTGAAAAAGTACAATCTAAACCTGTATAAAGGCCATATATAGCTGTTCCTTAAACATCAAGAGTGAAACAAATCTACAGTTGCGAGAACACTATAAAATATAATCCAATCCTTAGATCAGATTTGATAGATAATCAATCCCCCATCAAAGAAAACCGATTCCTAGGATGGATTCAAAGAATGATTTGTGATTCTATTGAAACGGATAAACATCACAATATCAACTATTGAATAACAAGTCCATTTTCAACAAACTTAAAAAAAATATCCCTGTTTTGTTAACGAAAAACAAAACTGACTTCAAATAGCGAGCTCTGTATTTATTGTATTTTCAGGAGTTCCCTAAGTATCTCCGGAGCCCAAGATCCAATACCAATGAAATTAATATAGAACCACATGGGAAGCACCACTTTTCAAATAAAAAAAAAAATAAAAATAAAAATGAAAGTTCTGGGGTAACAAACATAAAAAAATACAGTCGAATTGACAAACTCCTCCTTTTATTAAAGTTGGTTGAAAAACCTAGCAATAACACCACGCGTAAAACTGCCATTAGGATCCCAAGACCCAAGTCTTTCCCGTGAAAATGTGTGTTGTAAAATAATAAAAGGTCGGGATTTCAAAAAAATTTAATAAAACACGGTGAATTTAGTTAAAAAAAATTTAGTTTTGTTAAGGTCACCCGGATGTCGTTTTTTATAACCTCTACGCCGCCGACGTCTAAGATGTTTCGATAGATCTTACCTGAATAGTTAATAGCGTCATGCGCTTCATTTCAGAAGACGATTAGCATTATGTACTATTTTATTTATAAAAAGGAATATTTATAAATGACAATCACTATTTTTAGACGCAATAGATAAAGGTGCCCTACATCGTGTGCCAGCATTGTCTCGTGTACTTTTTAACCTTTCGATTCACGGTGTGGTGTAATTTCAGTCAATGTTTTAGTATATTGATTAAGGATTATCTTGATATCGGCGGAAGCCGGCATATCCACATTTTGTATAGCGACCAGATAACAACAAAGGTCACCGCGGATGCACTTACTAAAATACGCTTTTTCCTCTCCTTCTTAGTTTAATCAATGACGCTGGTGATTATGATGACATAATAAATTAACCCTAAAATTATCCAGCATAATTATTAATTTATTTTTCAGTTTATATTCATCGTCTGAAGAGATCTAAATAAAATCATTTGATCAGTATGTTTTTGTAACGGATGAATAAGAAATGGTCACGAAGTAAGACCGATAAAAAGTTTGTATAAAAATTGCTTATACTAATTTGCGCTCGGAAGCGTTATAATCCATGTGTTACTATTGCAATATGTCAAACGAACTTCTTTAAATATGAAAGATTTTTTATGCGCATGACCTCAAGTTGAGGACAGACCGCAGTATTTGCTTTCGGCGTGAAGATTTTAAAATATCAATTTGTCTACGGAAACGAACTATGCCTTGACGATCAGGTTAATTTTAATTAGAAAAGTTATAAGTAAAATAATATTCAAATCATATGAAGTGTGAATAAGAGAAAACGTTTTCAAATTTTCCTATTATACGAACCATTACTAACTGGGACAATAAAAGTATTAAAAACAGAAACTGCTTTTATAAAATAAACAATTAGTTACTTTATTTGTATTTTTATCGGTTCTTACAGGATATTCATTATGTATAAGCACTAAAAGAAATGTTTCTTTTTTCGAATTTTGAAAGCATAATATGTAAAGGGAAACTGAGTATTATACCTTCGACTGCTCATATTTGAAGTGGAAAGTAGCTAAGCAACTTTTATCGTGATTTCATTTAGTTTTTTGAATTTATAGTAAATATTAAATCAATCCAAAAACTCACTCAATACCAAAATAGTTGTTAATATTTATTTATTTCTATCGTTGGTCAAAGTTATTTTATACAAAAACAGCAGTACACGTAACCGTCATAAAAAAGGTTTATTAAAATTTAGAGATAGATATAGAAGGAAAAAGAATTAAACATGCAATTAACTCAAAAACGATAGATTTTTTTGAAGAAGAATGTTTTAAGGCCAATAACATACCTCATCTGGGAAAATCTCCGAACATACCGATTCTGATAAAAACTTCGTGTAATTTAACGAAACATGCAAGTTTCGTCTTAAGCTCTCTTCGGCTCTGCATATTAGGATTGTGATATATAAAGTAAAATAAACAAGAAGACATTTTATTTTCATTTTCCTAGTTTCACTTGATTTCTGTTCACGTATTTAATAGATAAAATATATTGGCACTATTTTTTTTTCTAAACGATTATTTAATTAATTTCATTTTTCTTTTACGGGTTACAAGAACACATTTTATAAAAGTACACTGCCTTAATTAGTGTACAACTGGCACTAATTTGTAAATAAGAAAAAGAAAACATTAAACGTCAGTCTGAAAACGCGCGCGTTTGCGTCGGTTAGCCGCGCACGCCGATCGCCCCACAATTTTGAACTGGGGCGCAGCGTAGCATTAATAAGCTTACGGGCAAACGCAAGCACTACTATCTACCTGAGTGTTAGTAAAGAAGTCTCGTTTCATAAATCTTAATTTTTTTTAATCAATATACTCTTATAAATATTCGTTAAAATTCGTCGCACCACAGGTACCTAATCAGTAATCACCTTTGATTATATATACGACGTGTCTACCTTTGATTATCTAGTCTAAGGTAAATAACACATAGCAATGCACGAAATAAAAAAATTTTTGAAAAGTTAATACTTTTTTTGGAAACTCCTTTATTATTCGTCGAGGTCATACTACTGTCATAGTGAGATAAATGTAATCTTAAATACATATCAAAGTTCATTAGTCAATGATTTCGTCATATTTTAAGTATCAATGAATGATTCATTTTAAAACAGTATTTGGAATATAGCATCTTTAATGAACACAGTAGCAGATGTGCGGTTACATTACGCTCAAAGAAGAATGATAGATTTTACAAAGCTATAATAATATAATATCAATAATAAACTAGTCTTTTTGAGGTTAGACTTCCTGTGATGTAATTTTTGGGCTTCCATACCCAAAGGATAAAACGGGACCCCATTACTAAGACTCCACTGTCTGTATGTCTGTCGGTCTGTCCGTGTGTCACCAGACTGTATCTCGTCAACCGTGATAGTCACACAGTTGAAACTTTCACTGATGATATATATCTGTTGCCGCTACTAAATACACATACTAAAAACAGAAAAAACATATTTAAGTAGTGCTCCCATACAACACACATGGTACGGATCCCTTCACGCGCGAGTCCGACTCGCACTTGGCTGGGTCTTTATAGTCTTCCTTGTCATAACATAGAACTTAGCCTACCTATAAAATTATTAAACTTTATCGAATAAAGCTTCAAACATCAAATTATTTAAAACACTGAATCAAATGCTTCGTTTAATATATAAAGTCTTAGTTGATAATTATTTACAACATAAAATCCTTCAACTTTAATCATTGACGTTATATGGCCAATAATAGTACATACATCTACGTCGTACAAACGTGGCCATAATATTATAGATTTCTACAATGTGTAGTGGCGTATTTCATCCTCACACATTCATAGATTATTAAATAGAATTGATAGTAGAACTTCTTTTTGATTTGCTTTACGTCACATGAATATAAGGGCAGATACACAATACTGCTGTGAAAAAATAATAGACTGGAACTAATATGAAACTGTACGCATGTGGACCATCGCGAAGAATAGAAATATTAATAAGAAAATTCGCTTGATGCCCATTGTGAAGAATACTTAAAGTTAACAAATACCATACATGCCGGTTTCATCATTGCCATCCACCACTGCGCGCCTTTGGAGATAATTTGTGCTATGCACGACTCTTTTGTTACTTGAGATCCATAGAAGAACGTATTATTATCTAAACGCTGGACAATACTTACAGCTACTCTGGTATCGCAAATCTCGCACGCGCACCACTAGAGTCACTTGTTTGTCACTTTTAAATACAAGGGCCACGTAATAATATGTGATATCCAGTTGTATAGAGCAGGAACACTTCAATTTAGTGTTAAGTGCAAGTTAAAAAAGAACTAGTAGTATTAAAGCAATTAAGAGGAATGTATGGAATTGGATCGATTTTTTTTCTCGTTATTATGTTGCTGTGGTAGAGCCACGCTCCGGCTTCTGCGGTTACACAAATAGGCAGGCTCTTCCGGGGAATAATCATGGGAAGTACTATATATAAATATATTAGCGTTTTGTCTGATGAGTGAAGTAACACGGACGCACTTTTTGAAGGTTGGCAACGAATGCCCCTCATGATATCCACATGATATGACTGGCGGTAGTCATTGACCATTAGGTGAAACGGGAGAAAAAAAACTTTCCACTTAGCATATTGCATTAGAGCATGTATGTATTAGCATAGATTAGATGTGAGTATACCCTTACGTGCAGAGGTCGTCGTGCTGTTTGGTCCCCTTCACACTTAGCCGAATTGGGTGTGACCCGTGAGCGGCGGTCACCTTGTGCCAACGGCATTATGTCAAATCTGTCATTCGAAAGATTAACAGCATTCTTAAGCTTAATTTTACGGCTAGACGGCGCATATAATTCGCAGTGACACAGGATACCAGGTGTAGATTTAGGAGCCTTTTTTTATTGCTGCCACCAATTTAGTGTTGTTTACCACGAGATATAGTTTAATGAAAACGAAAGTGGTTACGAAGTGTTGTTTGCTTTCTCGATTAATAACAGCTGTTGCGTTGGCGATAATGAGTTTTTATAAATTTCGTATGTTTACAAAGCCCGAAAACGATTTAAATGCATATTTTTTTGCCGTCAACTTATTGCGCGAAATAAAAGTACTTAGGTTTTTACATTTCGCCCATCGAATTGGGTGACCTGTATGAGAGGCGACGTGTCTACAACCATATGGGTGTAGTAGATGTCCACGGGGAGCGATGATAACTAAATCTCAGGTTGAACCAGTTCAACCCGAGATTTAGTTATTATAAAAAAACATTCATTTTATTAATGTATGGCTGAAATTAATAGATGAAAAAATAGAAAATGTACAGTTACAGCCCATATATGTCCCAAAACTGGGCGAAGGTCTCCTTTGTACAGACATATTAGAGCATATTTTCGAAAGCTTTTTTTTTCTGATGACACTGTCCTGATAACCACTGAGTTAGTTAGTCCTGTTATAATTCGCACTTATAACTAACAGTTGCAACTAACAATTATGCCTAGCCGGCACCGGGGTTTGGACTCAGGTTAATCGAGTAAATATTAAATAAAAGTGAGCGTTCGGACGCTGAGCTATTTACGGTTCATGGAGGAGCATGCTCCCGCATCACAGGCAAAGTGGACCTTTGTAATCTCCCACCTATAATATTTGACAGTTCTTATATCCCTATCAGTCACAATGCAAAAAACCTTGGTTTGTACCAAGATAGGACACTCAGTTGGGACACTCAAGTTGGAAGTGTCTGCCAAAAAGTCTCAGGTTCCCTAAGGTGTTTACCGGCTCAAAAATTTCCTTCCTACGAAAACTAAGGAATTGCTCGTGCAGGCCTTAATTTTCCCTTTAATTGACTATGGTGACGTGTGCTACTTTGACGTGAATGCAGATCACCTCAATGAACTCGACCGCCTTCTGAATAACTGCATTCGATTCGTTTTCAATCTTCGTAAGTATGACCATGTATCTTCTTACCGTGCTCAACTTCAGTGGCTACCTATACGCCCACGACGTTCTCTAAAAGCTCTGACCACTTTGTATTCTTTTCTGAACTCTTCTTCCACCCCGAGTTACTTATCCCATCATTTTCAATATTTATGTGCTGTCAGCAACAAAAACCTTCGGTCTTCGCATATCCTTCTTCTGGAACGTCCTTCTCACCGTTCTGACTTCATGCACTCTTCTTTCTTTATCCAGTCTATCCTTCTGTGGAATGCGCTACCCCTTGAAATCAGGTCGGCTAAAAGTCGCTTTATATTTAAAAGGAAGGCTCGTGAACACATCCTTAAAAACTTATCGGCAGATCAATTCCATCGTTGAATATGTGAGTTTATATATGTATGTTTATATATGTATATATATATATATATATATATATATATATATATATATATATATATATATACATGTATTTCATTTATTCGGTAGTAATCTTCTTGTGTAATTTTTTTTTCTCTGTGCACCTACCTAACTGTCTCTGTACCACCCTAAGGTTGACTGGGAGATAATGCCTATGGCATTAAGTCCGCCTTTGTACTTTATGTGCATTAAGAATGCTAACTAACTATACTATTTAGCTATTATGAGTATAGTATAGTACAGTATTATAAAGTACCAAGTGTGCAACTAAACGAGCGAGTCAAAATTTTAGTGAAAATTATTTTTAACATTACTTAAAAAGTAGTATTAGTAGTATATAGTATTTTATATTATACTTGCTGTGCCCGCAACTTCGTCGAATTTAAAATAAAAAAAAATCTAAAATAAAAGTAGCTTAAGTTACTCCTTATTATCTATATCAGCTATCTGTCAGTGAAAGTCCCGTCCAAATCGGTCCAGCCGTTTCAGAGATTAGCCGGAGCAAACAGACAGACGGAAAAAAATTGTAAAAAATCTTATTTTGGTATATGTACCGTGTATATATATAATATTACAAACAGACACTCCAATTTTATTTATCTTTATGTGTAGATAACTCAGGTTACAGTCCATAATTATTGGAAATAATGGACACCATACATAAGTTTCAAGCTTTTCCGAAGAGCTAGGCAGTTAAAATACTACGAAATCGTGTTTCTTTTATTGCCAACTTTGATTGATACGTCACTGATAAACTCAGTAGTTAATCTTCAGTTCCACTTGATTAGCCTGTTGATTACTTATAAACTAAATAAGTGATAGCGTTCTTGGCAACATGGCGCGTGGATTAAATAAATGTATTTCACAAGTGATCTATTCAGAGAGTTTAACCACCCTTTTGGCAACTCAAACAACATTTGTCTATTAAAATTTGTAGAAACACATTTGATTAGTTAATTTCTACAATGATCAGTGTTTCAGAAACCGGGCGTGAATGTTCTAAATATTATACACTAGCGACCCGCCCCGGCTTCGCCTTCGATATCGCATTAGAAACTTAAAAATATCAGTGTTTCTCTACTATATTATGCATGCATTAAATACATGCATGTAACCTTCCTCTTTAATCACGCTATCTATTAAAGAAAACCGCATCAAAATCCGTTGCGTAATTTTAAAGATCTAAGCATATATAGGGACAGACAGACAGCAGGACGACTTTGTTTTTTATTATGTAGTGATAATATAATACATAAAAAATATTTCAGGGTATACTTTTACACAACTTAATCTAGTCCAAAAGTAAGCAAGGCTATATGGATACCACTCAGTCCATTCATCCTCCTTAAAACAATAAAAACGTGTATTATTTCTAAAATGACGTTCACAGTTCAAAGAGGGCGGTGGTTATCACTTGTAGTACATAAAAGATATAAAAGATATATTGGCCCAATTTACGTGTATCTTACATTAAAAAAAATACAATTTGTCATTGCAATAGTTCGAGAAAGCCTATAATGATTTTAGATATTTCCTGTCAAGAAGCTAAAATATAATAGTGAGTCCCTCCTCTATAAGATAAAGAAGTTTTTTAAGTTTTTATCAAAAAGCAATAGTAATATTTTCACAAAAGCAGAAAACTTAGAGTTCATTGTCCACAGATTCCGATCCCGACATCATCGGGTCATCACAGCTCAGATTAAAATTCGTTAAGTTCGGTACACCCTAAGAATACAATAATATATAAAGAGTATATTATTAAATATGCATTCATAAATATATCTTAGGTTACATTCTACATTTTATACTATTACATCTATCATCTACTATTCTATTACATCTCTACATTTTATACTATTATTTATACATTTATATATCTCACGTTACATTCCTATTAACATCTGTATCTAAGTGTGACAAAATTGAAACCATGTCGCCTAAACTTGCGAACGTAATACTTGATTTAAAGAGTTTATTTTTAACACACTTCTAAAAAAAAGGTTCTATATTATTTTTTTTCCAAATAGAATATGTAAGTAAAACCAATAAAAATAATGTATGACATTTTGCGTAACTAAAGCCAGTGCTTAGTGGTCATAGTGCGGCAAAGCGGTCGTTCGGCGCCAATGACGCGGGCCGTCGCTCAAAAGTAAAAAAAATAAACGCTAGATTTTGAAATTGTAATGTCCGCGCTCCGACGGCCGCGGTCGGGGCTTCCATTAAAACATTTTGATATAGTTCGCCTACTTACAGTACGGCACAGGAACTAATGAATTAACTACGTAAAGAAATAGATTTTGAGAAGAATTGTCTAATCGCCTCATACGAGTAGGGCAGGGCACACTAATTGGTTATTTGTGTCGGCTATAGTGTTGTCTAGCGTAAACCCCGGTGGGTCTGACGTACCACGTCCCCTTCCTCAACCGGGTCGATGAGAACGTGCGCGGGAGACGTTTGTGAACGATCGCTTTTACGTCGGTCTGGTAATTCGCTGCGTCCTAATCAATCTTTTCTTGAAGCACCACGATTGAGAATAACAATAAAAGTTCAGTAAGTGTGAAATTTAGAAGAGATTGGAAGAGCAAAAAAGATGGATTTCATTTTCATATGGCTTTTCACTCTACAAATTTCCAAGGCGAAAGAATTTCGGTTCAGGTCTAACGTCGACATCAAAATAAAAGACAATTTGTGTCCAAGATTTACCTGTCGTATTATACTAGTATGGCGCATTTGGAAGTCAACGTTGGTGTTGCATGTATAATTAATTGGCGAACAATGATGAAAAACTTCTCCTTCCATTTAGTATTTTTGAATGAAACGGTATGTTTCCGAGGACTAAACTGTTCAAAATTCTATCAGATTTAGGTTAACGGCTAAATGCAGTTCACGACGGCGGCGATGAAAAATTTTGCATCACAAAACTAATGGTGGTTGTCGCATTTATAAATGAAATACAATCCTATAAAGTTTCCTTTCAATAAACGTGTATCATAAAGTTCAAGTCGGAAGCTAATCGCAAATGTTTCCGTGGAGCGGTTTTTTTTATTCGGAGGGCAGCGGCCACAAGATACCTTGGATATGGTCTGATACAGCCTTCGGCCGTATTTCATCATTAGAACGGTCGGTCGATGAACCGAATGAATTATTCAAAGGCATACATATATCGCAATTTAATCGTTCGATAACTAATAATGACTGGGCGTTCTAGTCCGATGACATTTAAATATTTTCCGATATCTTGCCCTTAACACGAGCAAACACTTTTTTGCCCCGCTCATTGCATCAAGTATTCTAATAATAATGATGGAATGTTTATACAAACGTAACTAGGAAAGATTAGAATCATTGAACTGATGTAGAAGGATAAATTTTAATTATTTATAATTAGTGTAATAGCTACTTGTCTCATACCCGAAAATAACATCGCAGTTTTCGACCCGCATATAAATGACGACTTCACCATCTGTCTAGTTTTTAGATTTATTAACATATAAATGTCTTACCGAACATTACCGATTACCTATTAAATGGCGTGGCTCTGGCTTATCTATATATAATATAGCTTTTGTCTTTAGACGAGATAGTATCTGCCGTAGGTAACATAATGCCAAAAATTAAAGACTAAAATAAATGGAATATCAAGGAAACTGACCAAAATATATTACATGGATTCAGCATATAAAAATATCAATGATGTGATTAATATTTTTTTATTGAAGTGCAAAGATAAATACAGGACTAGTGTTGCTAGAAAAAGTAGCGAATATTCATTCTATACTCAAGTTTGTCTAGTATTCGTTTTAAGTCTATTCGTTGCATGTGAGCCTTA